AGGATTACAGGAAGTAGTCAAATGTGGTAAAAATGCTTGCTTCTTTATTGACAGCAGAGGAGCGTTAGAGTCTTTAAATAGCAGACGCCCAGTATATCAGAATATTGTGATAGAGTGTAGAGAGAATGTTAAGAGACTAGAAAAAACTGGGTATAAAGTAAGATTCATGTGGATCCCTTCACATGTGGGAATACTATTGAATGAGGTAGTTGATGACATAGCGAAGAGAGCCACTGAAAAAACTCTTGTTGATGTTGTATGTCAGTTAACCTTGAAACAAATAAAAACAAGACTCAAGGTGATTCAGGAGGGTGAAGAAATGATAAAGAGAATGGCAATGGTGGACAGTAGTAACACACTTAAGAATTATTCAATAATAAATACAAATTCGTCCTTCACTTATGGTAAAGGAAAGTCTACTTGGAAGGATTCAATTTACATGAGATTACGATTAGGATATAAATATATCTGGCAATACGGTGTTGATGTCAGTGAAAAAGATAAGGAGTGTAAATTATGTAGTATGCCGTACGCCCACACCTTAGAACATTATGTATTAGATTGTCACCTTATTGAAAAATATAGAAATAAGGAAATAAATAGTGTACCACATCAAATTGTTTGGATGTGTGATAATGGTATAATAGACAGTATACTTAGGAGCTACAAGAATTTTGCCCCAAGAATGTAACAATTATATGCTGTACTTGCTGTATGCAATGTTAAATGGGATTTTTGTACTGTTATATGTCTATTTGTACTCACTGAATTTGTGCGCCCCTTGAGGGACTTGAAGTAGAGGGGGGTAGAAATAGCCTAAGCTACTCTATCCCTTTGAGATGTATTTATTGCTTATCTCAATAAACATACTTGAACTTGAACTTGAACTTCCATTTTCTAGTACGACAATTTTTGGCCTTATGTGACGCATACGATCAAAATGCGACGTTCTTTGTAAGAGGACAGGTTGTATGTTGGCAATCGAGCCTTGTCACTAACCCGGTAACTAACCTAGGATAAAATCATGCGAGTTACCTACGATGAAATCATGTGCTAATGATAGAACATACAGTTACAGGCCTGTAACTAATATGTAATATGAGACTAATATGTAGCTATTGTTTAAAAAACATAATTACGGTAATATGCTGTAATAATAAAAATAACACTTACTTTTTACGAAGGGGAAGCTGACGAAGCCGTGAAGATCATGCCATCCTCTGCGGCGCTTATTTTGTTTTGTTCAGTATAATACAATACTGTTCGCGACACAGAGGACTATACAAGGATTCTGTCATTCACTTTATAAAACTATACAGTATGTACACTTAGTTTCAGGCCTTCACAATACAATGGGTCTACTGCTAATTCACGTGAGTAATGCTACTGATTTGATGCACTGTAATAAAAAAATGTTGAATACAGCTGTAACACACTCGTACACTTGAAACGTATTTCTGTATTTACATTATGTACAGATCAATATATAGTATATGATAGTCTTTTTTGACAAATTATAATAGTCCCCAATTCGTTAACACTTAACTTGCAGTACTGTACTGTACATTTTTTACACTAATTTATATGCATTTCAATCATATTTTATATCATCGTCAGCGGATGCTGCAGACTTGTTGATGGAAACTCAGTATCGGTGGGTGCAGCATGGCTTCTACACAAAGATCTTTCCAGGAAAGTTGAAATCATGAATTTATAAATTTTCGTCTGAATCAGATTATCTCTGGCTTACTTGCTGAGACATTGCATAAAAGCTATTAAGTGTACATAAAAATGTCAAACAACCTAATGCTTATTTTTTTTTAATATTCAATGAGGTCCTCAGTTTGTAGGAATCTTTTCTGATATCCGACAACTCTAGGCAGAGCCTCACCACCATCGTCTCAGACATTGTCAGAGTCATCAGTTTTCAACATTTCCGACAACACTGAGCAATCTGTTCTTCTGTTAAGCATTCATAACCAGGATCATAATCATTTTCTAGTCATTCAATAACTTCATTCACTCCTACATCCTGACCAGCCCGAAGAAAGATTGTACGGATCCTTTCTTCAAACCCTTCAAAATCGTTGGCTACATTTCAAAACCTTCGAATTTACTATCAGATACTGCTGCTTCACCTCTAGGCCTCTGTTAAACGTTTCTTCCACGAATTTGTTACTGTGATTTTTGTCACTCTATTCCAAAGCCTAGCCCAATGGAAGATTTAATGGTTTAATCAGTCAGTATTTTTAGACTGGTTTGAAAACCACTTTTGCAAGGAAGTTAGAGAATTCCAGATCAACAAAAGTGGAATAAAGGCCACTGAGGTAAAGACATTATTGCTGCCAGATGATGCTCCTCCTTGCTCCACTAGCAAGTTAATTTCATGGGATGGCAGAATAAAATGCATGACACTTCCACCAAACACATCCTTGATGCAGCCCGTGGACTAAGGTGTGTTATCCTTGCTGCTAAACAGATGTACCAAACAGCAATACTTGAAGATATTTTAGTTGTTTTACCTGGCGAGAAAAATGCATTGACATAGGCTCAAAGCACACCAGAAATTTTAAATAAAAAGTACACAATTAAGGAAGCATTCTTTGATTGCTTCAAAGAATTGAAGATTGCTTCAATGCCTGACTGATTAAACCATTAATTCTTTGAACTGTAGTATATTACAGTAGTGCTTGTAATATCTTTGTCCTGAGAGGCATCGACATTAGCACAGAGCAAGACTGAGAATCGTTCCTTGCTTATCTTTCGTCCAGAAATATTATCCAGCAGCCTACTGGTCAACGATTCACTGGGTACAGCTCTCCACATAAATCCTGTCTCTGCACCATTATACACTTGATATTTGCTTAAATTATTGCTGATTTAAATTATTCTTGAATGATTCAACATTAGTGGGAATTAACACTTGAAGCCTCACCATAAATTTTTGTGGTGTTTGAAATCTTATGCCGAGTCTTAAATCTCCAAATCCATCCATCACTTGCAGTGAAGTCTTTTACACCTAAATGAATGCCAAGTTTATTTGCTGCAAACTTTAAGCTCTTCAAATCGTATTGCAATGCCACCGCGCTGAATGACCCACTTATGCACTACAGCCTACAACTGGTGACACTGAACAGCCTTTACCGCCTTCCCCAAACATGCAACACCAGAAGCAGCACACAATGTAGTGCTCACATATTTTGATAGCATTTCCTTCTGCTTTTGATGTCACTTACTGTACTTTTGCCGATGTTAAACTCTGCTGGCACTGGCGCATGAGAATGTCCTCTGTCAAGTTTCTGAATAAACTTCAGCTTTCGTGCAACCGTCAGGCGCTGCCTTTGGGTGCACTGCCTGCCTTAGCCTGTGTGCTGGTAACCTCAGGCATCTTGTAAATGAAACTGAAGATCACAATTAAAATAGACTATTGTCCTTCAAACGTGAAGTTGGCCGCGCGCGTCCACAGTAAACAATAACACGAGGCCGACGGTACATTCATGTCTGCCAGAAAAAAAAGAAAAAAACCTAGTGCCATATACAATAAAAGGTATTTAATAAGAAAATAATTGTTTTTAATAACAATTGTTTCCTAATATTGTCTTAATAATTTGTAAGTTTCTTCATTAAGATGTATAATTTAAAACATCTTGACGATGGAGTTCGGTGGCCGCTTTCCACGTGAAGGTGCCTATGCCTAAACTAACCAAGTACCGACCTACGGTTTTATCCACTGCCAGACTGGTATAAGACCGTTATAAGAGGCACCAGATACCTGTCCCCAAACCGGGCGTTTGAACCGGAGGAATGCTACATACGAGGTCCTTAAATCGAGTGGATACAACCCATAGTCCCCTGTAGTTAGATATTCAAGGGTTCCAGAGCCACGCCCCCCCTACTGATAATCTGTGTTATTAACATATTCGGTAGACATTTCTTTCCGTTCTTAGATATTAACTATCATGACCCATCTGGTATTACCTCGCATGCATACACAATACACTGGTTGCTAGATGTATCCTTGCCTACACATCTGGCAGGTATTACCAATTCATTGTCTCTGTCTCTCATTTGTTTTGTCATTAACTGTGACACGTTGGCTTAACCAGCATCTCGCTTACCCTGCCAAACTATGCCCAAACCTTCCAGTGCGGGAGAATCCACTCCCATCCTCTTGATATCGAGCGAGATGGGATAGACCTGGAAAGAAATACTTTTCAAAGAGATTTCTTCTATTATCCAAAGTTTAGGTTCTTTATTTCGGGAGGCCTCCCGTCGTGATATCAAATGAGCTGTTTGATGGAAAGAAAGCCATTCTGCGATGGGGGGGGGGGGAGAAGCTTGGATGGATGTTTGGGGAGGGGGGGTGGAAGAGGCATTGAGAGGGTAGGGGTGAATTGGGAAAGATGGGGGTATTATTAGGGTGGGGATGGGTTTAGGACCTTCTAAAGGGGGGATAGCAGACGAGGCGGGTAATTAAAGAAAGGAAATAAGCAAGGGGGAGAATATAAATAACAAAGAACGCACAAACCATGCCTCGCTTCATAGCATCTGATCGTCTGGTGCGATGTCCTTCTAACTCTTGATACGTCTTGTTCTGAAGCTTTTGAAGTCATGCATGAAGTTAAAATCAAGAAATTATCTCCACGTTCTGCCTATTCCCACCCTGTGTGCTCACTGCTCAGCATACACTTGAGCAGTGGCCCGTTCACTGTGCACCCACGTGTTCATTCTGTCAGCAGGTTATTGTTCACAACATATTCATCTACTGATCGGTGGTTTATTGTGCACCCTATACTCATCCTGTGAGTGCAAATTTACCCCCCCCCCACTGCTGAGCCCCCTGTCACTAACCCCATAGCTGCTCTCCTGCCATTACCCATCGCATGAGTATTATAGTATTACAAACAGCAGCCTCGTTGCTTTTCCATTGTCACTCCCACACAGGGCGGTTTTACTCATGCTTATATCAACAAAATTCCTTCTATGCTGCTTCTCAGTGATTATATAAACATTAGTTGCAGAGTTATTTCTGACACGTCAGCTACATTTCCGCTCTCCCATAGTTGGCTGGTGGAGAGGGCCCTGACAGTAGGCTGGGTGGAGAGGGCCTGACAGTAGGCTGGGTGGAGAGGGCCCTGACAGTAGGCTGGTGGAGAGGGCCTGACAGTAGGCTGGGTGGAGAGGGCCTGACAGTAGGCTGGGTGGAGAGGGCCCTGACAGTAGGCTGGTGGAGAGGGCCTGACAGTAGGCTGGGTGGAGAGGGCCTGACAGTAGGCTGGTGGAGAGGCCCCGACAGTAGGCTGGGTGGAGAGGGCCTGACAGTAGGCTGGGTGGAGAGGGCCTGACAGTAGGCTGGGTGGAGAGGGCCCTGACAGTAGGCTGGGTGGAGAGGGCCTGACAGTAGGCTGGGTGGAGAGGGCCTGACAGTAGGCTGGTGGAGAGGCCCCGACAGTAGGCTGGATGGAGAGGGCCCGACAGTAGGCTGGGTGGAGAGGGCCCGACAGTAGGCTGGGTGGAGAGGGCCTGACAAGTCTGGTAAGCAGGCTAGTGGAGAAGGGCGGCAGAGAGGTCGGAGAGCGTGGCTAATGTGTGCCAAGGGACCCCAGCCTCCACGTCCTTCGGCGACTCGGCGTCCGGCTGCTGCTCATGCTAATACCGGCCCTCGTAAAGGAAATTAAAAGCTGTGTATCGCTCTGCGACTGATGAATATTTACTTTTACTTCTGCATATTTTTGATGGACGAATTCAATTTAGGACGGCCTCCAATATTGTACTTTGTGAGAGGTTTGCTCGTGCAGATAAGCATTCTTGGGAGACGAGAATGGATCCTTTGTTTCTTCAATTTTATGTTTAGTGATTTACATTTGTCATACAGAATATTGCAAAGTGCCAACCTACCTCTCTTAATTATTTTAAGGCCTCGGGAACTATATCCTGATGGAATTACTTCTAAATTTATTCCATAAAGGTTATTATTGATATAGACAACCTCGTAAACTGCTTAATAAATTGTAGGTATCGGAAGTTAAACATAATAAATATGTTTAATAAATTGCAGGTATCATAACTCAGGCATGAGTTATGCCTGAGGCATAACTCATGCCTCAGGCATAATAAATTGCAGGTATCATAACTCAGGCATGAGTTATGCCTGAGGCATAACTCATGCCTCTTAGTTCTGGGATTAATCTAGTGGCATACCTCTGAAGCGTAGAATCTCTAGAATATACATCCATCGATTATGCACTCTGAAGATTACACGTTTTTACAGTAAGCACCTCCTGCTCAGAGGTGCTTTCTATAATTTTCTTAGTCTTCAACCCAAGCCTGGGTCATTTTAGCCTACAGTACTTATGAAAGATGTACCTGCAATTAAAGGAGTTTCACTGTGTCGCTTATATACGATTATGATTCACATTGTTGTGTGTTTACAGGTTTTTAGAAATGTTTGAACCATTAACTGAAAAATGTCCTTAGGAATAACTCTTTACGAGAAGGAAAATAGAAAGTGATACTTTACAATGGCACATTTATTTTTATGTGTATTAAATGTATTTTACAGTATTCCTGTACATGTTTTAATATTTACAAACACACCTGAACTTTTCATCATACCAAATGCTATGTGAACAGCACTTCATATATATGAGTTGTGCACTGTCTTTTACTATAATCCAACATTGCTATTCTTCCACATCAGTACTATCAGCATACTTATGTGTACACTGCTCACCAAGTTGTATGATAAAACAATTGCTCACATTATATCATAATTTCAGACAAAAATAAAATGCAACTTTTGTTCATTATACATTAACTTTAAACTTTGAAGAGTTAATGTTCACTGCATATTTAAATTAGCCTCACTTTCAAATATAAAACAATTGGCACTAACCCAAGTGCATATCACAATATAAATATTTTCTTTGTAAATTTGTAAAAGGTTTCATATCCAAGTTCCCATTACCTACAAGCTTCAAATATTGAAGTACGTACAGTATTTTCTGAGACAAGCTACAATCAGTAAGAGAAATAAAATAAATATGAACTTATGAGAGAAGCATCCCACATAGATACAATTTGTGGTAAAGATTACCAATTGAATGTCATTCCTGAAGACCATTTATACTGGAAGACACTGAAATTATCAGAGAATGAAGCGTACCTTAAATTCATTGGATAAATGCTGTTACTTTTCTATCACACAAGAACTTATTTTGACCAATTAAATGGTTTATAACATAATATTCTATGTAAAATATCTTGATATAATTAAAGCACTAAAGTAACCTGTTACACACAATGTTCACGGTAATTTTGTTTTATTAAATTACATATGAAATATTTATCAAACTAAAAAGTGCCAAAAATTACTAAAACTGAGCAAACAAGGGACAAAGTTTTTTAAATTTAATGAAAAATATAACTAATTTGCAGTACAGCTTGAATTATACAAGTAAAACAAATGTATTTTTATTTTCAGTTTCCATATAGTGTACCAAGTTTGGCAGTTGCACTAGTTAAGAGGTACATATAGTTGCCAAATATATGTGCATGCACTTGAATAAATAACATCCTTATAAGTGGAAAGTGTTAAAAACAGAATGTAACTATTATTAAAGTTTTCATGAGGTTATAATAAAACAAGCCAATATATATATATGTCAATAAAGAAGTAAATAGTCTATAAAAGTAAATGACTATTGTAGCAGAAGTGGCTGTTGGTGTTATACAGGCTATAGTAGCAGTATTGGCTCAACCCATGGTACTAATTAATAACTAAATCATGACTTGCAGTAGTATCAATAGTAATAGCAGTACTCTATTACATTTAACAGCTAAAACTGTAAAATACAGAAGTCAATACAAGGCAATTAAATTAACTATTACTGTAGTACAGCCAACTAAATAGTGCAAAGTAGCAATGATAAAATTATAAGGATGATTTACATTAAACGCAATTATGTCAACGACAAAAAAAAAAAAACTTGGCAAACACGGATGCAGTGAGCCTTGAATAATAAAAACCATACAAAATAATGTTGAAAAGGAGCAAGGGTAAATGTGCTACAATAAGAAAGCTAATAACAGTTTCATCAGTTTTTAAAAGTTTGCTATATAAACTGTACATACAAAAAATGTCAGCTCCAAACTAGTAGAATTAAAGCTTACTTGACACCATAAAGACAATCTTGGTGTCAGTCTTGGGGGTAAAAAGAGCAAACAAGAAGTGCAGCTTATTAGTGTTAAAGCGAGAAATTCTGATAAATAGTGTATACTTCCCAGCACATGCTTTATGCTTTCTTTCAAATAGGTAAATATAGAATAAAATATAAATAATAATACTATCATTTAAGCAATAAAATATAATAAAATACCATCATTTAGGAAATGCAAATCTGAAAATTCTTATAAAGTATCTAATTTCTCTTATTACTATATGGAGATATATGTTAGCTGTTTGGGTAATACAGAGTAAATACATTTAAAAAACTAAGCAGAGAGGAATGTATACAATATTACACTAATCGAATCAAATGTCTAAGTATGCTTTTTGAAAAGGCAATTTCAGTTATTCCTGAATACAAACATGCAGGACAAATTGAACAGCTTCACCTGTAAGGTAAGCATAATGATTTGTAACAATACTGTAGCCAAGAACATTCTTGGATGTGAGGTGAACTGCACAATTCTAAATACTGTATCACTTTCCCATTATAACTAAAACCTACTGAAACTATGGCTAAGCCATTTTTGGCATTATCAGCAGTTAAAATAACTTTACAAGCAAAATTGGTATATTATACATATACTGTGTGTATATATATATATATATATATATATATATATATATATATATATATATATATATATATATATATATATATATATATATATATATATATATATATATATATATATATATATATATATATATATATATATATATATATATATATATATATATATATATATATATATATATATATATATATATACATATATATATATATATATGTCGTACCTAATAGCCAGAACGCACTTCTCAGCCTACTATTCAAGGCCCGATTTGCCTAATAAGCCAAGTTTTCATGAATTAATGTTTTTTCGTCTACCTAACCTACCTAACCTAACCTAACCTAGCTTTTTTTGGCTACTTAACCTAACCTTACCTATAAATATAGGTTAGGTTAGGTTAGGTAGGGTTGGTTAGGTTCGGTCATATATCTACTTTAATTTTAACTCCAATAAAAAAAATTGACCTCATACATAGAGAAAAGGGTTGATTTATCATTTCATAAGAAAAAAATTATAGTAAATATATTAATTCAGGAAAACTTGGCTTATTAGGCAAATCGGGCCTTAAATAGTAGGCTGAGAAGTGAGTTCTGGCTACTAGGTACGACATATATATATATATATATATATATATATATATATATATATATATATATATATATATATATATATATATATATATATATATATTAGTATATTTTGGTAGCAGTCTTTCCTGTAGACATATATTATTAAATATGACCGAAAAAGTAAGATTAATAATTCTAACACGAATTTTCTCAATCTTTCGTACATTACGCTTCACTGTTGGAGGTAAATCAAAAATCACTTCTCCAAAATTCATTTTTATTTCTAGTCTGACGCGACACGGGCGCGTTTCGTAAAACTTATTACATTTTCAAAGACTTCACAAATACACAACTGATTAGAACTAACGTATCTCTGCTATTATATCTACATTTGAGTGAGGTGGGAGGGATGATGTGGCATATAATGATGTGGCATTAGGGGATATTAATAGGGTATTAAAAGTATCAACACAAGACAGAACAGAAACAATGGGTATTGAATAGAAGTGTTTGTAGAAAGCCTATTAGTCCATATTTCTTGATGCTTCTATATTGGAGCGGAGTCTTGAGGTGGGTAGAATATAGTTGTGTATATTCAACTATATTCTATATAGTTGAATATTCTATATAGTTGAATATTCCACAACTATATTCTACCCACCTCAAGACTCCGCTCCAATATAGAAGCATCAAGAAATATGGACTAATAGGCTTTCTACAAACACTTCTATTCAATACCCATTGTTTCTGTTCTGTCTTGTGTTGATACTTTTAATACCCTATTAATATCCCCTAATGCCACATCATTATATGCCACATCATCCCTCCCACCTCACTCAAATGTAGATATAATAGCAGAGATACGTTAGTTCTAATCAGTTGTGTATTTGTGAAGTCTTTGAAAATGTAATAAGTTTTACGAAACGCGCCCGTGTCGCGTCAGACTAGAAATAAAAATGAATTTTGGAGAAGTGATTTTTGATTTACCTCCAACAGTGAAGCGTAATGTACGAAAGATTGAGAAAATTCGTGTTAGAATTATTAATCTTACTTTTTCGGTCATATTTAATAATATATATATATATATATATATATATATATATATATATATATATATAAATAAATTAAGATACAGTATATAAAGTGACTGAAATGGCATTCTGTTTTCAACAGCTTCTGAACAAACATCATAGTTGAAAAATCAAGAATCAAGATTAAAAAGTGGGACAATGATGACAGTGCTCATACAAGCATTTAAAAGGAGAGTAACTGAAAATTTAAAAAAATTATCAAAGATAGAGCTGTACAAGGTATGGTAGAGCGTAGTTAAGTAGGTTGACATTACTACACAATAAAGTGTAAAAAATATAGATAAAATGACTGGTAGTCAAACAACATTACAGTATGGAGGACTAGAAGAATACATACAGGAGAGTGGAGGAATGCATTCGTAAGAGTTGAGGAATATATACAGGAAATGTGTCATGCAGTCACAAAGGAAATAAAAGTGGCAAGAGATTATGCTTTACCACATAGTTGGGTGGCCTTGAGAATATTCCGTAAGTCACCTGTTCAGAGTGCAGTTCCCAGAGAATATAAGTCAGCAGAGATGCAATAATTAAAGCAGTTAGTTAAAACAATACTTTGTGTTTGTTCTGCCATTCCTTTTATAATAAATGAGGTGCAATACTTGAGGCATACAAAATCAATACCAAAATATAAATGAAAGCAAAATGCATTATCTGGATTTATCTTTAAAACCCTTCACTATTCTTCCGACAAAATATTTTTAACGTCTTAAATATGTTTTGCATCAATAAGGCTAACTTTATTATTTAATGCTTTCGTTTTATTCATTTTTGAGGTACATATTGCATCTTAATAATATGATTTGCAAACATGCAAAAGTAGGCCCAGGTAACCTGAAGATATGATGTTGGTTAACTAACATTTTGTTTTTGGTGTAAGATTCAGTACACACAAACTATCAACCTCTAAATAGGTATATGGACAAAAAATAAAATGTTAAAAAAAAAATAACCAACATATGTATCATTTACACATGTGTGTATATGTGTGTGCATGCACATGTGTATATATTATATATAAATATATATATATAATGACTATAAATAGCTATTAGGAAGACAAACAATAATAACGGAGGAAAAAAAAGATTGTAGCCAGGCAAGGTTAATATGTGAGCCGTTTTGTCTTACTTAACTATCCACAACACATTACCTTACACGTCTAACCACAACAACTTCCTGTGATATATGTGTACTGACAGTATCACATAAACCTTTAAACATTCTGAAATAATGAGTAGAATTATTATATATATATATATATATATATATATATATATATATATATATATATATATATATATATATATATATATATATATATATATATATATATATATATATATATATATATATATATATATATATATATATATATATATATATATATATATATATATATATATATATATATATATATATACATATACATATGCGAACAAGCCTGAATGGTCATACATATATATACATATACATACATACACATACTGTAATCACCTGTATACAATGCCATCACATGTATAGTCAATAATGATGACCATAACTGCTCACAGCTAAAAACAAGTCAGTGTAAATGCATAATAACACAGTTCTTTGCAAAAAAAAAAAAAAAAAAAAAAATTATAATTTACAACTTATAAAACTAAATATAAAATGAACTATAACATTATCAGTACTATCTGTTGGCAAATACTTCTATTTATACATGCAAATATAATATATAACATACATTTTGATCTCACGCAAAATTAAAGCAATTATACATTCTCTGCAGGCAAGTTGGATGGAGCACCTTTTTTATTATATAGTGAAGTGATACATATAAACCGAGTTGAATAAATGATCAATACTTTAATATGATCATCAACTCTCAAGGTTGTAGCTGTGCAGTGGACAAAAAGTTTCCACAAACAGTTTTGCATATTGATTGCTTATGTGCACCAACCTTTGTTATCATCAAACGGAAAAAGAATCACAAAAAATTTCTCGGGTCTGCATTGTACGTACTCTAACAATGTATGTCAATTCCTCCTCCTCCTCTTCCATTTGAACTACACACACCACAAAAAATCTTATGTTTGGGATCACCTTAAGATGATTACAAATTTACCCAACAAAATATTATTTTCCCATATGGTAAATGGTAAACAATAGACAGTGGTTACAATACAACTAACTGCTTATTTTATATAATATAAAATGTATCATAAGCAAAAGAAAACAGTACTGAAAATGTACACATAATACAAAACTTTCCTAAACTTTTCAAGTACACAAGTAATACTTGGACATTCAGTTCATAAATGTTGTGTACACATTTCATTTATCATAGTAGCATTTGAAATTAAATTATTATTATTCCCATAACTAGCAATTCTGTCTAATACAGAACTAAACTAGTCATACACTCGGCCTAAGTTTGTCTTCGGCAGTGACTAGACTCCAGTTATTTATCTTTAAAGTCGGGTGTGGTAATCTGGGTGAACATCTTCCAAATCTAAGCATTAACATAATCATCTCACAAATTAGTTGAACAAGACAATGAATTTCTAAAATATTACCTGTAGTAATGGAATTAGTATGGATATATAATTACTGTACATGCATTATGTAAATAGGGTAAAATTTCTGCATAAAATATGTGTATATTATATATACACACACACACACGTGTGTGTGGGTAGTAGTATCCACCCTCTACATATATAATATATATGTGGGTAGTAGTGTCCAGTATCCACATATACAAGTGTGTAGTATCCACTAGAAAAATTAAAAAAAACACTCAGAATGTTTTTGTGTTTCCCCAAATTATCAAGAAAATTACAGCTGTATTGCCTTAATAATGTGTGAAACAAGAAAATGTTTGAAATTTTAGTTTAATTTTCCTAGTGAATACTTACACATAACTGAATCATGTGTTTTTTTTGTGATTATTCTTGTGTTGTGTGTGTGTGTGTGTGTGTGTGTGTGTGTGTGTGTGTGTGTGTGTGTGTGTGTGTGTGTGTGTGTGTGTGTGTGTGTGTGTGCGCGCGTGTGTGTGTGTGTGTGTGCGTAAATTTTATTTATTTATAAATTCCACTAAGATTTGGGTAGCGCCTCCCTAATTTCCATCTCCAACTGAAAAGTTGTGGAGGTATTTCATATATTTAGCTATAAGGATAAATATCAACTGGTTACAAAGAAGCTAGCAATTAAAACTAAGTTAACTGTCATACTGATATGTATTTAAGACTTGCACCAATCATGTAAATTTTGCTCAAGATGGCTTCAATTCTCAGTGATATTATTGTCTAATTGGAAGGGATAACCTGATTGAAGCATCAATCACACATCAGATTTTCTTGAAGCATTAGTATACAAGTTAAGCTTCAAAAACTGCAGCAGCAATAGTTGAATCCAAGCCACAAGTTGTAATACTAAATTGTACTTCTGAGAGATTCATATATTAATATACTACTGTACTGAATTTTAACATATTTCCGTAACAATCCTTAACCGTGCAATGCTTAATTAAGGGTTGATATGCTCTTGTTCATATTCCGAATGAAATCAGGAATTATCACACACAGCAGTCTACTAAGCATATATTGCTGAATCTTCACAATACAAACATCTTCCACATTCTTGAAACTATTCAATTTAGAACTGAAAAGCATGATGCTGATAGATGGTACTGTACTGCATCTTTATTAAAACAATAAAAATGACAGTTAAAACAAAAGATATTTCAAAGTGATTAATATATAATGAAGATAAAATTAAAGTTTGTTTCATTATTTGTAAAGTCAAGATTCGATTAAAAACTTTGCTGCAACTTTAAGCCAATATATGGACTGAGCAAGTAAGAGGAAATTACATATCATGAAATGAATTATTGAAGCTTTAGATCATTATACAGTATTAACACAAGTGGAGAAATGTGACTAGTATGAAATGAAAGTTTGACAAAACTGGGGTGGGGGGTAATTAAAATATGTAAAAATATGGCAAATGATAACAACTAACTTTAATATAATGTGCAAAGATGAGACACCCAAGAGGTTAAGAAATTAGTGAAAATAAGGTGTCAATAGGAATATAAACTATTTGTTATAGGATAGAGAGAGGAAGAGATCGACAACTAGAAGAGATTTTCAAATGAGAAATGATCTCACAGTACGGTAGTTTATGTGAGGATTTTGTTCACAAAAAGAAAATATATAAATACTATAAAGGAGAGAAAAAGTTTGTCAAAAGAATTTTATATTTTTAAGAAGACTATAGTAGTTTTTAGAAGTGGAACAGATGCAAGTTTCTTAAAAACAAAACACCTATGGTGACTTTTTTCCCATATATGAAAAATCTAAATTTAATTTTCAATAACTTGAAATCTACATAATGAGAATGAGCAAACAAGAAAGATGACTGGGCAATGAGAACAAAATTACCAGAAAGACACTACAGTAGAAGGATGAATCAGTTACAGAAATCAGGATCAAAGGAATTGGATGTGAGCATAATACCAGACCTGATGCCGAAGGTACACAAATATTATACGGCATTATCTGCAACTTAAATGAAACTGGGATATATATATGGGTGGCAATAAACAGCTTAAACGGGGAATCATTCAAAACTAACCACAGCCTGCATTAGACCAGTCCTAGAACGTTCAGCATCAGCATGGAATCCTCACTTTGTGGAACAAGAACCTTTTAAAGGCCCCCAAATTTACTTAAAGACTGGAGCTAGAAACAATGAAGGCCAGCTATTAAAACAGGTTAAGGGAAATATATTTAAAAACACTAGAAGTGAAAAGAACAAGAGATATAATCAAAACATACAAGATATTAGAGGGAATAGACAAGGTAGACAGGGAATGTGTGTGTTCAACATGGGAGAAAATACAAGAGATTACAGGAGGAAGTTGGAATTTCAAGTGTGTACAATGATATTAAAAAAAATAATAATACAAAAATGTAAGTAAATACCAGAAAGAATGATAGAGCAGAGAGGGAGAGCATTAGTGGCAAAGTACGGGAGATACTTTCTTGACAAATGTTCATGTACGGTAGTCAGTGCAAGGACTGTGTGGCTGCTATATTTGCTCCCCCTCCTCCTACACTACATCAACTTTTGTGAATAAAAATAAATTACTAACTTGAGAACTGGCAACCATGGCATTTGCCTTGCTTTCTAATTGGAGCAATAAATGTCAACTTAACAGACCACAAGCTGTTTTACTTAAGCTGCAATGTTTCCACAATGAATGAATTAATGAATGAAAATAAATAAATAAATAAATAAATATATAATACCATGTAGCTATTTAGATGGTACTTTTATCCCCTAGAGTTTTATATGGATAATGTCTAAGGAACAAACTGTGGATTTGGCAATACTGTACAAAGTTTTCAATCATGCTAAACAAGAAATGTTCATATAATACTTGTGCAAATTGTTTTCAAATCAAATTTCTCAATGATGGTACAGACTTTAATTTTTCTCACTGCTGAAAACAGGATGCCATAAAAACTAGGGGGAGGAGTCAGAGTAAATGAAAACAATAGAAGCTAGTTTAAGCATAATGATATATCTTTATATGATATTTGAAAGTACAGTATTTTTTGTTTTGCCCAGTAGAAGAATGAAGTAGGTAATAAGTAGATGTGTGAGTGTGAGTGAGAGAGCGAGAGAGAGAGAGTAAGAGAGTGAGAGAGAGTGAGAGAGAGAGAGAGAGAGTGAGAGAGTGAGAGTGAGTGTGTGAGCGCGTGTGTGCGTGTGCGTGTGCGTGTGTGTGTGTGTGTGTGTGTGTGTGTGTGTGTGTGTGTGTGTGTGTGTGTGTGTGTGTGTGTGTGTGTGTGTGTGTAGCATGAGTTGACAGATGAATTAAGTTAGAAGACAATTTCATGTTGTAAAGCCCAAACCATGACTTAAAAAAAATTAGATTACAGTATTTTGAAAATAGGCAAATGGGCCGAGATACAGTAAGACTCCAAGAATAAAGTTTTCATAAGTTAAGTAATTTGGAGAACATAAACAATATTTAGAACAATTGTATGGCATGATAATTTCCTAAATATGCTGAACAGTAGAGTGAGAGAATAAGGTATATTGTTTAATAAATATATATAACTACTGATAGCTAAATTCTCAAATGACTGGGAAACTATTAAAATATAAAAAATTAAAACAAATATGCAAGAACTTAAGAACATACAAAACAAAATTGAACTTCATCTGACTGATGATGATTCTTTGTAAGGTCAAGAAGCAGACAATAAATGTCAGAATAGGAAGCAAGCTTGTTACCATTCAACAAAATATATATATATTCAACCATATATTAAAAATATAATTAATATTACTGTATCTGATATTATGTGAAAATGCTAATAGAGTTCATCAATACTGACTTTCTTTTCAAGGTCAAATTTGAGAGAAGATGAGCCATAACAAAATAAAGTTAGTCAAGAAAGTATGTCTTAATATAAGAAAGATTAAGAAGGTTGAAAACTTCTCTATCCATGAACATAGGGTTATAGAAGAATCTTTGGAATATGACTAATAAATTTTGGGTAATTATAATAGAAAAATAAGTCAAACTGATAAAAAGTGAGAAAAACAAATGTAATGATTTACTGTACTAAAATAGTTAAGATAATGATGATTTTATGGAGAAGGTGGAGGATATGGTTGAAGACGAGGCGGTACAGAGTAGTTCTCAAGAAGACTGTGTTGTGATTCATCTAGACTTCCAATATACATACTAGTTGGTGTAGTTGGGGTTAAATCGTCAGCAGAAGTATTAAGTGAAAAGCTGATGGGTGGCGATAGCGGTGTAAGTGGGGTAGAAATTGATTTGGGAGGTATAGGTGGTGGTGGTGGGGTGCGGTGGTTGCGTGGGGAGAGCAACGGAGGGGTGCCAGGGGTGGAGGCAGGAAAGCCGTTACTGAGGCCACCGCCGCTACTGCTGCATCCATCCACACCATCACCAACGAGCTGATCACACCCAAACATGGCAGGCGACGCACACTGTACAAAACCATGTAAACGATGACCTTTATACAGATGTTTACATTTGTAGGAAAGAATATTTACAACACTGAATCTACTATAGCATACATGTGATATCTCATGGCATGGAAACATAATATGATATACTGTACATACATACACTTAAGTTGTTTCACAGTCTCTAGGCAAAAGGATAAAGTATCAATAACTTCAAAAATAAAAAACACATCAATATGCTGGTGAGTCACAATAACGTGGCTGAAGATACGATAACCAAACCACACATCAGAAGATGGAGAGACGACAATGAGCTCAACATACCAATATTTTTACTTGAACTTTATTTTTCTGGCTGTTATTTTGATCTTATTATCTTATTAGTACTGAATTGAAACTATACTGAAACTGAATTCAATGTACTGAAAAACAAGCAGCCATTAAAAGCTACCAAATAGTTTATAATGTTCACCATAGAGAGGTGTTAAGGATGTGCACAAGTTACGCTAATACATAGGCAAAGAGTAGTTATAACTAATTTAAATTTCATAACTAAAAATATATAAAATCTGCCTCACATGTACTTATAGTAAATTGTGATAATGCCAAGCACAAGAGATTCCAACAGTCTACATCACCACCCAACTGGGGTTTATACATAATAAAAATGCACTTATCTTAACTTTTGAAGTAAGGTACTGTACTGCAGTCTGTATATTGAATATTAAACTTTAAAAAACTCATAATGTAACGAAGGGAACAAAATCTCACTTAAAAATAAAAACAATCATATTAGATAAAATTCATAGATCAGCCACGGGAGAATATCACATGTATAATATAGGTGTAATATATTTTACATACATTACAGTACAGTACTTAAGTACTCATATGTGCAACAGCAAAACTTTTGCCTATGAAAGATGAAATGTTTTTGCCATTCAACATGTACAACAATCACCAACTATATTTGAATTATATAATAAACTATTCAGATAAAACACCTATGTTGTCTCCGACATTGAAACTTGCTGCACGTACCTTCTTGCCCATCCTTTTGGGCAGCACAGGTGGAGGAGCATCGTCCTCCCCACCAAGACTTACAGATCTAGTTTGTCTCTCACCAACTGCAACACAAAAAGGAGCTAATCATATTAAACAAATGATAAAAATGCCCTAAGGCAGTATTCTCCTTTTTTAAGAAGAATATTTTTGTTATCTAAATTCTAAAGGTATAACATACTTTGCAAATTATATAATACAGATCAATTATAACATAAGTTGGAAATCCATGATAGTTTCATAATTCAAGAGTATAATAACTTCTATGATAGAACTACAAAATACACTAAAATTTGTGTATTCTGTAGCACATCCGCACCTCTAGGAGGCAGTGGAGGTAGTGACTCTTCCGAACCATGAGAATCACTCCAAGAGGTATTTAGTGAGTCATGAGTCCCAGAGCTTCTTGCTGTGCGAGGGCTTGGTGGCCGAGAATGCCGCCATCGTTGACTCTCGTCGCTGCAATTCAGAATTTCTTTATAAAATATATGCTGTCTGTCTGTGTGTCTAAATGTGTATGTGTATGTATTGCCTAAATGTAGTTACCGGATGAGAGCTACATTTGTGGTGACCCATCGTTCCAGCACACTGTCATATAATGGTCCAGGACAGACCAAAACATTGTCATTTCTCCATCTTCTGATGTGTGGTTTGGTCACCATATCTTCAGAAAAGTTATTGTGACTCATCGTCTGTATATAACATAGCTTCATATAAGGGTGTTGGTGCAGACACTGAGTCACAATAATGTGGCTGAAGATATGATGACCAAACCCCACATCAGAAAATGAAGAAACGACATCATTTTGGTCCATCCTAGACCATTATCAAGTCATGTCATTGTTAAGTCATGTATAGTTTCTGATGTGTTGTTTTGTCATCAAACCATTTGGTCACTATTAAACTAGGCATCAAATTGTGTGAGGATGTATAACCAGGTAATATCTTCAATAAGTAAATGTGACCTAAGCAGCACTGTAATTTTTCTATCCTCCAACCAATAATATTAAAGATCATAATTTCCATTTTTCTTATTTATTGTCATTAATACCAATGATTCAACAGAAAAATATTGTGGACAATAAAATAAACTACAAAATCACTTTTCAAAGTTCTAGAAGTACTACGTATGCAGAAATTACCTTACTTTGAAAGACCATTCATTACATCATGTCTATAGGGAAAGGCTGTGATAGTTTCTAGTTTTCAAATGTTCATATGTGATTGAGACTAATCAGTCTGCTGCCTATAACTGAGGTCATGTTCCAGCATTATCAGTAAATTGACTCGAACTAACCAGGCTTTTGGAGGAGGAACAATCATGTAGTCACTGTTGAGAGATTTTGAGAGAGACTTCGGAGATGAGCCTCGGCTATCGGATATGTAGGCTGAGCGTGGTCGAGAATCTCGTTGACTTCCTATACCCACATCCCATTCCTAGTATACATGGAAAATGTAGTTAGTAGTAAATAAACAAGACTTGTGTCATTCAATATAGATATAAATACTAATGTTATGCAACACAAGAAATTAAGGCAATCTCATTTACCTCCAATTCCCACATTTAAAGTGCAAAATGTAATTGTTTATTGCAAAACAGTGATATTTGTATGCATTTTAGTTAAAACTTGACAAAGTATAATCTAGTGTCAGTATTAATTACTTGTTTAGTTTAATAAAAAAACTACATTAATCGGTCTGATATGCACTAACTATTTGAAATATAAACAGAGACAATAAAAATCCAAAATGTCAACAAAAGGATAGCAACACTCCAATTTTCATTCGAAGAATCATAGTCATTCACATGGTATCCATAGAAACTATCCATAGGAAGACCTTTTATAAGCAGTAATATAGGTAGATATTTCCATTTTACCAGAGGTTTATATGATTCTTTACAGTGACATACCTGAGGTTTGGCATACAACTCATCATCATGAGATGCAGAATGAAAATGGGCATAAAGGGAAGAAGCTTGTGAAGATCGCTGTGATGAATGACCAGATGTGGATGAAGAACTTGTGCTACCTGCACCCTTATCTGAGGGAAGTGGTGGCAGAGGTGAACTGAAAACAGACAAAAAAGGTTATTACAACAAATATAGTATTCTTTAGGACACACAGAAATCACAATAACATGATGCATTAAATTCCCAAATCCACAAGGGCCGTAATGAGGGTTCGAACCTATTGTACGTCTGAGAGGATCCAGATGCGCATTAATTGACTTTGCCATGACAGTCAAAAGAACTGCAACCGGGAGTTCATCTGCCCTCACACGGATCCTACAGTCTCTTAGACACAAACCAGGGTTTTACACAGATGTGGGCAGATGAACTCCCGGTTGCAATTCTTTTGACCGTGTCATGGCACAGTCGATTAAGGCACGTCTGAGATTCTCTCAGACATAGGTTCGAACCCTCATCACGACCCTTGTGGATTTGTTCAGTATTCTTTAGAATTGCTGTTTTCTGGTTGATTTGTGTTTCTGGGAGATCTTCCAAGATGGCTATCAGTTTCTACCTGCTCTGAACTGAATCACACCAGGCCCTTCAGAGTCTTTAATTAGTTACAGAAGACCAGAGACCCAGAGAGCAGAGGACACGAAATCACTCTGAGGAAATGGCCAACATTAATTATTATAACACTCATAATGATCAACAAGTCTTGAACTGAAGCAAGATACTTCTGATGAATTAAAATGTATCACATGAGGCAATGTTTACTTCTCTCACTGAGGAGTGGTTGTACATACACCGTCAAAATTCCTGTTCTGAAAGCCAGATACTGCATCTGGACAAATGTTACAGACATAGAAACTATTTTGTCAAGGCTTTTGCCAAAACTTTCGTTTATAAGTGAAGAACTTTTTTTTTTTATGGGAAAAGTGCAACCACTTTCAGCAGTCAAAGGGTTATTGGTTACATATATTTTGGGAAAAAAACTGGAAAAGCTGTTCTAGTATTAAATTTCCCAAAATAGCAATTCAAACCAAAACTACTGTCAGAAACCCTCCTTTTTTTCATCAGCCCTAAGTGCTAGATGTTTCAAGTAAATACACAGAGGCATTCAAAATATGGCACAGAAATCCAAGAATTTAAATTTAAGTAAAATTGAAGAAGAAATAAAAATATGTCTTCTTTCAAGAAATAATAAAGAAAATCATGTATAACAATACCATACATATGGTACCATAACATGGAATATCTAGAAACAAAATGTTTACAACATAATTATATTTTTCCTTACTTAACAATTGAGCCTGTTCTCCTGAACTCTGTGGCAGGGTCAGAATCCGCACGTCTATGAGTTGGGGGAGGTGGCGGTGTGGACTGTAGAGAAGAAGTTGACCTTTGGGACTGGGGAGTTGAACACATCTTACGCACCTTGTTTCGAAGGCCTTCAAACACCTGACAAATTAACAAAACTATATATATGGCTTTAAAAAATATTACTTATTATCATGCTTAAAGAGTCTTGTGCTTTCAACTAACAGCAAATAGCAATTATATACATATGACCAGTATATAAATTATTATGTTACTCAAGAATGGTAGAGTACAAGCATATATTTTTAATTTATATATAAATATGTATTAAACCTACGTCAACAAGCCTTCTGTGAAGTGGCTGGTTTGCAGATGGAGCAATTTTGCCATGGAGATCTAAGGCACTCTCTAGAATCATTGTCTGGAAAAAAAAAATCAAATATACTTATAACTAAATGTTGAAAAACAAGAGACTTCTCTTTTGAAGCACCAATGTGTCATCAGTAAAGATCAATATAGAAGATATCTTTAAATTACTTAAGCATGATAGAAAGAGGAGTTTAATTCACTGACAAATGTACTGATAAGCTTTAAGTAAACTAGCATTTATTTTATTGTCGAAAACTTAATTTTCCAAGAGAAAACACAAAAATCTGCCTTAAATTTCTCTTGGCCATAGAACAGGATACACAAGACTGAAGTTTAAATTTCATTTAATCTTTCTAGGCAGGCTAATATAATAGAAACAATAAGACCAGTTCTCATAAGTCCCTTCAATCTAAAACAGAATTTAACAGGCTAAACTCATTTTAATTAAACCAGAAAAAAAGACAGTTGGGGCATATTTTGAACTCAAGTCATCAGGTCATGCAAAATTTGAGTCTAGTATTGTATGTAAATACAGGAACATTATAAACTTCAGCTGGGCCATAGCAGCTTTATTTTCCATCTCCCAATACATTATGAATCATTTCTGAATGAAACCATCAGACCTTAACAAGAGGAAATGTGACAGAGGAGAATTCTGAATGACCCTCAGAAGCTACATTCCTCTAGACTCAAAAACCTTTTTCAAGTAAATTCATTAAATCAAACAGACTCAGTGTTTGATTTTATGTATTTTATGTATCAGTGTAGCTCTTCTACTTCTAATCAAACACTATTTGCCCACCTGGCTGCTGCTGTCCCTAAGTAATGTAAGCAGAATCAGCTGGCTAACTTGTCTCACTAATCCCACTCACTCCAAGAAGAAAGGCACAAGGAAGGCCTCACAAATTAAGGACGCACTCTTATGCAAGTGTCACAAGACCCCCACACACAAAACAAAAGGAAATTTAAACAATAAAAGTTAAGGACGAGCTTACTTGTGACAGGAAGGTTTGGAAGGTGCCAGAAGCAACAAAGAGAGCCGGAGCCTCTAAGTAGATAGAGTACAAACTTTTGCCAATGATGAGATTAGTGAGAGGAGAAAGAACCAAACACCACATAATGATGACAAAGATGAAGTATACAGGAAGATGGAAATTGGCAATGATACATGATATAGTTTGTCTTCCAATACCGTAAGTACTAAATATCTGCATTGTTGAAGTTGAAAAGAATACCTGGACAGTAGCAAATTTCTGCAGATCATGAACCCTGGGATACATTCCAAGATGGTTGAGCTTGAACATAAAGTTAAAACAGACGAGCCTTGGACCAAAAGTGCATGATCCATGGGTCTATGAAAAGTAAAGCAGAAGGCAAATACCAAGACACAAAAGATATTGGCAGAGAGCAGCCACAGGGTATGTGATATGATAAACAGATAGGCAGACAAACCAGACCTGTACAAGAATATGGCCTCACTCGAAGGAAATCTTATCAATCTTTTCCAGGAATGAGGGATCAGGATGTAAGCAAACAAAGGCATTATCATAGTTACTACAATCAACATACCAATGCCAACAGAACCACAAGTTTTAAGGTCATATCCGAAAAAGGATGGTGACACTGAAATAAGGAGACAAGAAATCTAGCAACCAGGCAGTTTCCAAAATATCATTATAAGGATGAAGGGTCAGATGGAAGGCATGCCCCAGCTTAAGAAATGGCAGAAATTAGATTTACCAACCAAAACCCAGGAAGAGAGGTTCCACCAAAGCCGCTCTATAATATGCAATGGTGTCTTTTCCAGAAAGCTATGCTGGAAAGATACCTCAAGGAAATGCCATGGACAAAGAATGGTTGAGAGTCAAAAGCAACTGGAATGAATGCCACACCACCTCATAATGGCAACTGGAGGAATCCTAAAGATTGTGGAAAAGGACCTCTGCACCTTGACTCAGAGACAGGCAGCAACATACCAGGCCAAGAAACTCTACACATGAGTGGTAGAGAGCCTGGAAGAGTTCATAAACCAGAACGAGCCCGGAAAAAGATGGTCAAGAACAATGAGCATACAATTGCTGGATTGTTGACATGGGAGTTAACAGAATCATGTGGCCAATAAAATTCTTAAATTTTACCTTCACATGTAACAAGATTTGGACTTGAAGAAACATACAAATCATATCTCATTGATTTTAGTTGAGACAAAGCATGTCCAATACAAAAGTATCTTGACCCATAAACACAACTATATACATTAAACAACAGCTTGCAATCCCAAGTTGCCATAAAATTCATTTGGGACATCCTTCAAGTCTTGCAAATCTGGCAAAAATGAGGCCTCATCCTCTCTATAGTACGTAAATGTGATTGACCATCTGCAAGGATATTCAGAACCCTGTCAATGTGAATTGATGTGACGATTAAAGTTAGAAATGCTAGTAGAGATACTATGGAAAGTGCCACAATAGACAAATTTAACTAAGTATCTGCAATTTAAGCAGTGAACCACTGAAGCACTGAGTGCAAACAAACAAGAGTGCCTCAAAGCAGAGGGAGATGCATTTCAAAGCGATCCACACCACCATAATCCCCCAGACTGGGAATGCACCAATGTCAGAGAAAAGTGACCCCAAATTAAAGTTCCAACCCACATCATATGCACTGATGAACAATTCAAGCTATGAAGATGGAAGCCTCCAAGGGACCAAGCCCTAAACATCCTGAAGAGGAAATCTGCTATAAAGAATAATTATAGTCAAACCCAACCTTAAGGATAAATAATTGAAACTATGTTGAGACTCCTAATGAGTCACCTAAAAACTTGATGCAAAAGCAGACACTTTCTCAAAGCTAACTAAACTGAGACATGCCATCTTAAGCAGGGAGATGGAGACTTTCCCCTCGAGTACCAAATTAGCTACAAGCACAGAAGATATTTAAATAGGAGCTGGGATTTTGGGTCTCACCAGAATGCAGAAACAATCCAAAAATCATAATGCATCACAAAGACAGTGACTGGGAACCCAAATCAGCCCATCTTCCAAATACATAAGTACTGATCCACAAGCGGCGGCAGTTCCTAAAGGACCACAATTGTTAGATGGAACAATGTCCTGTAAGTTAACTGGTGCCTAATTGGGAAAGGCCATAGGGAAAAAGCTCAAAAGTGGTAAGAGGTGTTGCTGACCATGAACTCCAGATAGTACCTAAACCTTGGATGGTGAGGGATATGCAAGGTTCAGAGAAAGAAGCCAAGTTTGGCACAATTTATTTTGCAGAGTGGTAGACAGTTGGAACACGTTAAGTGAGAAGGTAGTGGATGCCAAAACTGTCAGTAGTTTCAAAGCATTGCATGACAAAGAGTACTAAGAAGACAGTAATTACACCGATGGTAATTTGGTAATTACACTTAGATAATTACAAGACTACATGATAAATTGCAAATAGTGATCATCCATTATTTTGAGGATCACATGCCTCTTGGAAGAATCCTGTTTGGCTATGGGAAATACAAGACTAAAACCTGAGAAAATGAGTCACCACAATGACAGTAGTAATGAAGTTACAAATCTCTGCACTTTCTTATGTTATCTGAATTTGCTCATTAAAACTTATAAAAATATAAGGTAATGGCCTTAAGGAGCCAAAGAAATTAAAGCAGTATGTTTCTAAAAGTAACGCAAATTCAAAAGTTGAATGTATTTTGACCAATATATTGAACTATGGCATCATGCAGGAACCATGCAAGCAGTAGAGAATGTAACAGATGACCTTAATTCAGGTAATATACCAGTAAATACTACACTATTCCACTGCTGAATACTGTACTTAATCTATTGATTTTATTGCTTAATACACTAACTTACTTGATCTGAGAGGAGAACCTTGAGCCGGTTAACATGGTCAGCATTTTCAGGATACACGACAAGATAATCTGGACCAAAAAATGCATCTTGATATTTTGCAACTCCTCCATTAACAGCTGCATCTATTGTACCTTGTAGTCTCATTGTAAAGGGCTGGATATTATCCTGCACAAGTTTGAAACAAGAGAATTAATGAAAATCATTATTTTGCAAAATTACTACTAAATTAGTTAAATGTATTACAGTACTGTATAGTGTAAATTTAAATCTGTAAGGTACATCTTTACAGAAATATAAAAGTAATAACATTTACACTAATTAATTTTTTGTTAAAAACTTACAAAAGGAGTTTCAAAAAGACAATGATACATACACACAAACACAAAATAATAATAGGAATCAACAAAATTCATAAGGAAGAACTCCTGAGACCTGGAACTTCAAGAACAAGAGATCATAGATTTAAGCTAATTAAATAAAGCTGCCTAAGAAATACTGTACAGTATAAGAAAATTCACTTTTACAAACGGAATGATAGACGGTTGGAACAAGTTAATTGAGAAGATTGTGGAGGTCAAAACCGTCAGTAATTTCAAAGCATTGTAACAGAGTGCTGGGAAGACGGGACACCACAAGCGTAGTGTTCATCCTGTAACTACAATTAGGTAATTGCACACACACACACACACACACATTCAAACTTATATTACTTAAATCAAAATAAGTATCTATGGTACCTGAGGGTTTGCTCTGTAGTGAAGGGTAATCTGCCGGATTTGCTTGTTATTTCTCTCAACTGTTTCACAGGCATATTGGGGAGGGCATAGTTGATCTAGTTTCTGATCAACTACTTCAAACCACTTAAGAATTCCAGGCAGTTCAAATTCTGTTGTGTATGTAATTCTTTCAATCCACAAGTTCTATGTAAAAATTAAAAAGAGCATTAATTATTTTGCATTAGAATAACTAGAAATGTAAGTTTAGAATAAAAGTACTTTATATTATGTATGATCAAAATGCACAAAAGGCTTTGCTGGATAAAAGAGAATACAGTATATTATATTTATAACTAAATACTTTTCTATGAAATTCATACTAGTTATATACAGACATATACAATAATGCAAAACATTAAATAAAATTTGTAAGTAAAGTGAACTTAAAATTAACACAGAGCTTCCAGTTGTATGCAGAAATTAATTCCATGTCACCTCGTTTCAATGATCCATAAAACACAGTCAACTTTTGCTATCCACAAGGTATAGCACTCTTGAAAATCTCAGAACATGTGAATTTTTGAAGCATCCAAATTCAAGTTATATGATAAAAATAGCGATGTGTTCCAGATCTCCTAAAGCCCACTTTCTTGGCTTATTCAATAGTTCACTGGATCTTATGGCACTGGAATCGCAAGGCCACCATCCCATTATCAGGCTCCTCAAACTTTAAAGGCATACATACCAGGAACCTGGACAAGACTGGCTCCATGCATTTCCCTTGCAGGATGCATGAGGAAATGCATAAAGAATGCATGAGGATCAAAGATCAACTTGCAACCAGTCAACCTTCTGTAGTTGCACAGAACAACTAACAACACTGCTGTTCAGTCACAAGCTGAACAGCAGTGCTGTTAGTTGATGCTGTGTGTGTGTGCCAGCCTTGGTTACTCTCTCAGTACTGAGGCTCTCACACCCTGGAATATTGCCCACAATTTTTTTTTTAAATGGCATCTGTTTACAAGAGCCCTGAGGAAGTCGATGAGAACTCTGTGTAGCCATGGGACTTTTAAATCTTACATGGTGCTCCCAACCGTACATAGCTGTGGTGCACAGTTTCACGACAGTTACTCACCCCAGCTATATATGTATTGCGCAGTTTAAGGGTTAATAAATGAATACTTTAAACAATATTGTAATATTTTATTTCCAAAGTCTACAAATACTAGAACTCTTACCTTAAATTCATTATCTTTATCAGCAGGGCCTCGGTATGTAGGTCTATCATACACGAAGCGCCGGACGTGGTTGTTCGAGTAGTATTTTAAGATTCGTTCATCCACCTCTACACCGTCAAACATTGGATTGGGTTCAGATAAAGTTTTCACAGCACAAATCTAGAAATAAATGATTTTATGTACAAAAATTTAGTATGGTGCTTAAAATTAGCCTAGCAGGAATTATTGTCAACAAACATGATTTAGTAGCCATTATAGCCTTAGGTATTTGATGCAAGGATATAAGCTTTGCTGTTCGGATCTTAATGTCTTACTTTGCTACATAATGCTTTGCCCAATTGAAATAAATACTTGCATAAAGTTTAAACAATATGCCTAACTTGGTCTATAAATCAATTACTGAAAACAAAAGACGAATAACCAAAAAAGAATTGGCTGTCTATACCTTAGGATAGTAAGCCTATGTATTTATAATACAATATGGGTGTATACCATTGGAAAACACTGCAAATACACAAACACAAGCACAATAGTGTTTCTTACCAAAGTGCAGTATCATTAACTGTAATACCCATTAAAAACTTATGCATCTTACTTGCAATGAATGTATATAGTGTTTATTAAACTCACCAATGCTTATACATGTGTACTTGAAATTTATATATTACCAACTGTGTGATTTACTTACTTATTACATATTTTACCTGAATGTATTGACCATCAGATGAGCGTATTGTGTCATCTGGAGGAGTATTGTGAGACAGCATCTTTGCCTGTGGAAACTCTGTCTGAATTCTCTGTGTGAAAGCCCCAATCTGTTCATATTCCAAGCCTCGGTAGATGAATACTTTATTCTGAAAATGTAAAATATATTCTATACTGAATATCACTATTCTAGCGATTTCAATAGAGTGATGCCACTCAAACAGACTCAAATAGAACAGATGTTCAGATGGAAAAGTATAAATATAATGTACTGTAATTTGTTGGTATGATCTGTTGCTATGGTTACCTAATCCAGTTCCACTCAAATGGACTTGTATTAATACACACAAACATAATTTAATAAAGGTTAACACTGCTGAGGATTCCAGGCCAAATTGATGGTGAAATCCAAGAAAAAACCGTGTAACCAAAGGACCCGTGCAGGGATACAGAACTGCACCCAACAACACTGAGTAGTTCCCAGGAAACTAGAAGACCAAACCATAATGAAAAGTAGGAAAACATTTTGGTAACCAGCACACACATCAAGGGACCTTGCAGCATAGAGCCAGGTCCACTACAACTAACTGGAGAGCCCAAGCCATAGCAAGCAGCAAAGGCACCCAAACCAAGAGCTGTAGCAGACAGATGAAATCTGGGCAATTGTGCAGTGTCACAGAAAACCAAGGCCAAAAAAATACTCATGGAGCCCAAAGCACACATGCAAGAGCAATCATGCAATCCAAGTCTCTGCTGAATCTCAGGTGTGAGCCTTAAAGAAAGGAAGGAAAGTCATCTTGCTTCCAAAACCATATGTAACCTCCTGTGGAAAAATGTCATTTGGAAGTGGTAGGCCCCAACAGAAACTAAAAGCCCAGCCACCACCAGAACTCGCACAAGAATTAGCCACAATCAGCCAATTGACAAGGCCAAATAGAGGCCCAAACAAAATGTAGGGACACCAGAAACCAAAGGTCCCAATGATGGCACCCAAGATCAAACTAGCCCTCTAAAGAACACGGAAGATGACTCCTTAAATTTAATGAGTTGGGTCAAGCAGTTTACAAATATAAATGTGGTCTCCTAAAAGCTAAGTAATGAACAAAATTAAGATTTTATTATATATATATTTTATATTTATACACTAGAAAAATCCTTGTGTATGTGTATAATTACTTAAGTGTGTTACAGGATGAGAGCTACGCTCGTGGTGTCCCGTCTTCCCAGCACTCAGGCATATAAAACTTTGATATTACTGATGGTTTTGGCCTCCACCCCTTCTCACCTAACTTGTTCCAACCGTCTACCACTCTGTTTATACTGTGTGCGTATGTGTGTGTTTAAACAAATATATACACACTATCATTTGGTAAGATTAATGGCACCAAATTAAAAAAAAAATACTGAAATGCAAATACAGTACAAATTGGGAAATCCAGTTCAACTGCAAAGCAAACATAATTTTTGTTAATATTGTATACTGTATTGATTAATGTTTACACACCAAAACATATATTGAGCTATTGTAGGTACAGAGTAATTTATAAAACATGCAGAAGCAAAGAAAATAATGCTTTGATTCATTTTACAAAACATCCAAGTATACTTAGATTAAACTATACTTTACATTATTCATACTGTACACCAAGTTCAATTCCTCTCCGATCCCATCCCATACATTTACTTATTGCAAACTTCTAAGGCACTTACCCTGACAAACAATGGAAGCCCAAGGCCATAAAACCCAACTCGAAAATACTCGTTATCATAACGTTTACCACTTAAGATCTTCTCGTAGAATGTTGCTTGTCTTTTTAACACCTCACTTAGTTTCTGATAATCAAATAAGTGTGTGCGATATTGATTTGCCAGTTCCTCGAGAAGAGGAATACCTTGCTCCCAGCACTGAAAGTGGAAAAAAATGCAAATCAAATACTGTACTGTAATATTGAAGTCCTATTCATCAGCAAATTTAGGTCACCTAAATTTGGGTTTATATAATTGGAGCTGCCTTGTATGGGCCAATAGGCATTCTGCAGTTCCTATTATTCTCCTATCCTTATGTACATAGGATATTCTAGATAAACATTAATGGCAGGAAAACGGCTAAAGTGCGAGTAAAGAGTGGTTGAGGTGAACTATAATTCACCTCAAAATTATGAATGCAAAACACAGCAACAATATTCACAATTAAAAGCCAGTATTGTAGGAGTAATACATGAAAGAGAAATCCCCTACCATCCAAGTGATTAGGTTACCTTACCTTAAGGTTACCTTGAGGTGTTTTCGGGTTAGCGACCCCGCGGCCCGGTCGTCGACCAGGCCTCCTCATTGCTGGACTGGTCATCCAATCCATCCATCCAACCTGGCACCATTCCTTCTCCCCATCCCGAATCTTATCCTAACGCTTTCTAAGGACAATATAGTCATAATGGCTTGGCGCTTTTTTCTGATAGTTCCCTCCCTTCCTCCATATAAAGTATGAAAAATTATCAAGAAACTTTATGGATAACAAAAGTAGGGGGTGGAGGGGGTTGAGTTTTGGTTTTCCACATTTGCATTATATTTCCAAGAGGAAAGGGATGTGTCCTTGCCATATATTTAATGGAAAGCCATTTATATCAATTGTTAGGTACTGTAGAAATAATAAAATATAGAAAACTCTTTTTGAGCCTCTATTTTCCAATAAAAATTATGGTCCAAGCAATTTGATACTAGACTAAATGTTCTTAATGTATTGAATATTATTAATACAAGAAATAAGCATACTCATTAACAAATTTATTTTATTTTATTCACAAAATATCGATACAATAATTCTGCGTTACTTTTCCCCCTTCATTTACTACACGACACTGTTGGCACCCATGACACTCACTGCCATGCAAATTTACCTCACATAAATTAAAGACAAATCAAATACTATACAGTATAGTATATACTTTTCCTCATTTTTAGAGAAAACAAATTAATAATAACCCAAAAAATAGATCTCTAATACCATCATACCTTGCCCTTGTCAAAATTATCAATTATTTTCATGTAGATCAACTCTTTTCTCTGAGTTTCCGTCTGTGCTGGATATAAGTGATCAGCATGTAACATCCTCTGTGTCCAGGCTAGCTGATTTGCATGAAGTTGAAGAGTAAATGCTGCCTCTGTAAAGTTCCCTGCTGGCACATGTAGATCATGCAACTTGTAAATATAACGGATGTACATTTCCTGCCGGTTGATTTCATTTTTGTAAAAGTTCTGTAAAGAAGCAATGATATACAGTAAAGATAACAGAATTTGCTAAAAAAAATTTTATTTAACTTCCCAATGCACAGCCTTTCCACGTGCACTTATATTACAATATAATGTATTTACAGAAAAAAAGTGATTTAGAGCCTTTTTTCAGAGACGGTCAAAGTACACTTGAACATGAAAAGGGTTAGGATTTTTTTAACCATACTGTTATTGATGCGAGTTATAAAGTGTTATTTATTACATTTCTAATGAGAAAAAGACTTGCCCTTTCCAGCAGTACCAGTAACTTTTTCTCCATAACCGGAAAAGTTCAAAATTTTGCATCGAGTGTGATGAAATGCTCCTTTCTGGGCTCCATCTCAGTAGCATCCCTAGTTCAATGCTCTGGTCATTACTGGGCCACACTAGACAAAAGCAGATACCATTAAGATTTTAATTGCCAACCAGATACGAACCACTGCAGTTTTCTGTTACCCCCAATACTGAGCAAAGCACCTTTACTGCAATAAAAGGAAATCCCATGACATCTAGACTCACTCTGAAAAAATTATTAGCAAATAAATGAAACAAGTAACTTAGTAACTGGAAGAATGCAAATCTGAAGGGAAATGTAGCTACATGTAATTTACTAAATATAAGAAGGTCATGCAGCATGTGATTAAACAGAGTTTAAATACAAATATGAATGTTGACCACAGAGAAAACCGAGAAAGAAATTAGGAGCAGCTCCAGATTATCACAGAGCAAAATGGAACTAGAAAATCTGCAATAATATTTGGTTGCAAAGAAAAATATATTATACTGAAAATTAAGCAAGACAAAGAGCAGGAAGAAATGATGGCTAAAATTTTGAGCCACGTTGAAAGGCTAAAAAGCGGGAGTATGGAACTGACGTTCTAAGAATTGGTAAATATGAGAATGAAAAATACAAACCTTTGAATTTTTTAGCAGTAAAAAGCAATAGAAAGAAATGCCTCAAAAGGCTAAGGATATAAAACAGGACAAGGGCCATGAAATCCTAAGGTTTGTCCAAAACACTGTGATTATTGGCCTTAACAATAAAATAGCAGTGCTATATATATATCAATGTATTAATACAATAATACTGTATAATCAGAGAACATTTTTCTTAATAATATTATTATTATTATTATTATTCACACACAAATCACACTAACTTGATATATACCAAAGAGAAAATCCACTGGGGCTTTGAGGCAATGTGAACTTGCAACCAAGGCATTTTCCTCGGCATACTCTACAACTGTACCACCATAACTTGCTAAAGTCATACAACCGGATTTCTACTGAAATCACAGGAAGTCTGAAGGCCCCTACTGAAGCCAGTACAAGTTTTTATCTATGACCCAAAAGTACTTTGGTGCAAGAGCAAAGTAATTCTTCACAGATACACACACAGATCAAACTAATGTGATATATATATCATTTCTATTTTCAAGCTGTGAAAACAAGCTGTTCTTGTTTTTTCTGGACATTCTCGATAGTTTTCATGGGTTTTTAGGTTATCTCTGATCTCCATATTGCACTTGTCTCATTGGGAAAATCAGATTCGGTCCTGGTTTCCGAAGACACTTGTGTATGTCTCGGGTGAAGATAGACAGAAACTACAGGACGACCTGGACAAACTGTAGGAATGGTCTAGAAAATGGCTACTAAAGTTCAACTCAGGTAAGTGTAAAGTAATGAAATTAGGCAAAGGAAGCAGAAGGCTGAATACAAGGTACCATCTGAGAGGTGAAATCCTGCAAGTCAAATAGAGAGAAAGATCTGGGGAATTGATATCACACCGAACCTGTCCCCAGAAGCCCACATCAAAAGGATATCATCAGCGGCATGTGCTAGATCGGTCAACATAAAAATTGCCTTTAGAAACTTGTGTGAGCAATCGTTCAGGACCTTATATACCACTTATGTCAGACCAATCCTGAAGTATGTAGCTCCAGCATGGAGTCCATACCAAATTAAACACAAGGCAAAGTTAGAGAAGATTCAGAAGTATGCCATCAGACTAGTCCTGGAACTGAGACGTATGAGCTACGAGGAAAGGCTAAGGGAGCTAAACCTCACGTCCCTGGAAAAAAGAAGAGTAAGGGGAAACATGATAACCACCTACAAAATTGTCAGGGGGAATTGTTTGGGCGGAACACAAACAAGGGAGACACAGGTGGAAACTTGGTACCCAAATGAGTCACAGAGACACTAGAAAGAATTTTTTGTGTCAGAGTAGTTAACAAATGGAATGCATTAAGCAGTGATGTGGTGGAGGCAGACTCCATACACAGTTTCAAATATAGATTTGATAGAGCCCAGTAGGTTCAAGAATCTGTATACCCGTTGATTGACAGTTGAGAGGTGGGATCAAAGAGCATAAGCTCAACCCCCTACAAGCACAACTAGGCGAGTACAACTAGGTGAGGTGCAGGGTACAATCTGAAGGTTTAGTGGTATCAGCACCTGAGCTACCAAGGGGCACCAGCCCAGAAAATTATTTATTACTTAAGTGTGACTGAATTCAGAATATGAAGCAGTGGTGTGGTGCCCACATTTACAAAAGTATGGTATATAAATTGAATAGAATTCAAAGGGATGCTACAAAATGGATACTGAACTAATACACTTGACCGATGAAAAGCTGTTAGACTTTCTGAAGCTTCATCAACTGGAATACAGTATAAACTGAAGTCATGGTCATTAAGAAAAAAATGACAAGAGTTAGGGAAAGCTGATATACAGTACTGTAGTAAATTTCTTGATACCTGGCCTAAACAGCATCAGATAACATAAGTACATGGCTAAGTACACAGATTCAAAAAGATTATCGAGAAATATTTCTTCTGTAATAGAGTAGTTAGTGGATGTAACATCCTTGATAAGAAAGTTGTGCTCCAAAACTAATGCTAATTTTATGTCTAAAGTTGATCAGATTGATAGAACTAGAACAAGTAGTGATTAGCTAATTACATGCATTAAGCAAAGCTGGATAAAGATCAGAAAAATTCCAGCAGACTACAGACTAATCTCAGAGTTGAGAGCATTAAGAAAAAAAAAAGACATGGAATTAAACCCCCATCACTGGAAGAGAGAAGAAGCAGGCCCAACATAATTACCTTGTACCCGTTCAAAATTTTCAGGAGAAAAAACAGAGCAGACTAGTTAGCACAAAAGGTACACAAACACAGACACATGGATGGAAACCAAAAACCCCAAAACAACAAAGCACATAATTCTAATTTCCGAGAGCAGTGAATAAACAGAATTGACTGAGAAATGATGTTCGACTAAATACACAGCTTCAAATGTAGATATGACTGATCCTAATGAGCTTCAAAACCTGCACACCAGTCAATTGATGTTTGAGAGGCAGGACCTAAAGAGTTGTAGTTTATCTCCCCACAAGTACAACTAGATAAGTACACACACATACAGTGACCAGACATGACTGTTGGAGCTTCTGGGCCAAGGTCATCATGACTAGTTACCTAACAATGTAGGAACAGAATGTGGCTTAGTGGTGTCCCTTAACCACTTTTCTATTATTTTAAGTACAAAGAGAGTCTACCAAAAGTGTTTATTCCAAAAAAAAGATCAGTTCTTTAAAGAAACAAAGTACCGTGGGGTCGGCGGAAGTTTGCCGACCACTGACAGTTTGTTGATATTATGAAGTCCGTGGCAATCTCATCAACGGATGACTCCATCTGTCTCAACCCCGCGATCTGAGGAGGATAGACAAGGCTCGAAAGACGATGACTTCATAAAAGCCAGGAACATCGGTAAGTTTGAGGGCTTCAAATGTGAGGATTCCCTGTTATTAAGTTTTTTGGATGTGATGAAACTAGCTGACAGACTGAATGAGCAAGAGTATACACAGATACAGCTATCAACAAGAATTATCGTTGTGAATCAAGTCTCAAAACATGATAGCAGCTCCTGGGATGCAGCTCAAAGAATTCCAGTAAAATCCTCAATCAACAACAAAAGGGAAAAGTAAGATTCTCTACAGAAAGAGATCTTACAGTATAAAAATGATAATGCACGATAAAACATTCTGAAGCTATGCCCTGATGGTGAAAGAGAAGAAATTGCAAACAAGGTTTGTTAAGGAGACTACAGATCTCAGTTTCAACAATGAAAATAAGGGAAGGGAAATTACGTGAAATCTGAAAATGCAGACGAGTCACAATAACGTGGCTGAAGATATGAAGACCAAACCACACATCAGAAGATGAAGAAACGATGACGTTTTAGTCCGTCCTGGACCATTATCATGTCATGTGTCAGTAAGACGGAAATGATAACCTCTCCCTACCACACGACATGATAATGGTCCAGAATGGACTGAAAAGTCATCATTTTATTCTGATGTGTGGTTTGGTCATCAAATCTGAAAATGGATCAGAATACAACTGATGGGAGCTATTCAATAATAATTTTTAGATGTAAACATTAAGATTTGGTATATATTCATGGTAAAGAAATTCTAATAATTTTTGAAGGATTTACTTTCTAAAACTTTTCGTTCCACTCTGGAACATCTTCAGGTAAAGAATGAATACAATTTTTTTTTTTTTTTTTTTTACCTGTGCACCCTTTACCCGCCACTGGTAACCATGCCGATGAAAGAGGAAATTAGGGCAGGGAATGGAGCGTGAGAAACAAGATACAGGGAAGTAGGGACAGCACATTTGTGTATATATAGTAATAGGTAGGCTAAACAGTATTAAAATACACAATATAATGTAATAGAACTAATGCTATTAGAAATAATGCACTAAACGAGAACCTCTCGGATAACACACTTTTGATATTACTGTATATCCAAGATCACGCAAATCACTGGACAGCTAAACCACATATTATACTTGTTTTTACATTACAAGAGGGGCTGTTAGTACTGTATTATCATTCAACAAATTGTGACCAGAACAGTGAATTTATATAAGCAAGCAGTCATAACTTATTATAGTTAATCTCAGAGAAAAAAAATCACAAGTAGCAAACAGATATTTAAGACCAGTGACAAGGTATACTACAGTATCTTAATCAACGGAACAGAAAATGGGGCAACATTGCCCCAGGAATAGGCAATTTTCCCTAACAGCAACAGCTACAAGTATGAAGGGCTGGAAGATTAATTAACATAAGATAGCAACAGCCAATAGAATACAGGGCTGGAAATTTGCATACACTTAACTAAGTCCCATGGAAGTGTATCAAGGGTCACACTCCAGTTATTTTTCTTCAAGCATTCGTGCGATATTAAGACTCGAGAAAAGAATCCAGTTCATATAGGCCAAAGTTAATGGTAAGGGTATTGAGACAGTGATTCATAAAGGTAGATTCAATCAAATTTAGCTCAACAAAATCCCTGCAATGAGCAAGACATTTTGAGACACTCCAGTTAATGGAATGGTCTCAAAGGCTGACATGTAAATATTGTATAATGCATTGGATTGCTGTGCAGTTTGAATTGAGTAAAATGTTGAGACAAATGAGATTCCAGTTCTTTACCAGTCTGGCAGATGTACTTGCAGTCTTTGCAAGGGATTGAATACATATACCCTGTAGCAGATGCTGGCAAGTTCTTGATGAAAATGAAAATGGACTAAGTCGTATTATTACAGTATTTTAAAACACCAAATTAATATTAATTGAGAAAGCAGGAGAACCTTGCCAAAGAATGTCTAGCCAGGAAAACACTCTGAGCAACACCCAAACTGGAGGGAAGAGACAAAAGGTACTCTCATCAACTCCACTCAAGTCATAAGGAAACCACCATCAAAGCCCCATGATTGGGGAACAAGGCTACACAGCACACAACCTGTTGGTTCCACACAGATACAAAGAGGTCCACATTTGGACAACTGAACATCCTGCAAAGCTAATGGAAAGACATGTCGTTAATGTTCCACTCCATGGCAAAAGGACCGAAGCGAGAGAGACTATCTACCAGAACAATGAACATGCTCCCAAACATGAAGTGCATGGACAGCCAAACTCTGAGAATCCTAAAGTTAGGCTACCCCCGCAGAGCCCAGATTCACAATGGGAGAGACTGAAGCAACTTCCCTTAATTTAGACAATGAATCAACAGAGAGCAGTTAAGTGTTTATCTGGTACCACGGAGCCAACCAGAAGACAAAGCAATCAGGAAGTGTGCCACAGTTGCCACGTGCCCACATCCCGGTGCATGGACATTGTAAGTAGGCAAGCCTTAAGTGACAACAGCAACACCACTCAAGTATATCTAAAAGACAGTACTGACACCAGGCCACTCGAGTATTAGGGTAACAAAAAAGCCATGTCAGGCCTTCAGGGAAAGCAATGGATTGCCCGCAAGCCAGAACGAATCGGGGACCTTGGAACAACCTAGTAAGGCAAGGCTGACTCAAAGTCTATAGAAGACAGGTACAGTATATCAAGGCCACACAGTCCTGATCCTCGATGAGAAACCAAAACAAATTCCTACATGCCTTCGAGGGCAAAAAGATGGGTGTTTAAAGCCCAGGTGAATGGGGTGTTTGAAAACCTCCACATATGGGCTGCCCCTTGAAGATTGAAATGGACTCTGGAAATGAACACAGAGAGGAGCATCTGAGGAATCCATGACAAACATGGGAGGAGGGTAAGGCAAACGCTCCACCTTGAGAGAATAACCCTCAGTAGAGACACCCAAACACTAATTGGGGTTGAATGGCACCCATTCACCCTCCTTGGGCTCCTTCCCAACCCCAGAAGCCCAAAAACACTAAGACTCCATGGCAGAGTTATAATCTCCTAGCTGTGCTTGCGGGGTTGAGCTACGACTCTTTGATTTGTGTTCTGTACAAGGTGCAGAGGAATGAAAAGTGTCTCCCCAAAGAGAAGGATCAGAACCGGTAATACCCTAGAGAAACAAATGGCAGCGGCTCTTCGGCAGGAAGTGACTGGCTCAACTACCTCTGCTGCCAATGTGGAAGAGACAACACCCAAAGGAGGCTTAACCTTACCCAAAGAAACACCATCACCATGCTCCAAAACCTTCAGACACTTTGGAGACTAGGGGCAAGAAGAAGCCTCACAGCTTGATGAACTGCATCAGATGGTCCTGAAGAAGAGAGAGACGAAGGCTAAATTAAAACAGGTGGAAACCACCAACCTCTCTAACTCCAGACCACGAAAAGACAAAAGCGGCCAACTCTGGGAAAACAACACTGACACCAAGCTGCAAACAATGTATACAGAAAAACCTCTCTCATAAAGTAAAGGCTGAGATGCTGAGCAATGAGACAAAGATTCAGCCAAAATAGAGATCAAATGGCAAAACACATCACAGGCCTCAGGTTGGAAGTTATCATCCACCCAGCAGGCAGCATTGCAGAGGCAGTAAGAATGACCATGTGAATACAATAAGACTAAGGCACATTCTTCAAACTCTCACCCTACAAGTGCATGCTTGTAGAGCCAACCCATTCCAAACCTTACCAATAACCACTAGGGGTTTGCTGGGTCCCAAAGGTAAAGACCAAGCAGGAACACTGGACACAGGGGGCTGCTCTTCAAAAATAGGATTACAAAGGCTAATGCAGCATAGGAAGCAAAGGCAGCTGCAAAGGATGTAAGCAACACACCTTTACACAAGCACAGAACTCCTCAAAAAGAAAACCCCCCGACTAGTCTCAACATCAGTCTCTCATAGACGAGTTAAAAACTCATGCACTATTCAGGGTGAGGTTTCCTCCACAGGAGAACAGCCTTTCGGAGATGGCCACACAAACCCACTATGGTAAACAACTGTCAGGGCAGGCACATGCAATTTATGGCAAACTTTTTTTCATATTACATACAGGCAGTAACTGTCATGAACACATGCATGTGAAGCAAATACTAAATTAAAAAAATGACCACACAAGCAAATGGGGATAAGTGACGGCTGTCTTTTGGGCGGCTGTGACTTGTCTGAAAAACCAGGACCTGAAGGGAGCAAGTGGACACAAGGACCGACATTTATACAACCACACCAGGCTTAGTGACTGTTGACTTAACTCAGCTGAGCCAGTAGCTGGGAATTCACCCACCTGGTGGTGGGCAGGTGCTACTAGAGTGTAAACTACCTACCAGGTGGATCATTTTTTATGTTTTGTTTACCTTGGTGGTGTTTGTTTTATTTTGCTTTACTTTTCTGGTGGTCTTTCTCAAGTTTGAATGATCCAGAATTTTCAGCTCCCTGCTCCTCTGTGGAGAAAGCCGGGTTTTGGCTTCTGGTCCCAGGCAGGCTTAAAATGATTTTCAAGGGCCTGGTGTAATATGAATGGGTGGAGCTATCCAGGTTGCTAGAAACAGGGAGTCACAATAAGAGAATCTCCCAGAAAACTAGCTATATATGTTATGAAGTGAACCTGAAAAATATAGTTAAATTTTGTGCACCGAGACAACAGTTCCAATGGAAAAATAAGCCAAAACCTATGTTACTGGCCATTGCAGATCTCAGGATAATGACTGGTGAGGCACTGGTAGAAAGTGAAGATGTAGCTCTCTCTATTTACTAGAAGAGTGCTAGCGGGAGGCAACATTTGGTAAGGGTAGTTTTGACAAGAAATAGCTTTGTCCATGCTGTTAATTATCACTTGCAAGAGGTGTTGAGGGTATTGCTTCCAGCTATGTCATAGCAATCAGGTTTTCATGGTAATGATTGGAGCTAGACTTGCCATTGTCTCCCTTATCTACCTTTATCCCTGATGATAAGACCATTTTCAAAGATCCTCATCAGGTTATGGGAGATCACAAGAGCCAAGCATAGTAATATTGCCATGGGGGTCCAGTGTCATCTGGCCCAGGGAGCATATGAGGGGCCTGAGCTCAGAAATTTTCTTATGATATAAGAACATGCAGTAAAAATAATTATTAAAGAATATAGAAAGCTTTCTTACCAAAAGGTTAACAGTGCAACTCATTCTCTTGTCACAGTTCTCATCACCTTGCATCACATTGCGATAGTCTAATAGTCTTTCCAAGAGGCGCGTCACAGAATTGATGAACGCTGTGCCACTTTCCCTCCAAACTGGATCATTGGAGCGAACTCTCTCCAATAAACTGTTTAACCCATAAACAAAAATTAATATTTGTTCTAAATTAAATACTATAATTCTTACCATATTAAACACTGACGACCATATCTACCATACAAATACATTAACGGGTATTAATTATAAATAAGTAAGTATAAAATATACAGACATAAGCTATGAAATGTTAAAAATAGAAAATAAGAATTTGTCATTATACAACTCAAAGAATCATTCTTCAATTAATACAATCTACAAAAGTTTAATAATTTTAACAATAATACTCAGAATAGCATATTAGGAAATAATGCACGAAAGCACCACTCTAGCTACCTCTAAAAATTAGCATTTGCTTTACTATTTTAATGATGACCAAACCATACATCAGAGAATGGAGAAACGACGATGTTTCGGTCTGTCCTGGACCATTATCAAATTGTGTAATTATTCAGGATGGACAGAATCATCATTTCTCTACTCTCTGTGGGGTTTGGTCATCATATTTTCAGTCATGGTATTGTGACTCATCGTCTGCTTATTATTTTAATGTTATTACAATTGTCACATAATGCTTTGAAACTACTAACGGTTTTGGCCTCCTCTACCTTCTCAATTAACTTGTTCCAACTGTCAACCAATATGTTTGCAAAAGAAAACTTTCAAATATATTTTGGCACCTCTGTTTCCTTAGCTTGAATCTGTGATCTCCTGCTGGTGACTTTCAACTGAGTCTCACATAAGGGGTTGTTCTGGAAACTAGAACATACTGGAGAGATGACTGGGAGACTTCTAGCATGGATGAAATATTTTCTGACAGAAATATGAAGGCAGTTATCAGAGGCAATGAATCAGAATGGAGAAATGTTATGAGTGTAGTACCACAGAGTTCAGTTTTAGCACCAGTAATGTTCATTGTCTGTATAAATGATCTACCAGAAGGAATAGAAAATTATATGAACATGTTTGCTAATGATGCCACACTACTAGGGAAGGCAAGAAACTTAGAGGATTGTCATACTCTTCAAGAAATCAGGACAAAATAAATGAATGGAGCAACACTCAGCAAATAGTATGTAATATGGATAAATGCCACATTATAGAAAGTGGCACTTTCCAATCAAATTCATTAAAGAACTTGCAAAGTTTACCATAATGACATCAATCTTGACATCAAGTTTTTCAACTATTTTATTTTCCCCATTCTTTTTTAGGTGTAATATTTATAATTGCATATTTACTTCCAAAAGGACATGGTTGCCTTTACCCAAAGAAGAAAGATACTGAATGTCAAATATCTCTTCTTTCCTGGTGAATATCAAATAAAGAATTGATGGAACATTCCTTCTCTCATTCTCGTGGTCTGCTTAACGTGTTTTGAGAGACTATTTGTTTACATTATTTCGGGAGGTTATTTGGCATTTTCGAGCCTTCAGTCTCTTTGAACCCAGCAGTAGTGTATTGGTGTGTTGACATTCTGGATGCTTTCCTGTTGGGGTGGCAAGTGTCACCCTTCTCTGTGTCTGTGAGGGAGCCCAGGTTCTGGCTCGGGTTCCTGGCATGCCTAACAGAACTCCACGAATGTGACCTAGTAGGTGGGAGGCATCTCAGCGAGACACCTTCAGCGAGCCACTAGGGCTCATCACGAAAGAGACATTTCATCACGTTCAACACTGGTTTTTTAAAGTTATTACACAATAACATTTGCTGACTGAAATAAGAAGGTACATTTGAAAGCTGATAAAATATTTTAATATTTCTGTACTACAATGTTGACTAAAACAGTATTACTTGCCAACTTACACTGCACTTAAATGTTCCCTAGTTGATAATGCATGAAAAATAAAAATAGGTTAAATTACACAGAGAAAATAAATCACATATACATAACATATTTGTTTCAGCATATATTTCAAAACATACTTTTTTAATTTTTCATTAGAATACTTTTCTACTGTATGTGGATGACATGCAGAAGTAAAAACTCTCGGTACATACAACATGTGCTCATTAACAAACTGTTGTGAGAACCAAAGCTCTCAATCACCTAGATCACAAGTATTTAACCTTTGTAGTACTGTCCTCAACAATCAATCTTCAACCAGTGCTACCCCAACAACCAGTCTTCAACCAACAAAAAATCTTAAACCAGTGCTACCCTTAACAATCAATCTTCAATCAGTGCTATCCCAACAATCAATCTTCAACCTGTGCTATCCCCAACAATCAATCGTCAAGCAGTGGCATCTCAACATTTAATCCTCAACCAATGGTACCCACAGTAATCAATATTCAAGGAGTGACACCCCCAGCAATTAACCTTCCACTGATGGCACACCCCAGTAATCGACCTTCAACCAGAAACACCGCAACAATTAACTAGTCTCACCCCCAACAACCAACCTAACATTTCTCTCACCCCAGCAATCAATCTTCAACTTGGGGCATACCAATATTCAATCAGTGGAGCACCCCCAACAGTCAATCATCAAGCACCCAACACTCAATACTTTGCATATGCCACTTATCATGTTCACATTAGCTTCTTGTGTTAGTGTTGAGATCATTTTGGCTCCCAGGTCATTTCTCTTATTGTTTCTTACAGTTGCCTTCCTCTTATGGTGTAGTTATATATAGGTCTCCTAACTCCCTTGCCCATCTTCATTAGTAGTAGACAACTCCATAGTTGTGCTGTGGTTGTCAATCCTGGTGCAGTGTCTGGTGTGACTGATGAGGCCAATACGAGGCCCATCTTCATTACCTTACACTTATTTGGATTGAATTCCAGAAGTTATTTATCTACCCACTCCTGAAGTTTGTCAAGCTCTTCTTGCAACACACTACAGTCCTGATCAGTTCTTACTCTCCTCATTAACTCTGATATACTAGCAAGGTGGAACATCACCATATGGATATAATCTGCATATCACCTACATATATAAACTCTGTATATCATCTTTATACAAACAATATGCATAATGATCTTGTTTAACATGTCATGCCCTTAATCCTACATAATCAGCTTTATAAAAACGGCTAGACATGCTGACCTCCTAGCAACACCTGACCTTGTTGTGTATATCTCGGTTTCATTACCATATTTCTCACAGTTCTGAAGTGACTGGGTATCGCATAATGTATACATGTTTGAATGTGTAAACATGATCTTATACAAGCATGCTTGTGCATGTTTTATAAGAATATACAGTATACATTTACAGTGTTTATGCATGTATTTCTGCAGGACAAAAAATAAAATAGCGCAAGTACTCACATGGTATTAAATAGCTGACGATACTCATCGTCCCCTTTGTTTTCACTGACCAAGATGTCCAGCTTATCTATTAACTCTGTTTCAACCTGTAAAATATAAATTTTTGTTCTGCATTTTAACAAAATATATATCTAGTAAAATAATTTGTTTCTATACAAAATTTTGGCTTACATATGTCCAAACATTTGTGGAACATTAATTCATTATCATTTTTCCATTTTCTGCATTCATGGGATGGGAAGACATCACCCCATTCCAGGAAAAAATGAAAACTATAACAACATGTTTATTTCAAACAATAAAACTATTATTCATCTTTTCACTATATCCTTCATACAGTATAGCAAAGTATAAAGGAGCACCACAACAGAGGTCATGTTTAGAAGAAAATAAATCGTATAGGAACTATACTGCAAAGAAACTAGATGCTATGAACCTGCTCAGAAGAAACCTTTAACCATTCAAATGAAAGAAATCCTTTAACACTTTATGCGGATCAGGACATAACCTGGAGTCCTGTTTCGCCTACCCTCTTCCGCAATGCGGACATAAAATGATGCCTTGAAAAAAATATTTGTATAAAATTCAATTTTAATCCGATTTACTTTGGGTTTGTTTCAAACTGCGCGCCATGAGGCTCTCTTTCTCACCACTAGGCTGCATGGTACAATAAGTTCATGAAAGGTGTGGACCACTTCGATCAAATGGTATTACCATTTTACCAGGAAAACTCACAAGTGGACCAAAAAGATAACGTTTTATTTGCAGCAAATGGCATTGCATAATGCCTTTGTTTTGTACAAATACAACACAACTGATCAAAAAAAGCTAACATTACTACAGTTCCACGAGGTGGCAATTTGGGCCCTATTGCGCTGGGACCCGGAAGATTGGCCTCAAACCAACCCATCCTCTTAAAAATAACGCCACTTTTCGCTCGTATGCGCGCTATGGCCAAATTTGGACGTAATTTGAAATGAAATCGACTCACAAAAGTGACGTTCTGTTCCGTTTTCTATTTGAGTCGTCCGGCGTACGCGCAGAGGCTATAAGAGGACACTTTAAATTAGCGTTTTTCATAACGTTTTGAAACTTTATGAGAATTTCCTGCCCACCTAACCTATCAGAGGACCCTTAACTTATTGTTGTTGAAAAAAAAAATCTGAAATTTAATTTCATTTTCAAATTACGTCCAAATTCGGCCATACGGGTAAACGGCCAAAAGCGACGTTCTTCTTAAGAGGACAGGTTGCTCAAACAGCAACAGTATTTCAACACTTGCGGCACGCTCCAGACATAAATGATGACACAGGTCCTGCCTATGCTGATGCCATGCAAACTACCGGACCATCTGGTGTGAGGCGGCCCTTGTTCACTTCAACACCTCAAGCTGAAGCAGCAACCGAATCAGAACCCGAGATGTCTGGCACACTGCCATTTGACGAGACGGTTTTGTCAGACGACTCTGACTCTGACTCAAATGTTGAACCTCCAGCGATTCAGTTGATTCTGAAAATCGCATGAACTACAAACTGAAACGAGTATTTTGATACCAGAATGAACACTGTATCACATAAACTGTCCTAAGTAGACTCGAACCATCATAGATTTTTTTTTGGGTGTAGCATGTGTCTGCATGAGTGTCCCAAACGGGTTGCAGGTGGGTGACTTTAGCCGTTTATACTGGTAATGCTTCCCCCATATCATGTATTATATGCATATGTCTGTTTAGGGAATTTTATTCCGATCAATGTACAATCAAAAATAACTGTGTGCAACAAGTATAAACTTGACAACATAACAACAGTAAAAACATTTCGTGTGTGTTTGACGCTCACTGATATGTTCCAGCGTTGTTTTATATTTGGCGCTATTCTATCTTACGCTTTGTTGATCTTTTTTACCTACGGGCTCATAGAACATTCTATTGCGAACACATTGGCACAAAAATAAATGACGTACATAGAACAATAATGTCAGGACAGTGAAATAAGTATAAACTTTCAAAGTGCCGTATCGCATATGTGTCGTCGCGTCACCGATACCGGGTAACAGTTCCGCCACTTCCCACACTCTTGCGGGTGGGCCGCGACCATTATTCTACGTTTATATTCATATTACCGTGTTGGGAATTTCATTGCGAGTCCATTGATACCAAAATTAACGATGTAGGACAAGTGTGGAGGTGATAACAATCCCAAGAGTAAAAACATTTTGTTGCTGTTGGGCGCTCACGGCGAGTCATCTTCGTAGTTATTTATTTGGTGCTGGTATCACTATACCTTTCGTGACCTTTTTTACTGATGTTCTTCTAGAGAATTTTATTGCGAACACGTTGGTACCAAAATGAAATACGTAGCTCGAGAACTAAGGTCAGGAGAGTAAAAAGAGTATACACATTTTTGTTTTGACGCTTAAGCGACAAAAACGCCGCGCGCACATACCGCTTTTTTTTTTAACCTAAGCCGGGCGCGCGAAAGTGTTAAAGTAAATAACATTTTATTATCAGATACTGTCCTGCTAAGCTTGGTAGACTGTCAGGCTAGACAAACTAGAAGTAAAGACAAACTGTCAGGCTAAAACAAAAAGTGGCAAAAAAACGCCCAACAAAATAAAGTCCTTTCTGCCCCCCCCCCCAACCTTCCCCAAAAAAAAAGCTTAACAAAACATTTCAAAACTGCCAACAACAAAATTTCAAAACAGCCAACAAAAAAATTCAAAATTTGTAATCACAGAAAAAGGGAAGTATATATATATACATGGCCTTGTGAAAGCTATTGAGCAGATTTAAAATCAAATTCTATGGTTCGTTTTCATTTTGAGATTTCGAGGTTTTCGTTCACAAATATGGGCTCATTTCTATCTGAAAATGAGGTTTTGAGGTAAGAACGTGGGAAATATGATAGATATGGTTAAAATCTCTTTACAGATAGGTTCCTATGATAGCTTCCAAATTTTATGGTTCGTTTGCATGTTGAGACTCAAATTTTGAGTTTGCATTCAAAATGCAAACAACATCCCGGTTCTCTTTCACAAGTATTACGACTCCTGGAGTCATCTCTGATTGCAATCAATACTTCACTGCAACCAATGGGGTTAGTCCCGTATACGGTACTGTAGTTTGTTGAATCGAGGTTGCACTGTACTGAAAACAGTTATTGGCAAATGTTTTACAATTCCTCAAGATTAAGAAGCAAAAATTAGGAGACTTACAAATAGGAAACCTTTAAAACTTTCCCTTTCTGATGCTGCATATTGCATCTTAAAACCAAAACATGTAAAGTGCCCGAGGACACAAATGGCGTCATTATATAAAAAAAATTAAAAAATGACATTTATTGTCCAAAATACTATGGGACTTGTTTTAAAATGCACACTAAAGTCTTCCCATTTTCTGTACACCCTACATGACATCCAGACCCCACCATGTGGACAGCCACATGGTCACCCTACTGCCATGTGCCAAGCCGAGACTCACTGTTCTCATGACTTCGATCGGGACAGCCTTGGTGTCCCCTCAAGTCGAAAAGTTTCTCTTTCCGGTTATTTTATCTTGGGTATTTGTTGTTACTGGCTTTATAAATACTGCAAATTGACCTCCAGATGGATAATAATCAAGAATAGAGACAATCCACGACGAAAGCAGTGAAAGAAACACGTTTGAGGGAAAAGTTATCGAGTGTTCGTTGAAAATATAGAAAAGTGAGACTTTATATGTTCTTATATGCAAATATCTCTTTACAGCATTCTATTGAGAACAGTTAGATACCAAATTGAATGCTGTAGCACAAAAAATGAAGTGAGAAAACTGAAGAGAGTATAAACATTTTAGTGCGGATGTTGCGGGTGTGGAGATGGGTGCTCGCTCACGGGTAACACTCGGCCGATTTTTGTGTTTGCTGTGGGTGATATGCCGGGCCTTTTGACCTTATATACACACATTATATTCCTTTAGAGCAGTCTACTGTGAACAATTTGATACCAAAATGAACGTTGTAGCACAAAAATCGAGGTGAAAAAACTGACAAGAGAATAAACATTTTAGTGCGGATGCGCGCTCACAGGTAATGCTTGGCTGATTTTCGGGTTTGATGCGGGTGGTGCGCTAGGCCTTTTGACCTTATATGCATATATCCCTTTAGAGAATTGTATTGCGAACAATTTGATACCAAAATGAATGATGTAACACAAAAATTGAGGTGAGAAAACTGAAAAGAGTTTAAACATTTTAATGTGGGTGCAAGCTCACAGGAAATGCTTGGCTGACCTCGGGGTGGTGCTGGAGGTCACACGCTGGGCCAGCCAAAGTGTTAAAATCAATTTCATAACTGCAACAGATATATAGCTTACATAATACTTAAACTATTATTGTACAAGAAAGAATCCATATAATAGAAAGTACAAGTTAAGAAGCTTTTCAAGGCAAAGGATATTAAATTCTGCAACATAATCTGAAATTAATCCAAACATTCTGAACCTCACACACAGAGATCACACTAACGTGATGCATCAAATGAACAAATCCACAAGGGCCGTGACGAGGATTCGAACCTACGTCCGGGAGCATCCCAGACACTGCCTTAATTGACTGAGCTACGACAGGGTTAAAAGGGTTGAAACCGAAGTTCTACTGAACTTACTGGATCCCGTAGCCTCTCCGAGGCACAAACCAGGTTTTTACGCAACCCCCCCTGCACCCGAGCTATGTCAATAGGCCGTTCTCCCTCTTCGCCCTTACATCATCACACACAGAGATCACACTAACATCACGTTAGTGAGTAGTAAGTAGAACTTCGGTTTCAACCCTTTTAACCCTGTCATAATCAATTAGTTTTTGTATACTGCATGAGACAAGCAAACAAGATGGAAGGTTGGTCCTAACCTGTTTAAAAGTGCCCTTGGCCTGCTGCTCAGCCTGCATCATATCAAAAAATATAGGAAGAGTAGCCTTTCGAAGCTCTGGTTCAGGCACAAGAGTTACTTCTAGAAATGGGCCGACCATTCCTGGTATGAAATGCAAGCGATGATCATCTGAAAACAATAAAATGATTAACAAACGAGAGTAAAAGTCAAGTGTAACATAACAAAAATTTATGATGCATCAATGTATTGATTTGTATTGCAGTGATTTCATTTGAAATTTATACAAATGTAGTTTATTGTCATACATGATGACAATCACAAGACATTTATTCTTACACACGTATTTAAATTATACAGCACAATGAAATTCAAACCTAATAGAGAAAAACATCAGGCTTTCATTGCAATTGAAAATTACTTTTCTAAGCAGTACACGTGGCTGATTTCTATACCAACCTCTGATTAGGGTCTGGCACAGCCAAGGGCAGGCTAACATTACACATTTGTGCAGCAGGTAACTTTTCATACTCTTCTTGCAGACACACACTGGTTCTATGGTGACACTGGAGAAAACTTAATCCAGCCCAGTGACAGAGATTGCGCCACTTCACAAAGGAGGTAGTAAAGCCGATGCAAAAAATTATAAACCAATCGCTCTAACATCACACATCATAAAAATCCTTGAGTGCTAAGAAGATAGATCATAAAATGTATGCAATCAGTGTCAACGTAACTCTGGGCAACATGGGTTCAAAACATGGTGTTCCTGCCTCTAGCAATTGCTAGACCACTATGACATGCCCTTAGATGTTATGGAAGGTAAACAAAATGCTGATGTAATATACACAGATTTTGTAAAAGCCTTTGACAAATGTGTTCATGGTGTTATTACACACAAAATGAGCACAAAAGAAATTATTGGCAAGAAAAGGAAATGGATTTAGAAATTCTTAACAATTAGAACACAAGAGAGTCAACAAAGTAAAATCTGAATCATCCATTGATAAAACTCAGTTCTCCAAGGTACCATATTTGTTCCAGTACTTTTTCTCCTCTTCACATCAAACATGAACAAGGACACAAACTATAGTACTGTATCATCTAGATGACACTAGAATTTTAATGAGAGTAGACATTATAGAGGGCACAGAAAACCTCCAAACCAATGTTAATCAAATCTTCTAATGGGTCACAGAAAATAACATGATGTTTAATGAAGATAAATTCCAGTTAAATTCCAATTCTACGGACAAAATATTAAAACATCAAAGCAGAAACCACATATAAAACACAGTCAAACCACACTAGTGAAAAAAAAGCAATTTAAATGATTTAAGAGTAATCATGTTGGAAGACCTTACTATAAAAGAACACAACAAAGTTGCTGTTACAATTGCAAAAAAAAATGTCAGATTGGATAACCAGAACCTTCCAAACAAGAGATGCCACCTCAATGATGATACTTTAAGACATTAGTACTCGCTAGAGTGGAATATTGTTGCACAGTAACAGCCCCATTCGAAGATGGAGAAATTGTTGACCTAGCGAACATGCAAAGATCTTTTACTGCTAGAATCACCTTTAGAAAAGACCTCAATTATTGGAATCGCCTAAATTTTTTAAATATGTATTCCCTAGAGTGCACGGGGAGAGATACATAATAATTTACATTTGGACAATATTAGAAGGACTGTCCCAAATCTGCACAAAGAAGTACATGAGACAAGAAGGCATGGCAGGATGTGCAAAATAGCCCCACAGAAAAGCAGAGGTGCAATAGGTATGCTGATAGAGAACTCAACCAACATCAAAGACCCTCTTCAAGAGAACTCAACAAGCACCTTTAAAGGATACCTAATAAACTAGGATTTGAATTGTACATCAGGCTGCGAGCAGCTGCATCGAATCTAGTTAGTTAGCCTGGTCAATCAGACCAGCAACCAGGAAACCTGGTTAGAGACCCCGGCCTCCTGGGTCTCCTTGAAGTCTCCAACAGGTAGTCAGGAAGGTAGGCAGGTAGTCCAGAATGCAGACAAAAAGTGCATTTAAATGACATTTAAACCCCTTTCTGAACAAATTTTGAGATCAAAGAAAATGACATACAGTACACACAGCAAACTATCAAATGAAAGTATGGTGTAATTAAACCCATAATTTGCACCCTTAGGTAGAGAGAAGCTATCATTGGAGCAAAAAAAAAAAATGACTGCTGGAAATACAAGTCTAGCCACTGACTTTATACATACTCAGTCCTCTCCAGAGACCATCTATATTAATTTTATATATGCTTTATAAATGCCATAAACATGTTATAATCTTTCTTGCATACTTTTTTACTCCCTGTGTTAATACAAATATGTTACATGCAGCAGCATCTACTACAGAACCCTTCTTGTTTGTCACAACCTAAATTCTCAGCTATTTTCTATACTCTTCCAATCACTATTCAGCCATGCACTTTGTCCACTATACAATTTGTATATGAAGATACAATGATATAAAGGTATATGATAGCACAAATTTATGTTATGTAAAGCACACATGACTAAACAAATTGATACCTATTGTAATTTCAACAAACAAACCAGAGAAGAAATAAATATAAAATGAAAGACAAATGTGAAATAAAGTGAGATGTATAAAATATAAAAACTGAAAATATTAAAACATTAGATACACTAGAGAAGTGCCAGTAGAAACACAAATATAAATGTATAACTAACTTAGATATTTCTGAAAGTATTTATACATAAAAGCCAAAGGTTGTGACAAATTGCAATTATAACACTCACCAAGTTCACGCCACATAGACAGAATCTGAAATCCCATTAGAACTCGCATGTCATTATAACGTTCTAGCACTTTATGCCTCTTTTGTTGTGAGAAGCGTTCTAATTGCAAGCAAGGTTGAGTTAGAAATCCAACTGCCAGGTTCAAGTAGCTGCTCCAGAGCTGAAAAGTCAAGAAAGCCACATGAATTAATTTCATTACCTAAAACTTTGCAAGTACTGTACTGGTTTGCAAGCAGCAAACTGGATGCAAGAAATATGTCCACAAAGATAAAATATAGCTGTATGCCATATCTGACTATTTCCTATCTGTGACAACCTAAGACATATGGATATGTTTCTTGTAATGCTTGTCTAGTAATAATGCACATGTTAATAAGTTTTCTCAACCCACACTCAGGAATTTCGGGTTTGAATCCCGGGAGGGGACAGAAATGGTTGAGCAAGTGTCATATCACTTAATGCCTCTGTTCACCTAGCAGTATATAGGTACCAAGGAGCGAGTCAGCTTAAAAGTGTAGTACAGCCTCACACTCGCGGGGTTTTCCACGGTTCGAGACCCATACAGTCCAGGTGAATGGAGTCAGCCAGCTTGTTATGGGCTTATATACCGGGGAGGGTCGGTAGTTAGAGCTAGGGTGCGAGATCTTGATATAAGCCTAATGTACATATATATATACTGCACACAGACTGCTTGTCCCCAACAAAATGAAGAAAAAGAAAAAAACATGTTTCAAGTTTTACTTTAACTTGATTAATTCAAAAGTTATGGAGTGCAATGAGAGCATAACAAATGCTCTGATACATGCAAGCGATCTAATAATCCAATTAATTTTTTATATGGATGTCAGAAATGGTATGCAATAAACACATCATTCTGCAATGAATCAAACAAAACAGATTCAGTAATGATTTATTTAACCCCCTGTATATATATGCCAGTTTCTAATTTAAAAAAGGCAGAATATGCATAATCATCCAAAAAATTCAATACAAAGATCATGGTAAACACAATATCTTAAGCTCAGCAAGAAATTACACAAATTCTAAAGAATTCTGCAAGCTTACTTATCTCATAAAAATTATGATGACAAAGATTAAATTGAAATGAATATAGGTAATTTAAAGAACAGTGTATTGTGTCTAACAAAGGAAAGTCTTAGTATAAAAGCAGATATTCACTGACAAAATATATCAAAATATTAAATGTAATACAGAAAATAAAAACATTAATTTTTCAAAAAAATAGAATGACCATATAGTAACTCTCCATACTAAGTATGAGCCTATCAATGCCTCAAAGAGATGCACCAGGCCTCAGAGACCTATCTTTGTATATCAGGATTAGACTCTGTGTGTGTGTGTAAGGCGAGGAGGTAACATGCAGATTGGTGAGAAACTCAATACTGAGAAAAAACTTATCAGATAGCATAAGCACCACAAACCCTAGCACACCCTCTGCAAAAATGCAAATCTCTGACATGAGTAAAGATTAGCTAACTATACACAGCTAACTACAACAATAATAACAAAAGACCTCTCACTGAACAACTCCCATGCACTACCCGGAAGTGAAGTAAATCAAGAAGAACGAGCCTATAGACGAACACACTTCCTCAGAACAGGTATCTATTGTGGGGTAGTGATAGGCAAGCATATTACCAACGAAGGTAGCAAAATACAAAGTTTGGGGACACACAATGGGAGTGACATATAGCACGATCATGAAGGATAAAGCAAACAATAATAGAGCAATGGGCCCTGGAAGAATTAATGTTCAATGGCCCCTGGCAGAACTTAAGTTCCATGGATAGCCAACATAATTTAGCTTAAGTGGAGTAAGTATTCCTGGGTTGATTTGTCCCAAGTGCCAGCCTATGCCACTCAGGATCCTTGCCTGCTCACAGCTTCATGGGCACCGAACCTCTGATGCAGCCTACCCTTAGCTTCACACCTAAGCTGCTCCTTTTGTCTATGAGCAAACCAGATTCAGATATATTTGCAAAAAGGCTGCACTAGTTTCAAAAGCTTGGCACATTTTAGAAGTTCACGAGCACCAGTGTTGAGTAATAGGGAGCTACTGAGGGAGTTTAGCATACAAGATTACTTAATTGTGTTACCCAACAGCAAAAAACAAAATTACTTATAAAAGAAAATGTACTTACTTGGTTGTCAAATCTTGTTTGCTTAAGAAATGAAGATATTAGTGGTTGTGCAATCTCTTGCATCGCTGCTAAAATAGTATAATTAGTAACCATTCGCATGACAAACCAGTCACTTGCAAAGACTGCTGCTCGTACAAGATCAGCAAGTAAGACTATCGTTGAGTGCAGAAGGTGACGCAAGTGGTGGTTTCCTGAGATCATGTGAGCTTCCCATAACTTAGAGTAATGAGACTCCCCCATCAGTTGCAAGATGCCCATTAGACATGCTACGAGTGTGCCCTGTGAAAATAAATTGGCATGTATTTTTTGCAATTTATATTTTTGTATATTATCAATCAATTTATATAGTATATCAATATAATTTACATAGCTATACATCTATAGCTATTTCTTGGGTGAGTAATCCTGATACCTGAGCTGAATTTATTTAAAAAAAATACAATAAAGGGTGTACAAAATACATTATAGGATTGTGTTTGTATATGCACATGGTAGTAAACCAGATAGTTTTCTAAGCTGCATAAAAGACATCCTTAATGAAATTTCAACGAAAACAACAACAAGAGGGAAATTATATTTTTGAAGAGAGGTTTCAAGTGGGGTACTCAAAGAATCAGTGGTCTTCCCACTTACATTTCTAAGTGTAATTGAATAACTTGTTCATACAACTGTATGACCATGTGTGCTAATAATGCAAAAATAACCAGATAAATAATGAAGAAGACTGCAAGGCTACTGAAAGATGACTGAAATATGATGCTTAGCTACAGAATAAAATGTTAATGGAATTCAGTGCAGAGGAATGCTGTGTAACTAAGGAAGGGAAAGTAAGGTTAAATAGACCCTATGGGGTATACAGGTTTGGGGAACAGGATATTAAAAACATCAGGCAGGAAAGTACTAGGGAATAACTATATATATAAAAAAAAAAGTCTATTCAAAGAACCACATGACTGAAGCTTAATCAGTCTCCTATGCAATGTTGGCCAACTTTAAATTTCCATTCAATTGAGGATGGAAAAGTGCAACAAGGTTTAATCATTATATTCTTCTATCAATAATTGGAACATGCAGTGGTGCCCTCACTTAAAAAAAACATCAACTTTGAAAGGCCAGACAAAATGAACTTCGCTGCTCAAAGATATAAGCAATAGAAAAGTTAACCAAATTAGAACTTACAACTCTGGAAGATAGAAGGAAGAGATGATACTGTATGTGGAAAGCAACTTCCAAGTGCATAAAGGGAATGAACAAATGCATCAAGCAGATTTAATTACTCTGGTTAGAGGTACAACCAGAGGGCACAAGTTTAAAAATAAATGCAGGGAAAGAAGCAAGATGGCATTTTTACCTAAATCCAGTTATGGATAACTGGACCAAACAGCAGAAGGATGTGATATATGCAAAATGCATAGAAAACTTTGTAAGTAAATATGGTATTGTATGATAAATAGACAAAGGAAGATGGGTCTCCATATGCCTGAGCTCTAACCTGTAAACCACAGAGATAATAAATACATAATTACACCTGTCCACATTAAATGAAGATGATTTAACATAAAAACATATTTCTACTTCAGCAACCACTATTTGGCATTTGCACACATGCACACATTAAGAAAAATATACCCTGTATCAGCACACAAATAGATGCTACCAACACCCCCCAACCCATACAGTAAATGTGTTGGAATGCAATTAACTCTTTGCAATTAGAGAAGACCTGTGTTTGTTATACAAAATTTCTGCCAGTCTAGAAATATGCAGCTTCTCTCTCCTTTCTTACATTGGTTAACCTTCAATAGCTCTTCATTAAACACGACTAATCTCTGAATCTTAGCTGAACTTTATCTCACCTGTCCTCTCCGGATGTTCATCAATCTTCTGCCTAATTACTGTCTACAGTTTTGTGCATGTGAAGGCTACTAGTCTAATATTTATTACTGTCTACAATCCATTTCACCAATACATTTTATAAATTTTTCAGATGTCTGGGAGTTCTTGTGTCCTTAATGTGGCAAAGAATATCTTTACTAATGGGTCAAAAGTATCCCACAGCCCCTTTAAACTTCCTTGGTTATTTTTGGTCAGGTGCTACTGGTTTTACTACATCTGATTTAGTTAGTAATCTCCTAACTTCAATAGCCTGAAATTTTCTCATCATTGTTTCAATGTCTTCCAATCCAGGAAACGTCCTGAAGGGATCTCTCTTGGGTTTTCTCCCACTAAGGACCAGGGTTCACCCAGGGCACACCTTTTGCACCTAAGCTGCCACTTCAGGGTTTTCCCCTGGATAAGGTTAAGACTGGTTAAGACCAGGGTTTCACACAATTTTACCATGCACTCCAGCTCTTTCTTCTAGTAATAGATTGGAATTATATTTTGTTGGAAAAATAGGTTGCAATTCTTTTGCCATGTTGTGGTGTAGTCGACTAGAGAGTGCATCTGAGAACACCCAGCACATAGATTTGAATCATCATCACGGTTCCTGTGGATTTTTTCATTGATATTTCATGATAATGTGATTTCTCTGTGTATTGAAAGAGGGGCGTCAGAGGAAGATTTACTAGACGACTGAGCCAGAGTGCATGGGGGAAATGGTGTGAAACTCTGGTTTGGCTTCAATTGAAACCCAAGTTGCAATTATTTTACCATGTCGTGGCATAGTCGACAAGAGCGTACACCTGGGAACACCCATCGCATAGGTTCGAATCCTCATCACAGCTCCTGTGGATTTTCTCACTGGTTCTGGTGCTATAGAAGTTTCCCTGTACCTTGTCTTCACCCCACAAAAGATGAACCAATTTTCCCCAAACTATTTATCTAACAATTCTTTAAACTTATTTCCATACCAGTTTTTTCTTCCCCCCTCAGATAGGTCACTTACACATGGTAGAATAGTAGTTGGATGCGCACAGATCAATAAAGAAGCTGTGCTCTTCCAGTATATCTCAGCACCTACTTCCATCACAGGAGGTGCAGTGATGGAAGGGGTTATGTGGATCAGATATTTACTTTATAGAAAGAAAGAAAACACTAGCACATATGGAGTTGGTGTAATTGTGATGAAATGCTCTGAGGTTTTTATGTAGGAAGTAGAGGATTTTTAATAGTTGGTGTACATAAAGTCAGGGTACATCAAAAGCCCAAGACACTCGCGCTATCCATAAAAAGCATAACTGGCCAACCTCTCAATGTGTTCAAAGGATAACTCAATAAACACCTTCAAAGGATACCTGATCAAACAAGCTGTAATTCAGAAATTAGGCTGCAAGCAGCTGCATCTAACAGCCTGGTTGACCAGACCACCAACCATGAGACCTGCTCAGAGACTGGGCCACAATATATTGATACTCGAAATCACCGCAAGGTAAGCCAAATCTAACAAATGGACCAACATGACCAGTTGATACGTGTGGGCCAAATAAAATGCCACCACCACCTCCTGAAGGAGAGTGGGTGGGCATTCTGGGCAAAACTGCTAAGGAAGGAAATGCAGACTTCAAGGCCTCCACACTTGATGCAGTATCGAGCAAAGCCAAATCCTCACAAAGCTGCAAAGAGAGCCATGAGGACCCAAACCCTTAAGACTGCCAGCAAGTGCGAACGTGCCTGGTGGTCATCCACAATAAGAGACCTGGACAGTACAGGCAGCTGCACATGGAGATACCACTTGACCACATACCTTGGGAGCACCAGAGCAAATGGCAGTCCCCAAGCAGAGCAAAAAGAAGGATGTCTGGCACTTAACTTTAAGAAAAGAGGGCTTGCCCTGTCTGCAAGACCTGAAACACCACTGTCCAGCTGGACATCAGTGAATGAACTGAGCAATGATGGTGGCTCCCTGCAGAAGCCGGGCCACCTGGTGGTGGCATTTGGAATTATGAGTTTTGCACTACTTTTGAAATGTGAATTGTTTGCTTGGTGATTTTGAGTCTTAGGTCTTTGTTATCCCTCCAATTGTCTGTAAAGCTTCTTCGACTTTTTGGATGCTTTCCTGCTGTGGTGGTGAATTGTCAGTCACTTTCTGCACTTCTGTACTCACCTAGTTGTGTCTGTAGGGGTTGAGCTTTGGTTCTTTGGTCCTGCCTCTCAGCTGTCAATCAACTGGTGTACAGATTCCTGAACTTACTGGGCTCTATCATATCTACATTTGAAATTGTGTATGGAGTCAGCCTCCACCATATCACTTCCTAGTGATGTGGTTAACTACTCTGACACTGAAAAAGTTCTTTCTGATGTCCCTGTGGCTCATTTGGGTACTCGGTTTCCACCTGTGTCCCCTTGTTTGCGTACCACCTGTGTTACACAGTTTATGTTTATTGAGTGAGAAGGGGAGGGGAGGATTGGGGTTTGCCAGGATTTTGGCTCTGGTTTCCTGTAGACCAAACTACACTCCAACATCTGATGTGACTCATTTGCATGGAGCAATCTCAGCAAGATAGCTGCAGAGAGGCACTGGGTGCTCCTCCAGAAAATAGTTAAATTTCACTTGGGGGTACTAGCTCCCCAAGACACTTCATTATGAACAAAATATGATGAATAATGAGTATTTAACATATTTAGCCTATTTTTCATAGATGTGTATCACTTCTCTATTTTCTCCAGACTGATATCCCCACCCCACAAAAGTAGGAAAATGGGTGGAAGTGATAATGGTGATGATACCATTCAATATGCATACTGCATATAGTTACCTAAATTTACATCTATTTTCAGTACTAAAACTCATTCAAAATGATTGAAAATAAAATCAGTAGACTTAATATGAGATAATATTGAATGATCATAGATTTAATTTGCACTGCAATACCTAAAATTCAAAGAAAAGCTTGACCTTAATACCCAAGAACATGTTACATTACCAGTACTTTATAGTCTAGTGTTAATAGCATGCCAAGGCAATAAAATTAAATTGTTTTTGTTTATTACTAATACAAAAAGTTATGAAAAACCCAAACCGGAGATATGTTAATCAGGAGGTTTATAAAATAAACAGCAAAATTAAAATACTGTACTATTATCTTTACTACACTCTGATATTCAAACTTGTAAATACCCGAATGTCCTCCTGGAAGGAATTCATACACAGGCTGCCCAGGGCTATTGAGGCATGAGTGGGGACAAATTGGGTCTTCAAGGCTGTTAGAAGATGCGCCAGACCCATCACATCTGGTAATAATGTACCGCTGCCCTACAAAAAGGCATTAACTAATATAAATGAAAAAAAATCCTAAGTGAACTTGGCCTAAACAAGCTCGAAGTATACCATTGTAATACAAAATAAAAACATTTTGAAAAGTTTTGAATGAATAGTTAAGGAATTAACATTAATATATACAACATTAATATTATATATATTAACATATAATATATCTTTAATGCTTTGCTCTTTTGGGAAGATTTCCCAACTTCACATGGCTTTGTTTGCAATGTCTCCAATACAGATTAAACATTTTTATAGATTGACAAAATTTTAAATACCTAAAATATTTATTGAAAAATTCAAGATTCTGGTTTAAAAATCACATCGGTGAAGCAATTGCCACATGCTAGCATTAAGAATCACAAATATACAGAAAAGTCATGTGTCAGTCAAGTTCTTTTTGGATAATCGTAACAAAATTGATGGCCTCCTACATTACACCAATCTCCATATTGTTCTTGCAATAATTTCTGTTTTCAGCATTTTTACAATTTCCATTCAACCTTTCTGTATCTTTGTTCCTTTTGTTGCCACACTGAAGTGTGCAAACTTGGGTTATCCTCAGCCATTATTTACATTCATGTTTCAGTATCAAGTGCCATTTCAGTTCTTGCAACACTTGAGGGACACAAATATCTGGGGAGAATTACATGGGAGCATATCCTTCAGTGTAAATTTCCTTAAGTAAACATGGTGTGTGAGAGGAAACAGATAGCTCAACTATAACCAATTACAGTACTGTACCCCTCAAGTAATAAGAACGATAACATGAGTGAAGAATACTTAGATATGAAAAAGACATTACTTGGAGAAGAGCAGTTATTAAGACTTTATTTCAAGATTAATTTTTTATATGTTTAATAGGTTAAAAGTAAGTGTTCTTTTAATCAGCAAAATTCCCATTGTAATGTGTTGCAGGGCAACAACAAAATAATCTGAAAGAAAAAACCAGATAAACAAAATAATCAATTATTCTACTGACATTGAAAATGAGCCATTTGTCAACACACTCTTGTATACACTAAGTATGAGATAGAAAGAAATGATTAATTCCATAAATGTAACTACCCAAGTGTAATTACAGGATGAGAGCTATGAACTCAGTTTCCTGTCTTCCCTACAACCTTTGTCATACAATGTTCCATCAATACACTATCCTCTCATCAAATTTATTAAATCCATTCACTGCCCTGTCTTCAATAAAATATTTATATAAATTTTTTGGCCACCTTAGATTTCTTAGTATGAATTTATTACATCTTGTTCTCAATGTTAAAGAACTTAAAAATTACACCCATTACACACTCCATTTATGTGGCATTTACCAACATGGAATTTGATTCATCGTGTGCTGCTCGATGCTCGTTTTGTCTAGGTAATTTTGAAGGCTGTGACAGTCCTCTAGGTTTTTTATTCTTCCCAGTAGGTAGCTAATTTATAGACAATGAACATTACAGGTGTTAATACAGTACTTAGTTCTATAAGACTCTACCAGTGGCTTTTCTCCAGTTTGAATTATTGCCTCTTTTTACTGCATGCATACCTCTTTTACTGCATGCACACATCTTTTACTGTATGCATACCTCTTTTACTGTATGCATACCTCTTTTACTGTATGCATACCTCTTTTACTGCATGCATACCCCTTTTACTGCATGCACACATCTTTTACTGTATGCATACCTCTTTTACTGCATGCATACCCCTTTTACTGCATGCATACCCCTTTTACTGTATGCATACCTCTTTTACTGTATGCATACCTCTTTTACTGCATGCATACCTCTTTTACTGCATGCAATAATTTAGACGTTTTCAGCGGATTTTAGTGGTTAAAGATCTTCACATGCTCTTCAGATCAGCAGTTTCTTCAGCTTTCAATGGGGCTGTTAGTGTGCAACAATATTCCACTCTAGGAAGCACTAATGTCTTCAAGTATCATTATTGAGGTGGCATCTCTTGTTTGGAAGGGTCTTGTTACGCAACCTGTCATTTTTCTTGCAGTTGTGACAACAACTTTGTTGCGCTCTTTAAAAGTAAAATCTTCCGACTTGATTACTCTTAAATCTTTTACATTGCTTTTTCTCTCAGGAGTGTGGTTTGACTGCATTTTAAATATGGTTTCTGCTTTGGATGTTTTTGTTGTTTTCCATAGCACAGTAACTGGAACTTCTCCTCATTAAACACGTTATTTTTTGTGCTTTAAATTTTTTGCCATTGAAAGACTTCATATACATAACCATGATTTTTTTCCATATGCCTGCATTTAACTAGGTTGTCTGGGAAATATTCTACATGGGATGATAATCTCATGATGACATTCTTCCGAGTACACAACATGAAACTATCTGGCTGAACTGCTTTGATTTTATTTAAATTCATGAGAAGTTTTTTTTTTTTTTTACATTGTCTCTGAGACACATCTAGGTACTTTGTATCCTACTTGTAGTTTTAAGCACAAAAATGAAAAAATGTTACAATGACTGTGATGATGATGCTAATATACAGTACACCATTATTTGTCATTCTGTCTGCAGTTTTCTGAGGCAAGGGGGCAAAACAGTATACAGTACAAAGATTGTACAAGTCTAAATCATAATATAAATTCTGCTTTCTAATACAGTACAGTATTATAAACTACACAATACTGTACTTAATTGAATATGTTATGAATTTTATATTCAAGGTAAACATTTAGGTTTAAGAGCCTACTTACTGAGCTAGGAGCAGATCTCTCCAGTGTTAAGATGACTTGTACCACGACATCAAAAAGGGTCAGCATTATCATTTCGACATCCTGGTGCAAAGTTGCAGGTAACTAAAACAAAGACAAATATATATTGACAACTTGCCTTTATATTGCAACTTTTCTCTAGAAAACTTCTATATTGCCAATATATCTTCACATTTTTTAATATGCTATCATATTAGAAAATTAGACCATAAAATCATAATATGCTGGAAAATATTTGATCTAAATATTTATTCACATAGCTAGCAATGCATTATTTATTTGGACCTTACCTTGTTATGAGAATATTTATTTGTGAGTTTGTGAATGAGAATTACAATATCCGAGAGAACTTCTCCACATAATACCAGCTCCAGACGGCTATCTAGGTGTTGCCTCAGATGAGTACATATCGTTTCCAAAAGTAACCCTCGTCCCTCTGTAAAAAAAAATTTGTAATAAAATACAGAGAACTTTGGTACTCGAACGGCTCCCAACTCGAACAATTCGACACTTGATCATTGTGTTCGTGGTCAGTAGCTGGCTGTTTGTTTGGCATTCAAATGTAAACATGTGTAATGGCTGTTGTTCAGTGCATAACCCCACTAAATATCTCTTAAACGTTCTCCGTTTTCTTGGATATTTTTTATTCTTAGCTTAAACATGGGGTCCCCATTAACTGGTCAGTAATTTAGTTAGAACACAGTTGTTTAGCAAGCACAAAATTTGACTATAAAACCTGGAGGATCAACATGGGCTCAGGAATTTTCTGAGGGATATTAGCTCAGAAAATGCTCTTTAAAAGTCTAGTAGACAATTTCCTTTGTATTTGCTGACAAAGTCATCCTTTCAGGGTGATAACCGTATATTATTTTTATCCAAACTTCAAATAGTCAAGGTTATACCTACCATCATCATCAAAGATTGGTGAATTCACAGAATTCTTCATGGCATGTAGTTTAGCTCTGGTAAGGTCTCTTGTGCTTTCAACTGGTGTGGCATTAAACAAATTGCTCAGGTGATTGGCAACTTCTCCAGGACTTAAAACACGACAAAGTTGATCACAGGCTCCTTGGAGGTGCTCTAATAATGTTACCTGCAATAGAAGAGGATTCAGAAAAGATATTAGCAGATATCTATGTCAAAATATATAAAACTGGAAAAAGAGTATCTTCATACCTCAGACAGGTTTATTTCACTGCTCAACACCGGTAGTGAGCAATCACCACCAAAATAAGTAAAGTTTCAAGTTAACGTGAAAAAGCTTCTTTCCAAACTATCATTTGGTTGCCCCCACACTAAGATTCCACTATGTCCTGGATGTAGAACATGCACAGTCAGGCAAAGAAATATACAGCACAGTGCCTCCCCAAAAATTTAAGCATCCCTATTGAGTTACAGTGAATATGCTTAGGGTGTCACTAGAGAAATAACCTCAGCCAACTGTAGGGGTGGTCCCATCTACTTCAATGGTGGTGGAAATTTTGTTTCCTGGTCATGCCGGGAATTCTAGGCATTCACCTTCACAACTGCCCGCCTGCTTTGAACCTTCTCCATGGGAGGATGCCATTCTATTGCAGGTGTTGGGCAAGGACTTAGGCTCTTTCCCCAGAGCCTTCATGGCAGGCTTCTGGGGAGCCTTCCTCAGGCTCCTCTTCATGGGCTGAAGAGGAGCCTGAGGAGGTCCTGTAACTCTTTATGGACTTTGGCCCACTCTACAGAGGGTCTTTTGCTTTAAGGGAAGAATTTTTCTTATCCCCTTCTATGAATGAGTTAGGCTGCTTTCTTTCATATTAAATTCTGAGGTCCTGTTCAGTGCCTTGGAGTAGTCGTGTTTTTGAGGGTTTTCCACACTGCACCTTTGGTAGCTCACCTCTTTTGAGTACAGGTCTGTCTCAGCTTACTGGCTGCAGTGTGAGGTTTCAGGTTTCTTCTTGCAGGCTGGTAACCCTCTCTTTTATTTGGGGCTAGGCTGAGATTCTGTTGGACCAGCTTGGCAGAAAGTGAGTTTATTTTTCAGGTGTTCTTGAGTGGTGCTTCTTCTGCCCCACTTGAGATCTGCCCACATGCTTCAATGCTCAAGAACATGGGAAGGTGGCAGCTTGATAAGCAGCTGTGTTGTCCAAGACCCTCAAGGTGTTTAGGACACCTTGAGATCAGCAGTTCCAGCCCAGGAAGCATTCCTCCAGCTGCATGGCTTTCTCCTTCAGGAGGCAGTGGTGGCATTTACTTGGCCCATCTCTGGTGTCAACAGGCCATATTGTCCAATTCATTATATTCGACTTGGTCCCTTACCCTTTTGCTCGCCTCCCCCGTTTAGCTTCTCTGTCCTGGGAATGTTGTTGCCCAGATTTTGACTGCAGCAACTTTCTCTTTGGCTTCAGTCTCCTCCAACACATCTGGAGAAATATTCAGACTTGGGGGTTTTTGGCACATTAACAGGGTTCTGATAGGCCGGTATTTACTCACATTTCTGGTCCCGGTCAATAATAAAGCAAACTAGAGTTATTTCTAGAAATACAATTGTATTTCTCCAGTAAGCTACTACACCTCTCCAAGACGGTGAAAACTAGACAGTCCACTTGAAGGAGGGACCCAAAAACTGAAGAGAAAGAGCCAAACTCTAATGGATAACCGTCTTCACTATTAACATCAGAAAAGATAGGAGTTTAATTAGGAACCAAAGCAGGTTGAAAATTCAAGAAATCCTCAAGACTTCTGGCTGTGAAGGAAAAATGCACTACGCAAGGGATTCACTACAGGAATAACCCATTGCAAACAGAAGCTTGTGCAAACCAATAAAAAGAGCTACAGTCTGCAGAAAAAAAATGACACACTGGTTAGACTACATCAATCACCAAGCTAGAGGGATACTAGATGCAAGACAAAAACAACTGGCATAAGACTTCCAGTGAGCAGCATTGGTCCCTGCCTCCAAAAGGAAGTAGACACACTGCATCAGTTTGCCTAAAACTCTAGCTAATCCCTCCCATCAACATGCCTTGCTTCAGCAGCAAATTCCTAAACCTATCAAAACAAACACGGTAGTCCACCCAAAAAAAGGAACCCATAAACTTTTTTTTTCCTTTTTTTCTCTATTCCTGTGCGGGCCCTAAGCCTCTGGCTGGCCCACTATAAACTTTTGAGGATACCTGGTTGTTTAAAGAATTTGCCAGCAACTCCAGAAACATGGTCAAAGTGGGCTAAAGTAGCAAGAAATACTCAAATGTGGCTAGCATACATGCTTATGAAGTGTGTTCAAAACAAACCCCCCACTCTTGAAACGATAGTTTCGAGGAAAGTAAATCATTTATCTTAGAAAGACGCGGTCTCCATAAGATATGGATCGAATCGGTAGAACACAGGCTCTAGTACTTTCGTCAGAGCATCAGTACAGTAATTTCAAAGTGTTATATGACAGAGTGTTGGGAAGACCGGACACAACAAGCATAGCTCTCATCCTGTTACTATACTTAGGTAATTACAGGCCCAAATGTATATAGGTTGTCACACTGAGGTCACATGTGACTCACACTGCCACTTAGTGACAGTGGGAGAAGTCTGTGGCATGCCTGTTTGTTTTTTTTGTTTTTTTGGTGATTTGAGGTTTTCAAACATTTCTTTAAGAGATTTTGAGTATTTTCTGACTTCCCTTCAGCTTTACAGTGGTTTCTCTCGTGAAATGGTAGTGAAATGCAGTCTGATCCCCATGCGATGCCTTTCCCTACTACTAAACCTGCATTTTATTTTATCATCTCCCAAATATGCTTGATGTGCTCAACTTCACCATATGTTCTGGATGTATCTAGAAAGAGAGCAGAGCTATCATGCCAATTATGGTACTAAATAATTCCATTACCATGACACTACACAGCATCCCAGTGTATCTGATTTTTATATTCAAATTATATGGTTAAATACTATGTTTAGCAATACTACATTTTTAGAGAGAGATGGCTCCACAATTGTCAGAAAAGACACAGATGCATGGCAGCTCCTCAGAACTGGAGCAAGTACAGAGGTATTATACAATACAATTGTGCAATAAAAGGTATTGATAATGTATAATGACTAACAAACCTTACAAAATAAATTAAACGCTTACCTGAGAGGCTTGAATATTTTCTAAATGCATGTTCAGCATGTGTGCAAATGACTCGAACAAGCTATCTACATCAACTCTAAAAGAGTCTTCGTTCTGCCCTCCTGTAGCTCTTGCAAACAGAAGACGTGACTGGATGATGAACTTGAAGATGTATTCAAGGGAGCGGAAGCACCTCATGATGGGTTCTTGTTTCTCTGTTTGAGGACAGAGGTCTGACAAGTGCTTCACACAACTGATAAGGCCCCTATAATAGAAGAAAATAGAAAGTTTCTTTCAATCTCATTATCTCTTATGCCATGTAACCACTGGGGCCTATCATTCAGGGGCAGCCACAAAAGAATATCCTTGCTGCCTGACTTTTCATTTGCACTCCACTACTATTCCCAACAGTGATGCAGGTTGCATAATGATTTCCCAAATATCCTTCCCACCTTACCTTCACATCATGTCTGTAAAAGGATAGTTTTCTCAGTCATCACTCCCATTATAACTTCAACTTACACCTCTTAAGTGTAATTTCTATCCCATTCTATGATCTTGCAACCCATATCTCTGGCTTTCTCCACTTCTTAAGGAGTATATAATATTAATTCAGTCATCCATAGAAGCATCATAGTCCCACTTAATGATCTCCATTGTCTTCACCTCTACAGTGTACTTTTTCAAAAAATAACTTTACCCATTCTTTACTCTTGTTTTAAAGCTGCACAAAAATTCCGATTAATTCAATCGTCATAGGCGATTTAAAGTAATCGTCTCAATATATTTGAATTTTTCTGTGCCAGTTTGCAACAAGATTTTCACATTTATGATAGCCAAACCAGCATGAAGAACCCTTTGACAAAGGTTTTTATTTTCTTTCAAATCTATAACCTTTGAAGGCATTTGAAATGGCAGTAGCTGACATTATATGTGACTATCCTCAGAAGATGGTAAGCTCCCAGAGGAAATATGGTAGAGGGTAGTTATATTCTCCGGCATACACCATCTACACATTTCCGTACTGATTATTCCCCCTCCCATTTAAAAGTGCAACAGGCATTCCACAAATAATTAACTTAGCAGATCCTTAAATTGTTTTCAACCCATTTTCACATTTAATTTTTGAAGGTAAAAGTTTGAAAAACATGAATGATTCTACAAGTTTTCTTAATATATATCAGATTATTCTCTTTCACACACTTTCAAAAGAATCAACTGCATTTGCAGATGGACAAGATGCATAATTTATGGTCCACTACCACCCGAATATATATTTTTGTATTTACATGCACAAAATCTTATGTATTCCCTTACAAACCACTTGATGACAATATTTTTATAGATACAAAGTTCCATGTGGTATGAACAGCCACTTAAGCATACCATGTACATGACACAGTTAACCAAAACATACTTGTAAACCAATGCAGCAGCAAAATGACCTGTGATGTAAGCATCCATGACAGGCTTGAAGTGTTCAAATTTGCTGTCTTCTAACAGGCTAAAGATAAAGACCTGCAAAGAAAATGTTTTGTATATATAAATGATAATTTGCAAACTAATGTATGAATAAGGTAAGGGAGGGCAAAGTTACCTGAACATGGCCACTGGCAGAAAAGAGAACAGCACTGAATGTGATGAAATGCCTCTTTCTGGTGGGTATTAGGTGCCTCCTTGTTGCTAGCAACCTGGATAGCTTCACATAATTTGAATCATATCAGGTCATTGTGAATTTTTTAAGTCTACTGGGCACATGCCAAAGCCTGGCCCACTCTATAGAGGCACAAGGAAGCTAAGGACACTAGAAAACTCAGACCAAAAAAATAGGCAGAAAGATACAGCAACACAAAACAACCAACAGCAAAGTAAACACAACACAGAAAACGAGTAAAGTAAACAACACACAACTTGTCCAGGACAGACCCAAATGTCGTCATTTTTTCCATGTGTGACTTGGTGATCACAGAAAACGAGACCCAGAAACAAATCCAGCCAGTCAATACCAAATTACTAGCACTCTTAAACTGCCAAAGCCCTTAAGCCATGGGCATATTAAAAAACACCAGAATGTAAAAAGACTGAGGTACATCCTTCAAACTCGTACCTAGCGAGTGCAGAATCAGAGGGCCAGTCCATGCTAAACTATATCAAAAACTGTTAGGGTTTGTCGGGTTCCGAAGATCTGACCAAACAACTAGCAAAAAGCACAGAAGCTACTTGCCGTGTGAATAAAGATACCAAACCTAGTCCAAAGGCATAAGCAGCTGGGAAGGAGTGTAGGTGGTGTTCCATAACTTTGGACACACATGGACACACCTAAAAGAAGAAAGCTCTGACTGCCCAAATACATAATTCTCACAGAGGAGACAATGCCCTGGGCACTGCAGCTCAGGAAGAGACTCCTTCCATATGAAGATGGCCTCTCAAAGACAGCCACTTGAACCCACCAGGGAAGGTAATCAGGCTGGGGAGAGGCAACACTAGCGAGCACATAGAGAAGTACATGGGACCCTCCAGGATAAAGTCCAAAGGATGGCTGACACTTACTTGAAAAACTGGGACTCAAAGACCACTATCATGAATGAGGAGCTGTTAGAAACGAAGTACTATTGATGAATCACAACAGGCTCAATGACTGATATATCAGTGGGGAAGGAGGGGGGGGGGAATCCAGTAGCTGGGCGTGCAGCTAATGTCAGTGCATTACTACTAGTGGACACACTACCTAGTTTCACACAGAAATCACAATAGTGTGATGCATCAAATGAACAAATGATTAGTTGATTAAGTTGATTAAGGCAGCGTCTGGGATGCTCTCGGACGCAGGTTCGAATCCTCGTCACGGCCCTTGTGGATTTGTTTACACTACCTAGTGATCGGGTGGATTGTTTCAAGGGTCTAGTTTCATGTGCTTTGTTTACCTTGTTCTTTGCTTTATTTTGTTCCACCACTCTGGTGGCTTTTTCTTGATCTGAATAACCTCATGCTCCCTGTGCCTCTTTACTAGAGCTGGCCATGTTTTGGCCTCTGGTCACCAGTAGGTTTACAATGACTCACAAGGACCCAGTGTGCTTTGTAGTGGATAGAGCTATCCAGATTGTTAGCAACAGTGAGCCTCTATCCAAACCCTCCCAGAAAAGTAACAAAAACCATATAAACCATCAAAGCATGAGGAATTAGAAGCTGCTGTTTACCAATGATTCATGCAGCACTGTAGCCTGCAGTTAGCTATTGGTAGTGAACAGTTACAGTCCATAGCAGAGATGATGATATTAACCATGGGAAGTGAGGACTTCAAGGCCAGTTCAGGTGATTGCAAAGGTTTAACAGACAGTACTGTATAGAACTATAACAGCATTTTACTACCTGCCTATGTTGCAAAAGAGCAAAGTTAATTTTTTTGCATAATTATTATTTACAGGTGTAAACGAATTATTTGTATGTACTTGTCTGTCTAAACATGCATAAATATGTATTTATCCCTTTATAAGAAAAGCCTGGAAACTTTGCTAATAAACTAGCAAGAGATGGCAAATTTCAGGATATCCAGTTTTCATTCAAATCCAAAACAATATGATCTGGCTTTTGGGTCCAGCAAATCTGCTCCAAAACCATATGATCTGGCTTTTGGAAGTGCCACTGTATGTAGATGCTCTTTTTACTTTTGCTGTTGTTTTACAGAATACAGGAAATAGAGGTTTTAAACCTCAATGTCAAAAGACTGGCAACTGTCCAAAAATGGGCTACTTTATTCTACTGCTGTAATTATGAGAGGAATTAAGAAAATAGCCATTTGCCCAGAAACTAGAACCGTCTTGGCTTGATATCTGCTGCGTGCTGTAATTCCGGCATCACAGTTTTGTGATTAAGATCTCCATGGGTGTTGCATGTATATTGTCAATTATGATATTATAAAACAGCATATCATTTTTCAATTCCTGCTACTGACAGATCTTCCAATACCCTCATATCTATATTTTGGTCCACTGTGAACTTCAGTAAATTTAAGAGGCCAGACACCCTACTACAGTAGTTAAAAAATGTGTGATCTAGTTTTAAAGTTTTCAATGATTTTCTAAACAAAATTAAGAATTGTGAATGTTCAATAAACACCTATAGATATTCTAATAACTTCCTAGTTCAGTTAATGATGATAGTTGATATTAACTTACTAGGGCCTGGAAGACATGACCTGAATGCTGTGTTGAATTTCCATCATCTGTTGAGAACATAGCAAATAATGCATCCAACACATCTTGTAGGAACTTGACTGTTTCTGCACCATCAACACGTGTTAACCTGGATAGTGTCTCGCCAATACCATCTGGGGCTGACCGCCATCGCAGAAGAGACAAAAGATCAACTGCAAAAGATAATCTAAGTGAACATTTTGCTGTAGGCATTTTACCACCAATATTAAGTACTGCAATAAGGGTTCCAATTCCTCCAATTCTTATGAAAGTACATGCTATACACAATAAGAAAACAGCCTAAAGGAAAAAAAAATAAACATTTCACAAAGTCCTTTAACTCCTTAGACAGTGGCTATGGAGTGGCTATGGCTATGTCATACCCCCTATGCACAAAAAATATAAAAAAAATCCAAAATTCATTTTTTGTCATAGATTATTAACTTTTATGCAGAATGTAAGAAAAACACGAAAATAAGTGAATATTTATCGTTTCACTGAGTGGAGGTGCTCAACCGCATTCCCCTAGTAACATTCATGACAATAACCGCTTTTGTACCATAAAATAGTAGCAGGATTTTTGTCATGGGTCAACATAAACTCCATTACATCCACATAGACTTCTTATATCCATATTTGCATCATACATGTAAAACCCAAAATTATCACATGATGATGACCGCATTACCCTGTGAATCAACAATTGACGATAACTGCTGTCTAAGGGTTAATTATCGACTCACATTTACTTTAACATGGAGTTCCCAAACACTACTATTTTTGGATGTTAAATTATCAAGTAAACAAAACACTGTACACAAACTCTTAAAAAAAAAAAAGTACCTACTATTTTGAGTAAGCTTTGTTGAGCAAAGCAGAGTATCGATAATAATGCTTTCTTTGGGAGATCGTTGGAATGGCAGAGAGTATATACAATCCACCGCTTCCTTGGAAAGGAAAGGCATGTTCAGGTACTCCATTGGATTGTTTAAACGTCCTCGTTCATCACATTTATACACACACAGCTCATGTGACCCATCACGTAAAGTTGTCCCTCCATCGTCATCCATTAACCGTACAAATGAGAAGCCAAATAATTTCTTCTCATTCCTCTCACGTGCTGAAAGTATAAATTTAAATAAAAGTATTTGAATTATGCTTAATGTTATAAAATGTAACATATCATATTTGCAGTGAAACAATATAAGAAAGCAATTCATAAGTTTGACAGAAATGAATCTGGAGAAAAACAAAAGTAGAAATAACTGTGTATTCTTCCCCGTTACTCTCAGATTTAAAACCCCAATTTAACTAATATATACATAATATTTATGTAAATTTGTTTTGTATTTGCTACACATGGTGAAAGGTTTTCCTTAGTAGTGAGGGTGGGACCATGGTGAGGAAACACGTGAGGTAGGAGGTGAATCTGAGGGTTGTAGAACAAGATGAACATATATGGAGTGTGAGTGTGTGTGTGTGTGTGTGTGTAAGAAAGTGGGTGTGAACAGTACACAAGTGATGGTGAATAAGACAGAAATCATTTGGTAAGCGTTTGCCTTATTTTTGTAAATGACAGCTCATAAGAAGACCTTTGCATGAAGCTGTCGAAGGTTTGGTGAAGTGTGATGGTGCCAATTCTGCCTGATGCTGCAATATGCAGTGTGGATGGTATTGTGAATGATATCTTTACACCTTATTTCATATAATTTTCTCTTATTTCTAGGCTGATGCCTCACTACCCCATGAAAATCGGAAAATGCTAATATTAAATGCTGTAAAGTACATGGAACTAACTTGAGCAATGCCTGTACTCTAGTCGGAGGTGAGCGCCAGCAAACTGGTCAATGGGAATAGCAACTTTGAGACGTTCATTCCAGCGTGGAGAATTGTTATGGTACATGATCATGGATGAGTACTCTGATGTTCCTTCATGACCCATACCACTGTAAATAGCCTGAAATTTGAGAAAAGTAAACAATAACTTATTTCACTTAGTGCTTTCAGTGTCCAAAAGACATTAAAAGAAATTATATATTATATATATATATATATTTTTTTTTTTTTTTTTTTTTTTTTTTTTTTTTTTTTGAGATATATACAAGAGTTGTTACATTCTTGTACAGCCACTAGTACGCGTAGCGTTTCGGGCAAGTCCTTAATCCTATGGTCCCTGGAATACGATCCCCTGCCGCGAAGAATCGTTTTTTCATCCAAGTACACATTTTACTGTTGCGTTAAACAGAGGCTACAGTTAAGGAATTGCGCCCAGTAAATCCTCCCCGGCCAGGATACGAACCCATGACATAGCGCTCGCGGAACGCCAGGCGAGTGTCTTACCACTACACCACGGAGACTGCTAAATTATATTATATTTAGCTAATATATATTATATTATATAATAGATATATAATATATGTAGCAAAGCAAATTTTTAACAGAAGTAACACTTAAATAATCAAAGTAGCCGCTGAACACAAATAGATATGTAGAGAGTTATCGGGGAAAACACTCCCAAATTATCTGTTTACTCTTCAAGTAAAAATGTATTAGCACTCTGAACCATTCACTTGCAGGGTGACATATCAGGAATTTCTAACAGTGTATAATAATTCTTTCATTCTCAGCAAATAGTTAATCCATTCCACAGCATTTACGCTTATATTTTGCTTAGTACGTATTGCATATTACTAACAGTTACATGACGCTGAATGGAGTAATTGCAGGGTCCAATCTTCCCAAGCCTTTGGCATTTTCCTAAAGCTTAAACTTTATGGGTGACATCTTCACATATAGTCTATAAAAGTGTGCATATTATCTACACACGGCCATCATTATACACGATTTATACTACACACACAGGTGGTGAGCAACCTCCAGCCTATCAGAATTTGGAGTGCTGCCCAGGAGAAATTTTTGTTTATATGAGAAGTGAACTTACTGGAGCTGCATCCACCAACTACATCAGAAGCCGACATAGAAAAATGTGTGAAAAACAATGGGGATCCAAAACCCACACATTAAATGCCTCAAATTATAGAATACTGAGTGTAGTGAAATGCAATTTTCTGGACACACATTAGTTACTCCCCATCGCTATCATTCTCAGTCTATTATTGGTCAGACTAGACAACACCAGATACCAATAGAACTTTCACTGCCTACCGAGGAAAAAAAACAGAATTTTGCCCCTACTACAAGGCACATGATCTCAGAGCTCAACCCAGTACAGAGGCAGCTCACCATTATAAGCAATGAAGGATAAACTCCCTCTGAGAAACCATTAAGGTATCAAACTACAGAAACAAAACTGCAGTAACTAAACAAGCTACCACCATCCAAGAGGAAAACTCATGATGATGCCACCAGTTCGTAAGAGAAGATGGATGGGATGTCCTGAGGAGGGAGGGGGGGGGGGGGGTCACCCAGGCCTGACACGAGGCAGCAGTTGCCACAAATATATTTAGTGAGATTTATTTCTGTGTCACTGATTACTAATTTTCCTTTTCTTGCATTTATATTATGGAAGTGTGTGTAATTTGGGAAATCCTATAATAAAATGTGTGGAACATCGATACACACAACAACAGTATATTCGTTTCACTAATATGCTCACAATATTATATTCTTTAAACAATGAAACATTGTTTTTCTATTATCACAATGTATACACATTATATATATACAGTATATATTTTTATCAACATGTTCATGTACTGTTATGAACCACAGAGCAGTTCTGTGGGCGTGATAATCTTGTACCAATTGATGCACTCTCAGTCTGCTCTGCACATTTTGCAATATGTTTTAAGTGCACTTGTTAAAATACTGTATATTATATTCTCTTCGTATTTGTAATATGCTTTCCATGGCATTTTCAAGTGCAATTAAGCAATGGCCTGTGAATTACATTATTTATATCATAACTAGTAAAACATCGGTGTGCACAGATATATTCGTGTACTGATATGTACACTAAAATACAATATTAGAACAATGAAATATACTGCTTTTGCTGTTATCACTTTGTATTCATACACTATATAGCTACAAGATTACGCACCATTACGGACCACTAAACTGTCTAGCACCACAAACTCATGAGGTACTGATGTCATATAAAGCCATGTACTGCCCGATATACTACGCACACTGGTAACACAAGCCAAAATATTATCAGAATAATGGTTACTAAATTCTGAATATGAATCATCATATTTCACATATTCATTTTCAAAAAGAACATGAGGTCCATTGCACAATGCAGAAATGCACTAAACTGCAGCTGTATGCTGTGGATGTCTACCTTGCACTGTGTCACCAGCATCACCACCAGTATTGGGTTCACCGATACCTGAACTTGTACATAGTCTTTATCACTATCAAGAACTACTATATTGCTATCATTAAATTACCGCAGTTACTTATTTATGTCATCATCATTAAGTGATGGTGTTGACACCAGCTGCATGATGGTGCTGTGAGCTGGTGTTGCATGTGGTGCTCATGGTTGCTGTTATTATTGTGGCTCTCGCTCCCAGGAGGGATGCATACAAATTTTTCCAAGATGGTTTCTTTTAACTGCTGGCCTGAGGAAGCAGATGTGATCCGCATGTACCCATGAGAGTTTTAAATCTTACGCTAGACCTGCAAACGATCCTGGTTGATCAGTACATCACCAATAAAATGACCCTGCTTGATATGTGCAGTTGATGGGTTAAAGTTATTGAAGAATGAGCATGGTCATTCTGCAGTAAGGGTAGCATGATAATACAGTTCTCATGCTACCAGAACTGTATTTTGGTAGCACAGAATAGAGTTCAGTACTTTTTTGACTATCATACAAAAACAATTTAACCAGGTTCTTCAATACTTTTAGTTTTGGGCTTTATACCACATTTTACAACTTTTTAAGACATTTTGATAAAGTACAGTAACACATATCTGGTCATTCCAAATCATAAAAAGATTTGGAGAAAATTGCTTTGTATGTAAATACAGATTATCCAAACTTCTGATTAAAAATAGCTTTAAGAATGTCAAGGAGCAAATTTTCTCAAAAACATACAAAACATAATAAAACGCATGCAAGTTTGATGGCATAAGTGTACTTTTTGTTATTGCACATATACAGTATAAATCTATTTCAAAAACCAAATTAAATTTTAAACAAATTAAATATTTTCAACCTAAAATATTGTAGATATATAAAAGACATGACTCCCACCTGCAAAGCTTGTCCCTCAGCATCGAGAGTTAGCACCGTCACCTCAATGTTCTTACCCACAGACTTGCCGCCTCTCTCATATTCTCCGCTATTTAGAGTCACATACAAGTCATTTCTGAGAAGGAAGCAAAACAAAAAGTATCTGTGAATAATTAACAAGAAATTTTGATAATATATGTAATGAACTCATTAAATAAAAAAAATTATTTTATAACAAGTTGCAGTACTGTATATAAATGTTGAGTAACTAAATCATATAACACAACCTTCTTTATCTCACAAACACAGAGCACATGACATGCTTCAATGAGACATGCTTTTTCAAGAAAACTAAATTTCCAAAAGTACTGTCAATGCACACACAGAGCTCAAGAGGGGCTCAACCAGCTGAGTGAACCCCCAATGCATTCAAAGAATGATAGACTCTGTTGATCATTGATCTTTGCAATCAATACCAGCAACATATAACCCCTAAAACAGAAGTAAAACTGATAAGAAGATCAGTAGTGCTCCCCAACCCCTTTTCTTGTACCATACGATCATTAACTCGCTGTCAATATATCATTCATCATTTGCTATAAATTTCTAATAGCCTCTGTATTCAGCACTCCAAATTGGTCCCCTTCAGCAGATTATACAAATAAACAGATAATATTTTGACACAAAGACATCCTAGTATTTCTTTTATCAAGGTTTACATACTAGCATATTTAATACATAAAAATGAAGAACCCCCCCCTTACCTTACATCACCAGGCATAATGACATCAGAAAAACCTAGTTTTTTCGTGACACAAACATTCTTGAGCAACAGGGGATTTTCTTTGGTGGCCTGCTCAAGCTCTCCATGAACAACCTTCACACTAACAACCAGACCTGCCAGTACCAAAAATGAAATAAATTTAATATTTACATGAGCATAGGCAAATTACTTAAGTCTTAAAATTACAAATTGAAATGGAATGCTTACATGCAAACTATGGTGACTTATATAATAATGATGGCTCCAGTTTCCCACTTTCTTGTACTGTATCATGTCCCAACAGAGTTACTGCAGCATCCAGCCAGGTTCACGGTGACCATCTCATCACCAATGCAGTAGGAATTGTTTCAAGTGCCCCCGTCGGGCCCCAAATTTAGGAAGAGACACTGGAAAATACTCAATCCAGCCCTGAATAAATGTCAGAAAGTACATTCCGCTATACTCAAACATCTCCTCCAAGTAGTAATATAAATCAGAGACCACTAAGTATAGTTCTACTTTGCTACTGTAAATTATCAAATGCTAGTTGACTGCCTGGTTATTACCCACACCCACATACAGGAGACAGCTTGTGATCCTCCCCTAACTTTTCTTACAACACACCCATGGAAAGGCGATGACTACATTGAAGAAAGTGCAGGAGTGTGACTGACTTGTTCTATAAAGAGTATCTCATCTACGTTCAGAGCCAGTAGATAAACTCCTGTATATCAAAACAAACTGACCCAATCAAACTACAGTACTAATACACCAAGGAACATAGACTATTAGTGGGCATACGGTACTGAAAGCAAATACATACATGACCCACCAGTAGTCATTCGGGCCATACATGTAGGACTGAAGTGACCCACCGGTGGCAATAAGTTAAAACAAATTATTAAAAATTGTATAGACATATATAAGATTTACATGCTATTTATAATTCTTGCATTAAGAAATATTCCATTTCTCCCATATTTAACTTTTTTTTTTGTACTAAGCCTAGGGTTCATGTGGGCTGCCAAATGATGTACCTAGTGAAACTGCAAGCAAGAGCTGTTATCCTACCTCAGCTCATCTGAAGGCTGTTCCTAGAAAACTCCTTTATTTCATGAGAATGTACTTTGAAACTATCACATTCATGGATAGTATGGCATGGATAGCACACAAGGAAATCACAATAATGTGATATACCTGAAAAAATATTTGGAGCAGAATGGGGGAATTGAAACCGTGTCCTGGTTCACCCCAGTTGCATACCTTAACCCATGGACCACAATATGTATATTGTGGGTCATGAGTTAATGCATGCATCTGGGGTTACCCAGGATGCTGATTCACCCCAAGTTCTGTTCCAAAGATTCTCTCATAGCATGGCTAAGTTTCCTTGGCTAAGAAAATTATGAAAGCATTACCTAGTAGAAGATATTTTACAATCAACTGTACATAATGACCAAACAATCCCTTACTTATTAAATATGATGCAAATCTCTTGTTGTTTATTTCATCGGGCATTAGAAAACTGTGTATTTATTATATTTCTGACTTTATTTTATTTATTTATCTGACTTCTGATGAAAAAGTAAATTGGATAATTTAATATACGCAAGGGAAGGAGAAATGACTAAGATGCCAAGTTAACACAGCACTACTGTACTTACAGAGATGGCCAGCAAATGACAATACAGACTCCGTTACCAATACAACATTTGTCATATAATACAAATTTACCGTTATTCATAGCTCCTGTATACAAAACCACGTATGGTGCTTGTGTTGTTTATTTCTCATACTTTATTTCCGAGAAAATAGTGTAGGTAGACTGAACATAAAATATTCTCTGGAGCAGCTGTGTGAGGGAATGTTTGGTGGCTATTATGACCGACTCCCTCTATTTCTCATCACTCTTCTCAGACAATTTCTTGCCATTCTTCACTTCATAAGAAAATATTAGGAAATTGGTCCTTTTACCTGTTCACCTTGTAGCAAAAAGGTACCTAAGAGTTAGACAAATGTTGTGGGTTGTATCCTGGGGAAGGATGTGTCATCAATGGTCTACTCCGTGAAAATAGGATGGAATTGTGATAACCCTTCCAGGAAAATGTTGGACACACCCTGCATGTGAACTGTGCAGAGAACCAAACCCTAAGAATCCAGAAGCCGAACCACTCCAAGCATCCAGTTTCACAGAACGATGGACCAAAACAACTGACCCTCAGTTCAAGCAATGAACCACCAGGGAGCAGTTGAGGAGCTGTAGCACTGCACCTGGAGGAAGCCGAATCAGGCATTCTACACGGCCTGATAGCCGAGTGGACAACGCTTTGGATTCGTAGTCCTGAGGTTCTGGGTTCGATTCCCGGTGGAGATGGAAATAAATGGGCAGTTTCTTTCACCCTGATGCCCCTGTTACCTAGCAGTAAATAGGTACCTGGGAGTTAGACAGCTGCTACGGGCTGTTTCCAGGGAGGAGGGGGGGGGGAGGAAAAAAAAAAGTTCTTGACAGTTGAGAGGCGGGCCAAAAAAGACAGAGCTCAACCCCTACAAGCACAACTAGGTGAATACAGCCTTTGCACTTCAATCTTGGCAAGATAGCTTCAGAGAGTTATCAGAGGGTTCCCCCCAAAAACAAAGAATATTTATGACCCTGAATGACTGAGTATCACAGATATGTTTATAAACTTTTGTGAACCCATCAGGAACTCGTACATCTGAATTTGTTTATCCAAACTTCAAGTCCCTAAGGGAGCCGGTCGGCCGAGCAGACAGCACACTGGACTTATGATCCTGTGGTCCTTGGGTTCGATCCCAGGCGCCGGCGAGAAACATTGGGCAGAATTTCTTTCACCCTATGCCCCTGTTACCTAGCAGTAAAATAGGTACCTGGGTGTTAGTCAGCTGTCACTGGCTGCTTCCTGGGAGTGGAGGCCTGGTCGAGGACCGGGCCGCGGGGACACTAAAAAAAAAAAAAAAAAGCCCCAAAATCATCTCAAGATAACCTCAAGATAACCCTCCTGTTGACTACTTAATGGAGATTTCAAGGATAAATGTCCCCATGGCCCAGTCTTTGACCAGGCCTCCTGGTTGGTCTGATCAGTCTATTAGAACTTATAGTGCAGTTACTATTAAGCTCATCATGGTACAGTGAGTAGTGCATGTTTCAGAAGAATCCAGAAAAGCGAGTTCAATCCCTCCCAATGTCATAATATTTTCGCATTGTTTATCCAATATTATTGAAAACAAAAAAATGATGCAGAGAAAACTCCATGCAGTGAAAGGTATTTCTTCCAAGGATACCTAATTTTAAGAAAACATGCTTCTTTTGTACAAGACAGTTGTGCATGATTGCTATCAACTTTAAGAGATGGTTGTGTGCTAAAACTACTGAATGTTTTCAAACAATATAAGATGAAATACAATATATATAGTATGTGGAAAACACAACGAGCATAGTCCTTTACCTATAACTGACAACAGGCAATACAAAATATAAATAATAACACACACAAATGCAAATCAATGTGGATAAGTACAAAGCTGTGGAAATGGGTTATAGTGAACATAGGTCCAATAGAAGATATAAACTTGGTTAAAAAAAATGAATACAGTGTAACCTCACTATAGTGATATCCTCATAATGCACCCAGAGTTTTCCAGTGCAGACTATTTTTCACAAGCCTTTGTATGACTAACCATCTTGTGTGATGGGGACTTTTTAGCATCACGTAGCTAGTTTTTTGACACACTGTTCTTCCCTTCATATAGTCTAGGGTAGCTGCACAAATGCAGATGTACCTAAATGAGTTAATAAAAAAAAAAAAATTACAAACCTCGGGGGAGCAAATCTCTGGCAAGTCCAAACGAATTCTGATCTTGTCCAAAACCCCGCCTGCAGCGCACACTGTTCGTTGCAGGTGGGGTTTTGTTCGTCCAAGCCGTGAACACTCCGCTGGCCTCCAACCTATCTACAGCCAATGTTCGTAAAAATTAAAAATGTAAACAAACTCAAATAGGACAAATTATTAGACAAATAATATCAAACAATAATCAAGTGTTAAATGTAATGAAATATGCCATTTTTTGTGGGGCCCCTTCAATCTCTCCCCGAGCTATAGCACTGGACCTGTCAAGCCTTGGGAAATGTACCAGGCCTCCAAAACACACCCTTGTCTACCTGGAGCCAGCTTCTGTTAATTTAAGTATTTACTTGGGATAGTGCTATAACATGCCTTGGACTAACTAATAGCATTTTGTTAATATAGTTCTCATTTTCAACAGGGCGTACATTTACTTTCATGTTACTTATTGAATACTACACATTGCTATAAACTGGTATTTCAGAAATTCACTCATTTCTTTGTTATTCTGTGTATGAACCTTCTCTTTTAAGTATAGGTCTAATACTGGTGGAGGCTTTTATTTTGATCAGAGAATAAAGTGTCCGAGGCAATAATTGTTCATGAAGATGAAGTAGAGCAGTGGTTCCCAGCCAGTTGTTCGTGAACCCCAAGGAGGCTGCAAAATGTTTTCTGGTAGGGTGAAGCACCTAAATTTTGAATACTAGTACATCTGAATGATCAAGAATTAGCAAGTGGTGAGTATCCTGATAAGGCCATTTTTTTCAATTAAGAAAATGGGGCAGGGGGTCACAGGTCTTGAGTATTAGAAGATAGAGGCCACAAATTCAAAGAGGTTGAGAAGCACTGAACTAGAGAGTACAGTGGAACATAAGCTCAACAAACCTTGTTTCAGCGAATCTCCAGTTGTAACACACACACATGTACTACTCGCCTAGTATTCACCTAGTATTACACATGTAATTCAATTACACAAGTACTGACATTTAGGTAATTACACAAACATTCAAGGCCAGATTTACTCGCCTCTATTTCACAAACAAGTTCGGTGAAGCAGGGAAGATGTGTGGATTTGCTTAGGATGTTGAGCTAAAGTTCACAAACAGGTGGGAAAGTTACCCATCATATGATAGGTTGACATTAAAATTTCACTCAGTGAAATTAGGCCATAGAGAATGGGAAATATTAGAGCATTAATGGTGATTTTCTTAATATGGCTCCAATCATGTTTTAATGATTTTCATAGACGGACACAACATTAGAAGAAACAGCTAGAGCTTTGGAAAAGTGACCGAGGATATTTAAAACCATATACTATGAATTACTTTTAGTTTCAGTGGTTTTTGTTCACTAAAATATGGTCTCCTTCCTATGAATATGAGGTTTCAAGGCTTGGGCATAGAGAAATATGCTGGATATGATGAAATCTTTTTATGCACAGGTTCTCCTGGTAGTTATCCTTACACATGCTACATAGAAATTAAAATTTTGTTCAGTGAAATCAGCTTATAGAGCGGGGAAAATATTAGGGTATGAATCATAACTCTCTCTTAATATGGTTCCAATTATGTTTTTAATGAATTTTGTAGATGGATGCAACATTGGAAGAGTTGTGGGCCTTAGGAAACCCATTGAGCATATTTAAAACCAAATTTTATGGTTTGTTTTCATTTCCAGCTGCAGTGAGTTTAGTTAAAAAATTATGGGTCTTCTTCCTTTGATAATTAGGTTTCAAGGGTGAGGCACGGAAGTGTTAGATGTGAAATTGAATTACAGACAAATTCTTGTGGTACTTGTCCTTCACATGATTGGTTAAAATTAAAGTTTCACACTGTGAAAATAGCCCATAGCACATGGGAAATATCAGGGTATGAACAGCACCTCTTAATATGGCTCCAATCAAGTTTTTAATGATTTTCATGGATGGAAGCAACATTAGGAAAAAGATACAGGTGAGGCACTGCATTTCTCGTCTTTAAAAAGAGAAATTTCCAGACTTTAAAAGAGATCACAAATTCAGTTCTAATGAATCCATCACTTCCACAAATCAGGGTTGGTTCCCATATCACTATATTTTCATTTCAGACTTTTCTCCTGGTTGGGTGAAAATTTGTCACAAAGTCTAAGGAGCTCTCTAACCTTTGCTTAATTATTTCGAGGCTGATTATCTGGTATTCTTCATCTTAAATTGGATACACTGAAGTCTCCAAGGAAGATAATATCTGTCTCCAGATTTTATATAAAACTGAAGCCATCTTCAATTTTGTTATCTGTTCTCTGAATTTCTGGCAACAATAAGAAGCCCTACTGCAATGTACTGGGTCAGGAACCCAAGGAACTGGGCATAACAAAGGGGGATATTAATAAGGTATGAACGGTATCAACATATAACAGAACACAAAACAATGAGTATATACTATATTTTGGATAGGTTTTAGATTCAGGAAAGACTTGGGTAAATAGAGGGTTGTTAATTTGTGAAACCCATTATCGTGCATAGGGGCCGGGCTTGGGGAGTAGAAGAACTCCCAGAACCCTATCAAGCAGGTATCAAGCAGGGGCAACATAATAGACATAGGATCCCTTGATTGCTTCAAGTGTAGGGTAGACATGTATATGAATGAGTTTGGGGTGGATATAAATAAGAGCTGCCACATGTGGGCTAATAGGCCTTCTGCAGTTTCCTTGATTCTTACGTTCTTAACTGCGTGGGAGTGACAAAGACAGAGCACACATGCAAAAGTAGAACAATTCTCCAAACATCAGTCTGCATTGATGACGAAAAGTTCAGGATCAAATAATTTTCTACTTCATTTGATCGACAGGTCCTTTGCCAATCCCAGATGGGTTGTGGAAGGAGCCACGAAGGATAGTGTATGTGTGGGGAAACGAGGGAAGGAGAGGATAGTGTCCCAAGGCCTCTCTATTTACATTGTCCTACCATCTAGTGGTGGGTAACAGCAGCAACCAGGTTGCCAAGTATGTTTTGGCTAATATGGGTCTACCATAACAATGTTTAGGAGATCATTTTAACCCAAGTATTACTTGGAGGTGGTTCCGAGTGTAAATAAAGGTACCTTCTGGCTGTCATTCCGGGCTGGATAGAGAATTTTCCAATTCTTCCTTAACTTATGATCTGGCAGCAGTGGTCATCAATACTTGCCTTGATAGTACACATGATACCAGAAGAAGAGATCCTGTTGCATCAGAGATGGAAAGTCATACTGTTCCTGGCTGGGGAGCAGTGCTCATGAAGGATACCTATTTTAAGTAATATGACAAAAAATGGCCAAACAAAAACCGATTATCCTAGTCATTAACTAATTTATTGCTAAATTTCTGACATTCTCTCGAGCAATAGAACTCTACCAAAACATTCTTACCTATTATCACATGCATTTATATACATTGGCTGCCTTCATTCCATGTAGGGACTCACAATTTTTTTCAGAAGCTCATAAATTTCACAAAATGAGAGTCCAGTTTTCCATTTTATTATATCCATCTGAAAAGCCTGAAGGTAGTTGAAAATCAGTTACTCAAGAAATTCACCGACTCACCATAACTAGCATTGTTTGACATTATGGAATATTTGTTAGATTGTTTCTTGAGAACAAGTTCAGGTAGTTGCCAGAAGTCTTTTTCATCAGATGTGAAAAGTTTCCCAGTTAGCTCAACCTGCAAAGATATTTATAATGTTAACCATGACACATTTAAAAGCAATGTCATCGAATATAAATATACATAAAATCAATACAAAAAAACAACGGCCAAATTTGTCAATTGTAATATAGATAAATTAAGACAGTTACCTTGTTGTCTCAGCCACAACACATTGTGGCCTTAAAGTCACAAAATCACACATTGATGAGCTCAAATCATAGCCTGTTTGCCAGTATTATCACATTGCAGAGTTCTCTGCACTTATGACACCTAAATAATTGTATCAATATATTAGACAAGACCCACTATGAACCCTTTGCCTGCAGCCATAGTTAAATACATTATTTTGAGAAAACCTTAACAAAATTCTAGTGCTGGTCTTTTGAATTCACAAAGTCTTGCCACCTCTGCTCACACGCATCTAAAGGTGCATTTGTGCACGCTTTGACACTATACGTTTATTACTGTGCAGGAATTATTGTTTACCTATTAACTTCAAAGGCTCAAGACTTTTCAAGATGTTCCTACTACACCTAAGAAGCATATAACAAGGGGACATCAGTGAAAGCTGGACACGCAACTGTCATTGGAAGTTCTCCTTCCCTGCACGAGTGGTCAGCAAGTGGAATACATTTAAAGAAGAGGTTCTTTAAGCCAATTCCATCTACAATTTTAGGAAAAAATATATTGAAAATGTTAATGCTGAGAGAGGTAATTAGCATGCTAAGAATATACAGTTAGGAAGTTGAACATAAAGACCTAGACTCCTCTGTAGTCACCGATAGATAAGTAAAAACAAGCAACTGCCCAAAAATGCAAATGCAGGTAAGGCACAAGAGCCAAATGTACACACAATTAACACACAAAAGAATTCTTGAAAACGGCAACTTCAAGCACAATAAGTCATGGATTCAAACTAAGGAAACAAAGCTGCCAAAAATGCATTAGAAAGGTCCCTTTTTGCAAACAGGATGGTAGACGGTTGCAAAAAGTTAAGCGAGAAGGTAATAGAAGCCAAAACTGTCAGTGGTTTCAAAGCATCATATAACAAAGAGAACTAGGAAGACAGGACACCACGAGCATAGATCTCATCCTGTAACTACACCTAAGTAATTACACAGCTACTATATATTATCTACATATACTGTTATATTTTGTACTGAACATGTGTAACATACTTCTCCTTCACTCCCTTGCAGAACAGATTGAGCTAATCTGAAGAGAGCCACTCCGTATGGTCTTCGATAGTTATGTGATGACATCTTCTTGACCGATTCCGAAAATAGCATGCGTCCAACTCTGACAACATGGGCAACAATATACAGGTCTGAAGCCAAATCTCCACTTCCAAGATCCTGCAAAACAATTAAATAAGACAATTTTCATAAATTTAAAATTGTTACCAGAAACAGACTAATATATGAATTTTACAGTGACCATTCAGTATCTTAACCACTGAAGTTGAGGTGACAATAAGCTGTTCAAATAAAGCCATCAGCATATTGCAAGGTGGAGGAGAACAGTCACCCAATTAATGGCACATCATATGGATATTCTTCACTACTTTATATTTTACTATCTACCTACAATTACTTTAAATTACACAAGATTTTATGGCCAATCACATGTACTGTTACAATATGCTTTTGTTACAACTTTTCTAATTTGCCTATGCTTAGTTTGCCAGTAAAGTTAGCCCTAAAGTGCCGCAAGATACACTGCACTGGGCTGTATGTGGCCTCTCAATGGTAGCAGGATGGCAGCAAGATAATTAGAATAGTAGTGACGAATATTATAAACCATTAAAGGCTTTAATATAGATGTACAATGACATATTAGATACAAGTGAAAGACTTTTTGGGGATACTAAATAAAAGAAAGGGAAGAAATCAAATAAAATGTAGGAAGGTTTGGATAACGTGGGGGCATTATTTGGATTGTCAAATCAGTATAAACTGAATCACTGGATCTGGAGATCAAAGGGAGAGCAAATTCTAAGATGACATTCATGTTGCCCTATAAAGTATGAAATTGTACATAAAGAAAACACATTAATATGATATATATCAATGAGAAAATCAATTGGAGCACTAAAGTGACTGGAACCCGTGGATTCAGTGGAATCCCCATGGTGGGGTAAGGTGTATGACTGGGAGTATCCCAATTGCTGATTTGGATCATCTCAGTGCTCCAATTGAGTTTCTCACATGAAATTGTGCTATAACATTGGTGTGCATGTTCCAGACTCACGTTGGTTAAATAACTGACAGTAATAAGTATGGCCAAGTTCAGCCACGTAAAACATATAGCTATCATTCATAATCAGTGACCCTGACCTGAAAGCCATAATGCATTAAATGAAGGCCCAAAAGAGATATTATTTATACTGGATACTTTTCATTTATAAGTCAAGTACAAGAGCTTTCCTCAAAAGACTATAGTGATTACTGTTATGTATCTAGATCTGGAACCATTGAAAGATACCACAATCTTGAATCCCTATTCAACAACTTCTTGTACCAGAGTTTAGGTTGTAGACAGACAGCATAAACTGCTGACAACTAAGATGAGAGAGCACCATTTGTAGACGACATTGTACACGTAAAGGTTTTACCAAATGTAGCAATGATACACAGGGCTAGTATTTAACCCTCCCAATGTATCATTTGGAGGTTCACAAGCACAGTACACATGCACCATAGAACAACTAGGAAAGAGGTGAGGTCAATGAAGCAAAGGAGGGGTCAAGGTTAGTGTAGTACAGGCGAGAGATGTAAGAGACTATATTCCAATTTATATTTATAAAGTATTACTTTAGCAAGATGGCTAGCAACATTTTCTTCTTCACCTTTTCTTATTAAGAATTAAGCATCCTTGAAGTGCATTAGGTATTGCTCTTGTTCCTGTTTGTGACACAATAATACTGTTCCAGCAATACTGTACTTGTGTCACTCACGGAAACCAGCAGCAGCACATTATGAACTTCTGGGATGCATAACGTGTTGTTTAACCTTCAACATGCAGGTATCAAAATTGAAACCTCTTGCATGTGCACCAAAACAAAACAAATAAAAATTTGTTCTTAGAGAATGATACATTTGCATAAGAACTATTTTCTTCCAGACAAGGTGGTGCAGGGGAAAGAAGACCCAAATGTTTAACTCAAATTTTCATGTCTATTGCTTCACAGTTTACACAATGCATTGTTTGTATTGAATAACTTGACTGAAAAACTCAATTGCCAAAATCTGTGACCGAGTACTATATATAGGCCCACAGTGTAATATGTACACAAATATTACATGTAGGTTTTGCAGCCCACTCTTTCCTGCAAATCTGTCTGGAAATGTCATCCATGAATGGATTTAGTCATGGGAGGTAGACACCAAATAATCATTTAATGATGACCTCAGGCCACTAGTACACAATAACCTGATCACATAGTAAGCAACTATAAAACAACAGCAGAATTCTTTCATGTGTCTTGACTCACTCCAGTACATCACTGACATACAAACTGGGCAATAATGATGAATAATTGGTAAATGATGATGACTGCAGTGGCCTGAGCGATCAACAAATGACAACGACCATATGGTGGTGGTTAAAATAATAAAGTAATAATTAGAAGACCGCATATAGAATCTGCAGCCATCAAATGCAGATGAGAAGACGAAGATCAGAAATATCAGAAATATCAGAAGATCAGAAGATGAGAAATTCTTCTCAACACCAATGAGAAGAATAAAATAAAATTCAAGTGCTGCTACTCTTGCTAACTTAATTCTGGTACTGTACTTCATAAACATAAATTGTTACACAATCCCTCAAGTCTCACCTTTACCTATAACCAAGCCATCTCTACCTCACTGATCCTTTGTTGTTACTCCTTTTTAAGTGCAAGCTCTGTGTATCTCTATTAAATTTGATAGAGCCTACACAGGCAAGACATCCTCTACAAACACAGTCTACTCTCATACTGATGTTTCTCTACATCAGAATTTATAAATGCTTGTGTTATAATTTTGATCTGAAACCTTTCTGAAGGAACAACACACAGGCAAATGAACTATGAATGGTAGAATTATCAGCCAAGGAGTGAATCAGGTTACCCTGGCTTCACTTTTGTCTTCTCCCACCATTAACTGAGAGAAGGCAAGAGTGAAGCTGTTCCAATATTACCAATGTCCTACAATAGAACAGGTGGAGGGAAGGAAGACCATAAGATGCAAGTACCATACTCACTGTGAATATTGTGCAGTTGCTGTGGATTTTTTCAACATAATTTGAAAATCCTTCTTTAGATAATTTGACTAGAAATCTTTCACTGAAAATAAAGAATAAAAGTGCATGAGGAAACTACCAAAATCAAGATTTACCATAACTAACTTTATTAACTTATTACTAACTTTTACAATGTAGAAAATAGAGAATAACATTTTAAATAATATATTACCACAATAATTCTGACATGAAGACCACAATTAAACAACTTGGGTCCACTACAAACCTGATAAACTTTCCCTTTTGTGCATCATACAAGGAGAAGAATATCTCCGCATCCTCCCCTAAGTGATACGAAAAATCTCGCATGCAGAAGAACAAGTGATGACTCAGTATTTTTCTTCTCTCTTTTCTCTTTGCCAACGTCCCAAGACCCTGGAAATATATTAGATAAGTACAATATTTTCCGTGTTAAAAAAAAAATATTATTATTTGTGTTTAGACCAATGTTTACTTTGTCTGCAGTTACTACTAGCAGACAAGTCTAGGTGACGAGGTTAAACATATTGTACTGTCAACACGAGTAATACTGTACCAAGAAGCCAAGATTTTCTTCCCAGTAAAACAAGAATATTAATGACCATTTAATATCGGACTCACCTGTGAATGTGACTGTGAAGCTTCTGCACTCTGGACATGCTGTTGGGAAAAATGGGAAAAAACAATCATATAGTTAATATTATAGAAGTACTAAAGTTAACAAAATGTTAGTAGTTAGAAGAAACTAACAAAATAAAGTTTGCAATAATATTCATGACCCTTTATGATAATGATCAGATCACCTGAGGCATTTCACCTGTGAGATGCCAAGGGCATTTAATCTGCATTACCTTGATAGCCTTTACATCAAGTATAATACAAATACAGTACTGTATAGGAAAAAGAAACCTTAAAACTCATAAGGAGCAACTACATTTTGGTTCGTCCACTTTTTTTAAAACTTGAGTTTAGTGACCTAGCCGAGTTGTTTCGATTACTGTAATCGCAGCATTAATAATTTTTAATAATAATAATGCTCCTATATTTCAGAAAAGAATGTAAAATCCTTTTAAAAATCCATTAGAGGAACTCAAATTATAACAAAATGTAAACATTTGGTAAAATCCAAAGCAATGCAGCATCAGTAGTACCGTGCAGTATTGTACTAGTAATCATATTTAGAAAAAATATTGACTACTCTCTTCACTTTATTACAGTACAGTAGAAAATACTACTAAAAATATTTTATTTTGTTTTCAGATATCATTAACTGTACTTAACTTTTTCTTGGGTCTATAGAGTAGGGGTGCAAGAAAATTTGGGGAAACAACAAGTAGAGTCTGATATCACGAGAAGATAAGATGAATAAATGCAATACACTGCCCGACCTTCAACTGTCTGATTATTCCACCTATTCATTTGGGAGTCCAACCAGGCACTGAACCAGCTTCCCCACCATCCTCCACCCATGAAAGGCCTATGCAGTTTTACAGCTGTCCATGGAGTTGCTGTGGTGTGGCTGCTGCACCTGTTGCAATGACCCAGTCTTGTTTCTGTGTGTGCCCTCAGCAAAGCCCTTCTCCTTCACCGTTGTATATTTGTAAATATATATTACATCCTGCCACAATGGCACCAGCAAATTCAGGAAATCTGTTGTTCAGGACTTCAACAAGCAGTGAAGTCAAGAGAAAACATGCTGTGATGAATTTTGAACAAAAAGTTCAACTTATAAAGGAAATTGAATCTGGCATTCCTAGGAGTGTCGTCTTTACTAGATACAAAGTTAACAAAACCACTCTTTATGATACCCTGTATATTGAAGGCTGAAGAGAACATTTTCAAGTTATGCTAAAGCGAAAGTGATTTAGCAATGCATAAAAGAAAAGTAGCCAGAAATACTTGAGTAAAAAAGTTTTGATAAGGCTGTCTGGGAGTGGTACAGGAGTTACGTGACAAATCAAAGAAGCCAGTGTTAGTATGGCTGATTAAGGAAAAGGTCAGGCATTGTTTACACTGATGGATGGCTAAGGGGCTTTAAGGTTCGTCATGGTATTAGGCATGTGAAATGAGGTGAAAAGCAAAAGGTGCAGAGGGATTTATGTCCAAATTTGAGGAAATTGTTCAGGATGATTCTTTATCTCCTGAACAAATTCATAACGCTGATGAAACAAGCTTGTACTGGCAAATGTTGGATGGTTATACATACACTCATCAGGATGAAAGTGATGGTTCAGCTGGATTCAAGCCAAACATAGAAAGGCTCTCTGTATTTTGTTGTGCAAATGCAGCTAGCACACACAAATTAAAATTAACCATTATTGGCAAACTTCTAAATGCAAGGACATTTACGGGTGTCAAGAATACGATCCTTGTGTCCCAAGTGCACCCCCACACAACCTAATTAATGCCCACCAACCAAAGGCCTAAACAGAGGGGGTCATAAGACCACTGAAATACCTGAGGTAAGTCACTCCATCCCAGTGACCTTACCTCAAAAGGGCAAACCCCCTAACACACCAGAGAAAGAACTGTCAGTGCAAAGGGAGAGCTCACGGACACCCAGGGAAGTAACCGCTGGGCACATGCAGTTCATAACAAAAAAGTTAAGTCCACACAACAAAACCAGATAGCAAACATGCGCATGAAGCAAACACTGTAATGTAACAATACATTAGTAAGAAAGACACTTGGGTAATGACAGGATGAGTCCTAGGATAGCTGGTATTTAGCTTAGAAGCTCTGGAACTTGTTGCAAGATTATACAACAAAGGGCACTACTGTGTTGCTCTAGGCTATGCAACAGCAGATGAACTGATCTGACATCCAACGCTTGACCGAGCTCCAGGGAACCTCGTGGTAACAGGTTGTAGTTAATTGTTTTTCTTTTGTATATTTTATATTCATTGGGAGATATTTGGCAGTTTAGTGGCTTCTGAGTCTTGTGAGCCCAACAGCATGTCTGTAAAGCTTCACTGACTTTCTGGCTACTTTACCAGTGAAATGACAGAATATCATTTTCTCCTTGTGCCTTGTGTAAGGGGGGGGGGGTGGGGGTTTGGCTCTGGTCCATGGTAGGCCAAATGAACTCGTGCAACTGATGTGACTGATAAATTGAAGCAATCTCAGCAAGACAGCTACAGGTGCCACCATGGGGCTTCCTCAGAAAAGATCTACTAAAGCTGTAAATACATACCACTTGATGAAGCTCTACTACACTGACAGCATCTGGATCTACCATTTCACCATCCACACGAGGTACTAGGTCCAACCCTAGTTTCCTAGAAAATAATGTTAATCAATTAGCTCCTTTCAGATTTAAAAAGTCACATAGGTGGGGAGGTATGATTCCCAAAGGAAAGATAAGACGAGATATTGAGTAAAATTAAAAGCATTAAGAAAGTCACTAGGTTGCTTCATAAATCAAAGAACCAATAGCACAGCTTTATGGTTAATCAGAGCCAGTTGATCTGGATCTGTGCAGCAGGGATCTTTATCAAAATACCTGCAGAGTCATTCTCCAATGTTTGATATTAGGGAGACACTGGATTTATATCTAGATATTCAATCCAACCTGAAATGATTGCCAGAATGAACATTATAAAAAAAACTAAAGCGATTACAGTATATACACCAACTTATAACCCAAGGATTGGCAAGCATCATTAACACAAACTTACCAATTACGTGATGCGTCCACTACATCTTATCACTACCAGACGGAAGCACCCCACTCGAACCACAACTCAATGGTTCCATTAAACAAATCATTCAAACTCAGGAGAGAAGAGACAAAAGGAAGGACCTGGAAGATGCCAAGTGACTTGCTCAGAAAAGTGTTTTTCCATTTTACTGAAAATCCAATTGTTAAGCAATGTCACCCGTGTGGTAAAGTGGAAGATGTTGAAGCCTGAGGAAGAAAAATCCAACAACATTAATGAAGCAAAGATGAGAAATCTTGGGCAGGTACCAGGTCACAACTGGTCAATTTACAGAACCCTCAAGCTTTATTATCCAAGGAGGGGTGGGTAATTTCCACAGGTCACGAGTATGAGGACATGCCTACAGTTGACTTTGCTTTACCACTAGGCAAAGCCTTTGGGAAATTTGTACTCTAGAACATGTCCAAACGTCTGGGGATTCATATGAATTTTGAATGAGAATGCTCGAAAAGTCCAAGGGATAAACAACATGAAGCTTCCACTAGACCCAGAATAAGGTACTAAATTTGAGGATGAATTTGCAAAGTGACAAAAAGCACTCATTTCATTCTTGGGTAAGAATAACAGATTAGAATGGAAATGCACAAAAGCATCTCAACGATCGAAATGAATGGAGCTAGATATATGAAGAGAGCATTAAGCTCATTGATACTGTGACCAGTAGCAAGGGCCACAAGAAACAAAGTTTAAGGGATGACAACAAAATACAGGAAGACCCTGAATCTTGCAGTGCTTTCAAAGTCGAACACCAGTGACCAGGCAGGCTCCAATGTATAATGAGAAGGACAGATGTTGACAAAATCTAAACCATGTTTCAAGAACAGAGGACTTGACAGGTCAAGGCCAAAGCCGAGCTGAAGTTGTTACACCAGATCAGCCCTGTACACAGCAAGTGTTGGGCATGAGACACCTCTCCATAATGAGCCAGGGAAAAGGAGAACACGAGAAGAGAGAGAAAGAAATAACTTGAGAGTGCAACATAACATTGGAAACTCTTCCATCTACCACATATTTATGACACCAAAATGGCAGGTGACCTGATAATCAAGATACTATATCACTTTAATTTAGATTTGTGGTGTTGATAAACCTAACCAAATGCAACTATTGTACTTTTATATTTAAAATTTACCTATCCCATATAATTTGTTATTATAATAACTGTGAATATGGGTTCTATTGTTGGCAATATTTAAAACAATAACTAATGCACCATAAAAGGATAATTCTGAAAATTTGATACAATGGAAAATCAGAATTATCTACATTCAAATAGGAATTATGCATCAGTTTTTTCAATTATTACCTTTATTGTTGAATTTTAATAGCTAATTCTCATTTACAGTTGACAGAGCACTTTATAGTTGTAATTACATATTCCTAAATAGTACCATCAATTATATACTCTAATTATATACTATAATTATATAACACCCCTAATGAGTGTTAAACCTGAGTTACTCCAAATATATTCATTTATTCTTTCAACAATAAATCAATGCACACCTGCACCACATAATACTCTACTACTTCTACAAACCTATTTCCCCAGTCAATTTTGCGTGTAATCTTGAGTTTGAGCTGTGCAATTTGATCGGAGGTCAAGGTGCCAGTAATCAGCTGCTTCCGCCAGTCTGCCACATCCATCATAGCCTTTCGAACTGCATCCCACAGTTCCTGGTCGCCATGGGTTGTTCCAAGTAGCTGAAAGAATAGGTACAGTATATTAAATAATTTTTTCTTTATGAGTCACTAAAGCAACACGAAAGATCATGCTTAGCCGATGTAAAACATTACGATTCTACTTGCAGGGTTCAACTGTGAATTTCCCTCAGTGCTGAACACATTTGATCTTACCACTGTAGATGATAATGGATTGAATAAATACTGTAGAATAAACACAAATGCAGAGAAATTCCAAACTGAGAAGAGACTTTATTAGAAGACAATGTTTTGCCTGTAATAGGTTTATTTGACAAGGGATATAATGAAGCCCTGTAGCACAGTGGTCAACATCCATGGCTAACAACCAAGAATCCTGAGTTCAATCTCAGACAGAAACAGTTGGGCAAGTTTCCTTTAACCTCATGCCTTTATTTACCTAGCAGAAAATACCCAGGAGTTATGCAACTGTTGTGGGTATCATCCTGGGGACGGTCATCAGTAGTTGGCCTAGGGGTGCCTCAATAAGCCTAAAAGACTTAACACCCTTAACTAAAGGTAAACCACAAGGTGAATCATAAGTAAAATGTTATCTCTATTCATCATTAGCATTTTGTATTCTATTTAGCCATAAACAGAAAAACTAACAAAACTGTTAATTGAACATTGCCTCAATGTTTGTGACAATGCATAATAATAATTACATTCGATATCCCATCTCTGGACTTAATGTATAAATGTAGTGTAATGCCAAAATTTCAGACTTCATAAATACATTATGCACATTCAGTGCAACCTGTATTGCAGAAGAACAGAACCCTTATTGGACCATAAAGAAATGGCTAGTGGAACAAATCTTGCTGTAATGGGAAATGATGCCAGCTCCACCAAGTTATCTTGGTAGACCACTTGATATAATGACCAATGATATATTAAATATTAATTTAAGTGAAAAACATACTGTCCAGTAATGCTGCCACCTGGTGGTGGCTGGGGTAGTTGGTAGAGGGGATTCATTAGTTTTTAGTGGTTTGAAGGTTACTTTTCTATCTAGGGTCAGAATCACTCAGGGCCTAGCATTCTGCCAGTGCATATGACTAAGTTACTAAAGAGGCCTTGATCAGAAATGTGATTCTTAATAAATATGCATAGATTTTAACAAGGTATTAGAGAAAATATTTAACTATTTAAGAACTCACCACATACAAATTCTTCCATATTTGACCCCATTCTCTCAGCACTGATGCAGCTTCTTGTACTACTGGATCCTCTACAGGTGCTACCGTTTCATATAACCTGTGAAAATATTATTACTGTATTAATTACGTCTCCAGTAATGGGTCTTATGAAAATGAATTATGACTACGACACTGTCACCCTTCCTGCAACTAATGATTATAACTACAGTCAGTACCAGGATATAATTATTCACGTCAGCGACTTAATTACACCAAACATCTCAGCTTACAAATGGACACCATGCTACCTCAATAGTACACTTCAACTACATCAGCCAGAAGAATTCTTATTGGTGTCTTACATAACTTTTACAGATGTATCACCGTTTCTGTTATACAGTACATAAATGTACAGTATTGTATATTCCTTCTCTGGTAACCCTTCTAGATCACTATATGATGAAAACACCCCTCCCACCCTCCAAAATGCATAAAGCAAGAGATATAGTGTGCATCTCTGTGTATATACACTAGGTAAACTTTAGCCCTGGACTATGTTCAAGACTAAAGTATACTTGCTGGTTGGTTATTAATCTATTATGGTGGGGTTAAATAATCCTCCAACATTGTGCAAGTACTCAGGCTGGGTATGTAGATGAATGGATTTTTTGGTGGACTTTAGTAGTTCAGTTGGGTTTGTTCTCGATGAATAATCAGGAATCAGGAGTATGAGTCCCAGATGGGACAGAAATGATCGGGCACATTTCCTTTCACCTAATGTGCTCTGTTCACCTAACAGTAAATAGGTACCCGGGAGTAAATCAACTGCAGTGGGAATGCATCCTGGGGAAGCTCAGTAGTTTGACCTTGGGGACGTCAATATAAGACCAACATCTATCTATTTATATATAATATACTGTATATATGTACTTATGTTCTTCATATTCTGTGAAAAAAATAACCTTACTTACAGGCCAATGCATTATTGCACATGAAACCATGGTAAAAACATTAAAAATCTAAAGAAAATATAATATATTTAATATGTGCAGTTACACCTTTGTGGAAAATATGAGGAGCTAGACTATACTCTGATAACTGGTTATGAGATTATTAAAACCACCAGAACTGTTTATTGGTTTGTATAGATTATAAAAGATACAGTACATGTAAAGTATTACATCTTTAGATACAGTAGTTATATGTAAAATACAGTAGAAATATATAAAATGTAATTATATGTAAAATACAGTAGTTATATATAAAATGTGTGAATACAGTGTAATGACAGTATGTTTTATAGTTCTAAGAATATAATATGGCACACATATTAATAACATGAATATATCTGAGCATTTCAACATTCCATGCATTTTATTACATTATATAAATATCTAAAACAACATTATTTCATAATATTACTGAAAAAAAAAACTGAAATAAATAAATACGTAAAAGTATTTTTGCAGCAACTCCCGCCCACGTCTGGCTGGAGATGACTACCATTGGCCAATTGTTCCCTGAACGTTTGTGAAAAATTGCTTCAAGAGCTTTCCTCGCTTTACCATGGCCAAAGTCACAAATGTTTTCCGTAATCACTGAATGCATTTTGAGAATAATAGAAGGAAAAAATTTGGGGACTTTATTTTTTCCTCGTGCACTAGGGAGTTTTCTCCTATAAATAGGGATACAGCCCATGGGTTAATTTGATAATCTAAATATTATTTTTCTTATGACTTTTGTATAATAAACCACATGGATGTAAAAAGTATTGGTTATATTTTCCTCAAATATTAATTTGTGGATATCAACCATATTAACACATACTTGTGGTATACATGCAGATTCTATGGTGATTTTATTTTTATTGTTTTACTGAACAATGCAGGAAATGGAGAGCTTTTAAACCCATCTGGAGACTGGCACTCTTACCCTACAGCCATAATATATCCGTATCAGGAATACTTTTTATAAAGTAAATAAAAACAAGTAAATATGTATGACATTCTCACTAATTTCTGAATTGGCTAGTTGAAAATAGTCAAAACTTAAATTACAGCAGTACCTCGAATAAAGAATTTAATCCATTCCGGCACCATGCTCGTCATGTGAAATGCTCGTCTTTCAAAACCAATTTCCCCATTTAAAATATTGGAAATATACATAATCCATTCCACTACCGAAAAACATCAATATGATATTCAACTTTTTAAATAATGGAGCATCCTACCTGACAAACATTGAACGAACCTTTATGACTTTTTTTTTCAATATTTTTTTTTTTTTTTTTTTAAAGAAACATGGAGCAGCCTTCCTGACAAGCACTGAATGAACCTTTTTGACATTTGTTCTTTTTTTCAAATTTTTCCATTTTTTTTATTCTACAAAAAAACGTCAATGCTTTGCAATATCACAGCAGTCACCCCTTTACATCTCATCATCATTAGCATCTTTAAACGAAACAAAAAATTTATTTGCATCGTCGGAGGCGTCTTAGATTGTGCAAGAAGCAGCGCGAACGCACCATGTGGTTTTCTCGTTATTCAAACGAGCGCTCGCCAATCGAGACAAATTGTCGGCGATTGGCGCGCTCGTTACTCAAAAAGCTCATAAATTGAGGGGCTCGTCACGCGAGCTTCCACTGTACTTTCTTTGAAAATACATTAAGAGGTTCTACAAGGAGAGCAGAAGGCTTAGATTTGCAATCATTTTCTATGGTATCTATTAATATTGTTAAAGCTGTAAGCAATTTTTACAATTGTCAACTCATTGCAAAATTTTAAAACTGTAAACTTCCAACTTTGCCTGCACTCATAAAATTTTAAAGTAATTAATTGCCCCAAAATTTAAATAGACACAATAACATACTGACAAATTGTATGCCTACTGTAGTGTATTGTATATTTAAAAGTTATTATGAGAGTGCCCAGTGCTGTTACCGCACATATCACTTTCAAGGTGGTACTAACCCTTCATTATCAATTTTGAATGGCTTGAGATGGATGAACTGTGCAGGAAATATACCCTTTACATTCCTGCTACGTGTGGAAAAGCCCCTATACCAACCTGGAAAAGGAAATTATCATTAAATAAATGAGCTTAATAAATACAAGCACAAAGTATCTTGAAATTCATCATCATTATCCAGCATTATTTCCCCATTTCCCAAACCATAAGGCTTGGGAAAACCTCCCAAACCTACAGGCAATATTTAATAAAAGATGAACATTTATGAAGCAAGAAAGGTCTTGTAAAGTACTGAACATAAGAAAGACACCACAAACTGAATGACACAGACCACGGCATTCCTCCAAAACTTGTACGGTCTCCCCAACATCAAGGTGCAAGGCTTGTGGGACTTCATCTTGATCAAAATTGTAGATTACTGGAACACAAGAAACAAGACGATGAGAATTTATATTTGAAAACTAGTTTATAATTTCAGATCACCATGCCAGAGCCCAATCTGCTTTCAAAACATATAATTTTGTTTTAATCCATTATCCTTCTGTACTTTGTTCATTCCATAAACATTGTGCCGATCAGGTACTGTACAAACATGTCCTTAATCCCACTTGAATATCCAATGAGACTAGATAGAACAGGTCAACTGAGGTCTAAGCAAGCCTGTCCCTTTCCTCTGAAGCCACCACTGCAAAACTACCATGGAGAAGAAATTAATAGGGGTGACTACAGGGAGCCTCTTGGGGCATTTTATTATATTAAATTCTTGATTTTTAGGAGGTACCCCTTCAGTGAAATATTCAAATATAGTACAGTACTGAGCATATTCATAATAGCACCTATATAGAGCAAGCTGGGGTTTTCCAAAAAACAGAAAAGGCAGACTGTTCTAATCTGTAAACAGCAGAAGACCCAAGTCTAGAATAAAGGACAACAGCTGTATAAAATTTTGTCACATGCACAATCTGACAAAAGAACAACCAACAAAGAATGAGAGGCAATCAATAGAAAACTAAAAGAAGTTCCGAGCCAAAATCTTATCCATGAACAACAGAGCAAAGAAAGCCATCTATGCTACAAACATTGCCACATCCCCCAGATCAGGAACAAACAACCAGCTTGTTGGATTACACCATGATTCAAAACACCTGGAAAAGATAGGCCTTGGAACAAGGAACATAAGAATAAGGATTGCCAAACAGGTGGAAAAAAATGATGCATGTGGCCACAAGACAAATTACATAACAAAACACCATCTGGAAATCAAACACCCAAAACAGCTAGAGGAAGAGGCAAGGACACAACTCCTTTCCCCAAATGCCAGCGAGAACGAGAGAACAACTTTGCCAAGATTGAAAGAGACAAGGTGACAACAACCAGTGAAGCTGTAATATTTGATACAGTAAAAACAACACCAATGGCAACCAACACGAAGTACAGATGTAGAAATGAGGAACAGGTGAAAAGCCTGCCAATCAACCACATAGTGCCATTGTGAGACACACCAATGTGGTACCAATAAATCAACCATCTGTTGAAACACCAGACAATTAAACCCCAAAATGAGTAGTAAACAGGTGAGAAGGATCAATAACTATGGCAGAACTATGAAGAGATTGCCGATACATAATCCACCTTTGGCAAAATAACCTCAACAATGGCCAATGGTATTCCACTGGTAAATGCAGGGAAAACACCTACAGCCAGCAGAAACACTACACAGCTACGAGGAGAGGAGAGACTACGGGAATTAAACCTCACGTCGCTAGAAGACAGAAGAGTTAGGGTGGGATATGATCACCACGTACAAGATTCTCAGAGGAATTGACAGGGTAGATAAAGACAGGCTATTTAACACAAGGGGCACACGCACTAGGGGACACAGGTGGAAACTGAGTGCCCAAATGAGCCACAGAGATATTAGAAAGAATTTTTTAGTGTCAGAGTAGTTGACAAATGGAATGCATTAGGCAGTGATGTGGTGGAGGCTGACTCCATACACAGTTTCAAGTGTAGATATGATAGAGCCCAATAGGCTCAGGAATCTGTACACCAGTTGATTGACAGTTGAGAGGCGGGACCAAAGAGCCAGAGCTCAACCCCCGCAAGCACAAATAGGCGAGTACAAATAGGTGAGTACACAGATAAAGTTTTTAACATCCAAAAGATCCACAAGGTCTTAATGGATAAGCCGGAGCTTAGAGGCTATGCCACAACAAGGGCAACCAAAGAGAAAAGGGAAAATGGCCTGGCAACCCAGACCAGACCCAAGCCAGCATGGCCCTGAGATGGCACTAAACTGATTGACTGGAGTTCTAAAGTAGCCAGTCACTTACATATGCCAGAATGTAGAAGCCCTAAAGACAAGGATATAGAAGGACCATACCACACATCATTCTGGGGAAGAAAAAGGGACCAAGGAAAAATCAAACTGCCGAGTCCAAAAGTGGTAAAAAGAGATGCCCCACACCGACCTCCACTCAAACCCTGAACTCAGGGAGGAAGGTGACGTGCCAGTGTATCCCAGGGATCCATGAAAACAAGCCAAACATTCAAAACTACCTAGAGAACCTGGGACATGACAGTTCAGAAGCTCAGACTGCACCCAAACTTTACTAGAATCAGAGTACCTGTATACCACAAGTATCTAATGTAGTGTCTCCTGCTGAAGTGCCATAATTGCCCCGAGTCTGATCTTTTGTATAGAACGTTGCTCGCAATGATTTTATATGGGCTGGTATATCAAGTGAGCAAATACTGTAATATTTATTATTTAGGCTAATTTATTATTTAGTATAGTTATTATTTAGGCTAAATTTACCATCTTTGATTATTTTTCTAGAAATGAAAGTGTCTAAGCAATATGTAATATAAAGACAGCGAGAAGTGTTGATAAAGCAGTGTGGTACAAGCGTTTTAACATCTGAGAGTACCTCAGTATCTTCAATCTCTACTTTAGTCAACTCAACACCATTAACATCCACCAGTGTGGATATTAATGGTGTTAATGGTACAATACCATCTAAATAACTATGCACCATCAACAATAACCTTCAACTTAATAATCATATCAGAACTTCTCATATTGGTGAGTACACACACAGTACTGTCAAATTTTTCATTCAAATTTTGTAAACAGGTCATTTGTTGTCTCGGGTCCAAGATGCCCGAGAACCATGTGGTTGCTTGTGATTATTAAATATCCTTAGCAGTTTTCCTTTTCTCCGGTCTTATAAGCATGAATGGCATACTTGTGAGAATGTTGCTTTTGTTGGTACTCATAAGGTTTAGAAAACTGCAGAGTATGATTACATTTGCTCCTAACTAATCACTCTGCTACTAATGTTGGCATTGTATAAAACTGCACTCAGTACAGTACGGTTTCATTAATCAAACAATACCCAAATTACTCCTAGGAATGTGCTCTCCATTCTCTAATATAATCCACTCTCCATAGGCATACAGAACAATATGACATGGTACATGTAAGAAATTATCAAAAGATGCCACCACAACTGCAAGACAATTTAACTTAGCATAGCACAGTTAAAATTAAAATAAAATTATTTGCACATAGCAAAAGTTGAATAAAAAATAACAACATTCTCAGATATTTGACAAAAAGTAACTAATTTGTGTTCACTTTTATTGTGCAACATTTATTTGTGGTTTAAAGATATATGACATTCTCACTACACACTAAAAAACTACAAAGCCTACCAACTATATTTCATTATACAGTACTGTAGAATAAATCTGTGCTCTCGGGGTTGGTGGCAAGAGCTTATCTTGAAAGCACATTTCTTTCTCCAAAATGACAAAACTGGCTCCTTGGCCGGACTCGACATTAATATAATAAGAGGGTAATGACAGGGGTAGCCCAAGTGGTCACAAAATATTGGGAGGACGCCACCCTTAACCCAGAGGGACTCTCAGGGGAAGGAGGAGGCGGCCCCAGTGAGTCTCTCGCCTCTGTCCTCCGCTAATGTTACTCACCTACGCCAAATTTCTGGTTCTTGGTTGGTGTCCACATATTCAGGTTCCCATGTGAAGGGCTAGATCTTGATCACTACGACGGGTATCCGGAGGAGCGGGTACAAAGGATCATCGTGTCAACTTGGGCAGGGGATACATATTGACTATTTACTTTGGTGGTTGTGGTGTGTGTCGCTAGATGGCCCTAGTGAGGCGCCGCCAGGGGCGTTCCTCGCCTCCCCCCGCGCCACCTTTAAATGCCTCCCATATACACACACATTCATAGCATTTATGTATTTATTTTGCGATACAAAAAGGTTCATTGGATTGAGAGACTACATAATATCGGTGTTGTTACATTCTTGCAAAGCCACGATCTGCTAGCTCACGCAAAGTAATTGACAAACTGTTAACAATTTCAGCTCTTACCCCTTTTAATTTACCTGATTTACCTAAGGGTCACTAACCCTAGGAGAATAGACGAGGACAAGAAGCCAGCGGCTTGTCGAAGGTCCCCCCCAATTTGACTTTAGTCAGTCATTTGCAAAAGACAAGACCTCCCTCCCCTCTTTAACCGGGCAGTGATGGTTATAAAAAGAATTAAAGGCGATAAGATTAGCCAAGTACCCTTACCCTACACAGAACAGAGCAAATGAATTACTCACTGCTTCGGCAACCACCTATTGCTTTAATATTCTTCCCACAAATAAACAATTATGATTAAATGCTGGATACGGAGATAGACATTGCCTCGATATTGCTTCAATAATCTTCTCATAAATACACAATTAGGTTGTTAAACGATTTGGAGAGTCGTATTCCAGGGAAAATTAGGATTAAGGACCTGCCAGAAACGCTATGTGTGCTAGTTCAAGTTCAAATATGTTTAGTGAGACAAGAAAAAATACATCTCAAAGGGATAGAGTAGCTTAGGCTATTTATACCCCCCTCTACTTCAAGTCCCTCAAGGGGCGCACAAATTCAGTGAGAACAAATACACAAATCACAATACAAGAATCCCATTTAACACTGCAGATTAATATAGTAAACACAGCATATAAGTGTTAGACCCAGGGTTAAATTCTTGTAGTTCCTAGGTATAGTGTCTATCATACCATTATCACACATCCAAACAATTTGATGTGGTACACTACTTATTTCCTTATTTCTATAGTTATCAATAAGTTTACACTCTAATACATAATGTTCTAAGGTGTAGGCGAGCGGCATACTACATTACACTCCTTATCTTTTTCATTGACATCAACACCGTATTGCCAAATATATTTGTATCCTAATCTTAATCTAATGAATATTGAATCCTTCAAAGTAGACTTTCCTCTACCATAGGTGAAGGACAAAATAGATTTCCTCTACCATAGATTCTGACAAAAAATCCAAATCCTCCAACAAAAAAATCCAAATTCGCCAACAAAAAATCCAAATCCGAAAGCTTTTCTTTTATTATTAACAAGCTTAGGTATACACAGCTATGTGCTGCTACCCTATCCTATATGAAAGATTACACAGTGTGTAATGTAAAAGTGTAGATAAAAAAAAACTAGCTATAAGTTCATCTAATATTCCCATCTCACAGGATGGTTAGTCATACATGGAATCAGGGGAGAAAATACCAGCCTCAATACAAAAAAAACAACTCTGACTAAACAACAACTTCACCAAAATTCCAAATCCACACAAAAATCCAAATCTGCCAAAAAAATCCACCAACAAAAAAATCCAAGTCCACTAACTAAAATAAATTAAAAATCATCCAACAAAACATTCAAATCCGCCAACAAAAAATCAAAATCCGCCCACAGACAAATTCGCCAACAAAAAAATTCCAATTCCGGTTGGGAAAACACTCTATGGACAATCAAACTCACTTTTCAGATGAACAAATCCACAAGAGCCGTGACGAGGATTCGAACCTGCGTCCGGGAGCATCCCAGACGCTGCCTTAATCGACTGGGCTACGACATGGTCAAAAAGAATTGAAACCGAAGTTCTCTTGAACTTAGTGGATCCTGAAGCCTCTCCGAGACACAAGCCTGAAATGGATGTGTTCATTGGATGCATTGGACGCTATTGTGATTTCTGTGTGTAGTGTCACTTTTCAGACTTCACAGGCGCTTTGGTTTTTGCAATATGAGCCAGTCCTATATGAGGAGGGTCATAGGGCTTGACTCCAATCATCCTATGACTCGTCATAGTTAATTTAGTTAATAATTATGACACTCACCATAAATTCATAATAAATGACTTAAAATATAAAAGCCACACATATCAACCACTAATATCATCACTTTCAGTTTGTGTTCCAGTATGGCTGTCCATTTCCTCAACAAATTGATTCAAGCCTTAGTTAAATTAATAATTCATTGTGTCGGGGGACAGGAAGCCAGAGTGTATACATACACGCTAGGCTTATATCAAGGTTTCCCCAAGGTCGAATTACTGACGAAGCGCGTCTAAGTAACTGGGCCTCCACTCTTCAAACAGAATTGGTTGCCAAAATCCTTGCACTAGAGCGCGTATATGAATCCAAAGTTGACACGCTAATTGTAAGTGACTCCTTGTCATCCTTGACTGCCCTCAGCTCCCCAAAGCATAACTGTGACGTGCTTATCTCTGAAGCTAGACAGCTAGACACAGATATAGTGAAATAATCAATGATGGAGTCAGAGTTTGTCTCCTGTGGATTCCTTCCCATATTGGCCTCCGAATGCATGATAGAACTGATGAGCTAGCCAAGACTTTTGCTCGTAAAGAGGGAATTAATTACCAACTTGGACTGCCTTTGAACAGCCTGAGGGCAGCAATATCCCAGGAACATCAACTAAATTTCGGAGACTTGAGGCAAAGTGAAATTCACACCAGTTACTCCATCTATCATCATTCTATTATGCATGAAGAACCGCACGTCTATGGGTCATCCAATAATGTTAGCAGACTTCTAGATGTTACCACTGCTAGGCTTAGACTCGGCTACAAGTACCTCTGGGAGTTTGTAACATCTGCTGATGTAGATTTGACTAAATGTAAACTCTGTCAGCAGAACTATTCGCATACTTTGCGTCATTATATAATGGAATGTGAAAAATTGCGGAATTTAGAGATAACACCATCAATAGTGTCCAAGAAATGTGTAAGTACTTCATTCATAATGATGTGCTGCCCGAAATTTTAGCGAAGTATCCAAAATTTGCTTACTGTAGGTAATGCATGCACATGACTGTAAAGCTGCCGCCCAGTTGAGTGGGTGTGCAGCAAGACTAGTAACTGTGTGACTCACTATAGATGTAAAGTGCCTTGTATAGTGACTGTTGTGAGCCTCTTGTAATGTCACTTGTGACACCTCTTTGTGACACAAAGATTATTGATGTGTGTAATTGTGTGGGTGATTAGATATGTATGTGTATGTATATGTGTATACGTATATATATATGTACATGTATGTATGAGGGTGTGTACATGTGTATACAACATTGATAATTTATTGATATTGTTATTTGCTTAGCTAAACGAACTAGAGAGTTCAGTTCCTGAACCGATTATGTGCCTCTGTAATCCTTTACACCACCGCCCAGGGGATGGGTATGGGGTGCATAATAAAGAAAGAAATTGAATTGGTGATTGTAGTGCTAATGGATGGTCGCACTTAAACTGCGACCTCATATTCTCCAATAAATATTAAGTACTTGATATTTATTTTTAAAGCTTCTTCAATATCTTTTTTTTAATAATGTATTTATATAATTGTATCTGTCACCTAACGAAAAATGTATTCAATTTATTTAAAAACAGCAATTTGGTATATATTACTGTTCTTATATTACTGTTGTTATTCAAAACCATTGTGAGTTTGAGATAAGTTATTAGTACTTCAATGCTATTTAGTTACAATGTAATAAATACATCATACAGTTAAATTCGTATTATAAAATTGTCGTACTTGGCTTATGGCTAATGTTATGTTCCAATAACGCGGCGTCATCCCTCAGGAGAAGTGGATCGGATCCTCTTGCGTCGGGAGTCTGTAAGGACGATTGTGCAGAGTTTCTTGACCAGTTTGGGGTTATCTTTCCCAGTTTGAAGGTGTGAGAGGCGACCCGAGCTCGCCCGGTCTGCCACCGTCGCTATAATATGATATACGAGCACAAAGTCCCGCTGAGTCCTAGGCTAAAAATGGCGCCAGGCTGAGTGTGTGGTAATGCGCTGATAAAGCCATGGTATATAGACGTGTGTGGCAACGGCTAGAGTAATAGAATATTATAACAAGGTTAACAGTATTATTTTTAGTTGTAACGTGTTACTGTAATGGTATATTTTCCAGCTGGTGTGATGGCAACGAGAACTAGCACTCTGGCAGTTCGTAGACTGTAGTTTCTACCAAAAATTCACAATTTATTGTTTATATAACAAATTTACCAGAGGGTCACCATTTCTAGTCGTCTAGAAATGACAGGAAACCGCCGGCTTGTCAAACGTCCCCTCCATTTGTCCTGGTTATTTTATTGAGCTGGATTTTAAAATTCAGAAGTGTTTTGATATTTACGGCCTCGACGGGTAGGCGGTTCCATGGGTTAATAACCCTGCGGGGGGAAGCATCTCTTATTCTCAGTCTTACATTGTGGCTTGTTGAGCTTGAAACTGTTGCTCACGTTTGTGTTGCATCTGATATTTTAAAGACCTTTTCTGAAACAATATCCTTTAAATTTATTCCAACTCCAAGGTCCTTTTCTTCATCAATCTGCTGCAAAGTAATGTTGTTTATTTGGTAATTGTGACATGTATTGTTATACCCCCATATGCAAGGTCTTGCATTTTACAATATTAAAAAGCATTTGTCAGTTTTTTTACCATTTGTTGAGTTCATGTAGATTTCTTTGTAAGGCCTTGATATCATTTTCACTTTCCACTTACCATAAATCTTACTGTCATCTACAAATTTGATGTGGTTTGTAATATTCTAATCTACGTCATTGAGGCATACCTTGAGGTTACCTTGAGGTGCTTCCGGGGCTTAGCGTCCCCGCGGCCCGGTCATCGACCAGGCCTCCTGGTTGCTGGACTGATCAACCAGGCTGTTGGACGCGGCTGTTCGCAGCCTGACGTATGAGTCACAGCCTGGTTGATCAGGTATCCTTTGGCATATGACAAAAAGGGTTGGCCCTCAAAATGTGGACTCCTACAGTCCACATTTTGTTTGGATGAACATTTCTCAACCGTTCTACCCTACCTTGAGGCTACCTTGAGGTGCTTCCGGGGCTTAGTGTCCCCGCGGCCCGGTCGTCGACCAGGCCTCCTGGTTGCTGGACTGATCAACCAGGCTGTTAGACGCGGCTGCTCGCAGCCTGACGTATGAGTCACAGCCTGGTTGATCAGGTATCCTTTGGAGGTGCTTATCCAGTTCTCTCTTGAACACTGTGAGGGGTTTGCCAGTTATGCCCCTTATGTGTAGTGGAAGCGTGTTGAACAGTCTCGGGCCTCTGATGTTGATAGAGTTCTCTCTCAGAGTACCCTTGAAATATTTCCAAATCGTACCTTAGATAAATACACAATTTCATTATCAGCTGAAATTAGAGAAATTGTCTTCTTGATACTGGTTAAATGAGCAAGTTTAAACAAAAATGACTCAAAAGGCATTTGCAGATGATTAGGATTTGCCTCTTTATCACTATCTCTTACAGAGCTCCTAGTTACCTTGGGGTTCTGCAGAACCTCACATACTGTATATTTGATCTTTAACACTTTCTTTTCACTATCCTTTTTTTTCAATGGATAGGAAACACTTTTGTGAATCCAGATTATGCATCAACTGCCACTATTTAAATTTAAAAGTATGTAGATCATTGAAAAAATACATGTACAGTACTCGATAGTTGATTATTAATTCTTGTTTGTATTATTGATAAAGCTTTTGCCAGATTTTGTTTTACATACCAGTAACTTGCAAATGCATTGTTAGAACAATTAAAAATCTTCACTCAAGTTTGTCACTCTCCCTATGTCCTTTTGTTCTTTCATTGGCATTCCGACTTACATTTGCCTTTTGAATATCCCAGAACACAAATAGTTCTTTTCTTTTGATAATTACTTCATCCATGGTCTTATATTAGCTTGTATATGTTGCAATAGCAACATAAGTACCTGATATTGCATATAGTAAATCAGCCTCAAAATTTTTTCCAGGTACATTACACAGAATGGACGGGAGCCAGTATTGCATTTTATGGAATAACTACCATGGGTCACTTGTGAACACACTAAGTGGCTTACGACGGGAAGGTGATCTGGTTGATGTTACAGTTGTCTGTGGAGATGGCAACAAGATTCGCGCGCATCAGCTGGTTCTGGCTGCATGCTCATCTTACTTTCGAGATTTCTTAAGGGTATGTTTATTATTTGTCTAAAAATATTTGAGATGTATGTACTTATTGGTGTTAATACAGTAATAAATCATTAGCATACTTAGTTTCATATTTTATAAAAAAAATTAAACTGATGTAGTTTCCTGTTGTCAGGGACAGAAAGCCGGTTAGGCTTAGAGATCCCCCTCTAGTCCAACTACTGACTTTCCCTCGGATACAACCTACAACTTTTGCCTAACTCTCGGTGTCTATTTATTACCAGGCAAACAGAGGCATCAGGTGTGAGGAAATGTGCCCAAATGTCTTGCCCTACCTGGAAATAAAACTCCGGTGCAGTTGGTTGAGAGCTGCTAGTTATTACACTACAGTGGGTAAACACTTGAACAAATTAATTGGGATTCCACCTGCTATGATTCACTAAAGAATCTGGTTTACCGTTAATTTTACTATCTATGTACATTACTGTATTACCATTTTTTCTGAGCAAGATCCTCTGTAGTTCCTGTTTGTTGTCAGGTACTAAGTAACTTTTAGCCCTCAGCAGAACAAGTATCCTTGAATATTGTCTTGTCCTATTACAAAAGTGGGAGGAGGAGCTAATAAGTGAGCATACCTCAATCCACCACAGAATAGACCACCTGCTATGACACTAGATATCAAACCATTTGACAGGCCCACCAAACAATCTTAGGTAAATAAAAATTTGCATAGTTTTGAGCTATCTAATTATCTATCGATCTACTACAACCTCGATCATGTGGCAAAGTACACTGGCTAAACAGTCAGAGAGGTGGCTAGCCTCACTTTTAGCCCAGGGCTCTTGAGCTAAGAAGGGACTGCAGCGACCGAATATTTCCTTTAGGGGCGAGTCCTGTGGATCTTTTAAGCTTCAGAAAACTATCCTTTCTAGTTTGATTTCTTCTCTTGGGAAATCATTCCTAGATTGCAAACCTTGTACAAAAGTTTGGTAAATGTTGTAGTGTGTTTACACTGTGTCAATAATGATCTCGTTAGTGTCGGAGAAATTGATTTACGAATGGTACTTTTGGTGGTAGTCCTCTTAATAAAACTTTCTGTAGGTGTCTCCCTGATTTAAATTTATGAAGCATGAACTTTGAATTCCATCTAAGCCATGAATAATTCTTCAGTTTGTTTGGTCACCTCAATTGTTTGAAGAAAAATATTTGCTGGGGAATGTGCACACTTTATTCTTACTTGTTTGCCTAGATTAATTGATATACAGTACTTAATTTAACTGAGTAAAACATACTTTTGTCTAATTTCAGGACAACCCCTCAAAACACCCCATTGTGCTTTTGCCCATGGAGATTCGTTACCCAGAATTGAAGGCCATGGTGGACTTCATGTACTCAGGACAAGTATGAATATAGATATATGTTAATTAAATGATTTAATACAAATTTATATACATATACTGTATATATAAGTAATTATATATAGGTACTGGATATATATATTTTTTTATATTAACACATTTCAAATCATAAACGATAACATCATAACTTTTCAGCCATAAACGATCCAGGTCTCTTAAGGCTTGGCATCAGTGATACCTAAAATGTTGGTATTTTTCATATTTTTTAAGTTATTTTTTAGTTATAACTATAAATTTGGTGTCTAAATGTTTGCAAATGAATGTTCTAGTGTATAGAAAGGGGTGGGGGTGGGGAATTCTATTATCAGTGGGAACATTGATAATAGAATATGCATGGTGCTGCTGAATATACAAATATTTATGAAGAATTAAATTTATCCTTTATTTTTCAAAGTAAGTAAATAGGAAAAAATATTGAAATGTGCACACAAGATTAGTCTATATACCTGTACTTGTAAGAGGAAAATAAACATAACTTCTATCAGGTAATTTACTAAGCAAAGAGAAAATTTTCACTAGTAGAGCAACTAAAGGTTTGAGTGTTGGAGTTGTTGACCGAGGTGATCTTTAGTTGGTTATGATGGTTTGTTTCCTGATGATCTCTGCCCACAATGTACTCGTGTACTTAAAAAAAAAAAATTAGGTTATTCTAAATATCAGTTTGATGATGCATTTTAGCATCATTGGAATGTTAAAATGTTAAGAGCTATCATAGAATAGTTTATCATTCTGTTATGTGAAGGATTGAGAGAGAGAGAGACTGGGAATGATACATTCTGTACTTTTACATGTATTATTTACATTAAAATTCAGTTTGGACCACAAAAATCTACATCTTTCAAAATTCTAAATACTGTACTTAAATTTATGGGAATACATTTTTCATATCATGAGATTTTATTAAATATCTTGTTAGGGTGCTCTGCATACTTCTGAATGATATTTTCAGTTTCCCTCATTAGATTCATGTATCATGTAAAATCGTCTTTAATTACGATACAGCAAACTACATTATTTTTGTCGTAAAATTCCATGATGCATTCAATTTTGAAATTATTTTGGAGGGCTTTTTTTTTCTTGAAGTTTGTTATAGTTAAAGAGCTTTTGTTTAACTTTTGAAGTGCAAACCTTAACCAAAACTCTTGATCTTCTGTGGCTGATACTCGTTAGAGCTGTCTAAATTAAGGTGCCTTAATTTCTCTAATGTACCTCAGTTTAGTCACTGGTGGCAGTGGTAATTTTCAAATTGAGGTGAATTTAGTGAGGAAATGTTGGTGTTTCTCAGCATGTAGGCTTGTGATTAAGCTAGTTGTATTTTAAGCTATGCAGTAATGTTAATGATAAATTTGAACACTTATTACACAATAGAAGTACTATGGGATTTTATTCTTGCTCTTTTCTATCAAAATGATATTGTTAGCATTTTACAATTATAGTACATGTATAGTGCTTTATGATAAAAATAAAGGATGGGAGAATGATTTCTATTGTTTCTGCATTTGACATCAAAGGTTTCTTAATGTGTGATCCAAACATAGGCTCTTTGTACAGGTGTGTGTAAACCAGGAGCGTCTCCAAGCATTCATAAGAGGTGCTCGATATTTACGAATCAAAGGTCTTGAGGACAATGCTGATGACAGTGATATTGAGGTAAGTCTCCAGTGGATATATAGCACTGTATTGCAAAGTTTTCACATTTTTTTTAATCTGAATCAGGATTAGTACGATCTCTCGTATTTGTCTTGCAAATTATCAAAAAATAATTCTTTGTGGTACTCTACAGTACTGTATCTTAAATATTCTTCCATTCATTTTCTTTTAGTCATGCCTTAGTTTTAATTGCTCAATCTCGTGCGGCTAGAATTGGCGCTAATCCCTCTAAGAAGAAGTTGCGAACTGGACACCAATTGCTGGAGATCCGTCGACTAGTTAATAGGCCAGAGTCTCGTTCTCCCTCACCACAACTACCTCCCACGCCACAAATTTTCTTACACAATTTGTCTATACTGTACTGTATATTCATTCTTTAAAATATACATGCAGGTGGTGAGGGGGGATGATATTTTTGTATTAAGAATATTCATAATACCATTTTGTTTTTAGAAGTATGCCTGAGGTTGGGACTGGGGATACCCCCCTACAATGGGTTGCGATTAAAACACACAAGGTTGTAGAATGCTGAGGGTGTGCAAATATATACAGCATCATAGTATGATAAATTTATATTAGTTCTACTGCTAATTGTCTCATCCTAGTTTAGTGATATATATTGTCTTTACAATATATATCATCCTTCTAATTCTTGCTAAATTTCACTAACTTTATGCCTAAAATGTAATTTTTTATTTAGATTGTTTTACACCTATTTAGTCTAACCAACATTGAAATTATGTATAAAAGTTGTTACCAATTATGGTAAAGTTTGTGATTCTGATAATGTCTACTTGCTACTCTGCGATTGTGACACTTTATGTAATTAGTGTACTGTACTTTTATGTATGCTATCCCAATTAAAATGTACTATCATCTATGAATAAAGTTTTTGAATTATTGACTTAAAGTAGTTACAATATTGCCTTTTAAATTGTATACTAAAGGAATTAATTTAATGCAGCTGGAGGAGCATTGTCAGAAACTTAGGCCCAGCTGTGTGTATGGCCCTGTAAGACAGGGCCATACACAGGGTCGTATCTAACTGGTTTTGAACCCCAGGCCAAAACAGCTAAATGGACCCCACCCTCTGGTCAGTGTGGCTATTCAAAGACAAAATATTAATGTAGGCAGATTGTATAATAATAATTAGCGCTTATCAAAGTTATATTATGCATAGTTTTATAGAGGAATACATTGAGGCCATTGATTATTGATTACTTAAAGTATTATTTGAGCTTTGTCCATTTTTATGGTACTGTTAAAAAAAAGTATTGGTAGGCCCCTAGGCTATGGCCTACTTGGTGTATTGAGTGATCCGGTCCTTTGTACAGAGAGCTTTTGAAAATAATTAATGGGCCTATCAGATATGTACTAAAGTAAGGGCAAAACATGTGCCATAATTTAGTTCTATCATTTGATGGTATTATCAAAGTGTATACTAAAACATTAAATTTTTTATTTATTTCTCAGGACATGGCACCAGAAATGGAAAATGAGAAACCAACTGTGGGAGGAGTTTCCAATGCCAGTGGGGTGACGGCAGGAAGTGGCGGAGATTCTGCTGCCACCACCACTGTCAAGGGACGGCGTGTTAAGGATCACCGCTACACGCAACATGTAAAAATTTTTACAATTTTGTTAGCCTTGAAAGACATTCAGGTCTTTATTTATCCATAAGAATGTATGTATATATGTACAGTATCATTCATATTTGTTTGTTGATTTTCAAAGTGCACTGATAGCAATTGTGGGATAAAACTGCACATCCTCCAGTTATATAGTATACAAGAATGACACTACAGTCATTTTTACATTGCACAATAAAACTAAAACAGTTTGCTTGTGTTGGATATGGTGCCTCATTGGTATACTGTAATAGATAATGAAGTGGCAGTGAGTCTAAAGGAATGGCTGCTTACAGCATTGTATCACAATAAATTACTCTAAATGTATTATTTCCCAGTTAAGATTTGTGATTCACTTTTTATTGTTTTTTTACTTTGGTATGTGAGATGGTGTTGATTTGTATATTAATTTGTCTATATAGTTCAAGGGCTTGTGTACTGTACATAACAACTTTTGAATCCATCAGGTGGATTTAGGCGACTCGGATGAGAACCGTGAGAAATGGGAAGTTGTGGAACGCAAGCCTGTCATTCTTCCACGATCACAGCCACCACCACCACCTGGTGAGTAATAGAATAAATAAATGGTAGTCTCTAAAAATAAAAAATATTAAACCACTTAGTGTTTCAAGCTTATTTATGTAAAGAAAAAGTTGATCTTTTTGTGCAATTAATTTTTTGTATATTATATATACTGTAGTGACAAATATAATAATTGAGAACACTTAAATTTATAAATGTGCATTAAAATTGGATAAAAAGATTAAAAGATTTCCATCAAAAGATTCAATCAGTGTAAATTTAACATTAATTATATAGAAATCATTCCTTAATTTATAAGTTTTGTTCCAACAAAATTTTGTATATCGGTGATGTATTGAGTTGCTGTACAGTGAGGGATGCCTATGAACAAATCCACAAGGGCCGTGACAAGGCATCGAACCTTCGTCCGAGAGCATCCCAGACGCTGCCTTAATCGACTGAGCTACGTCTTCACTTCCCCGGTTGTTTTGAGGGTTCTTTGATCTCTGGCTGAGATCCGTTATGTGATCTGCCCTGTGGCTGCAGTGTAGTGCTTGAATTATTGTCATGCTATTTGGGTAGAGGTTCTATTTATTACCCTGTTTTTCTCACTTGTTTCCCATGTCTTTGATGCCACTGTCCACTTCTCAAATGGGCACGTCCCATATCGTCCTGATATGAGAATGTGTGATTGCTGCTTTGATGGCTTTCTTTTCCATTTAAAACTTGGCTGGTGCTCGTGGTTGGGGCTTATGTCTGTCCTGCTGATGGTCTTTTGTTCTTTGTTGGTTGTACTTCAGTCCTACTGCACTTGTGTACTCGGTGCACTGCTGCACTTCTTTAACTCAGGTTGTTCTCTCCTGCCATTCTTTTCCCATGAGTCATCCCAATCCAACTTTTGTATTTATAAAAAAGCTGACCACCACCACCTGATGCACTGTTATGAGTAAGCTATGGGAATTTAAATGTTGAATTTAATGTAAGTTCCTTTTTTTGGTGGGTCCCTAAATGCTTCCCATCCCTGCCCCTCTACTTTCCTGCGAGGTTAGGAATTTTTAGGTATTGCTTGATAGAATTGAACAATCACCCATAACACACTTTTAAGCTATAATTTTAGTAAAATAGAACTACAGGTATTGGTCTCTAAATTTCTTTTTCCTTTTTATTTTTGTAAAAGTTTTGTTTTAAGTCTCTTATATGTATATCTATGCTGTCTTTTACAAGTGCAAACTTTCTTACTTTGTAGGTACAGGACTCAGAAGACGACGAAGAGCACGGTCAGCTCTGCGTAAACGAGCCATGCATCTTAGTAACAACATAGTTTGTTATGAGCAGCGTACTGATGGATCAGATGGTGGCCAGGATCGCACAGAGCCAATTAACAAAATCAGAAGACTTGGATCACCTGGTTAGTGCATCTTTTATGGAAGTGTACATAGTTATTCATTTTTAAGAGAGATTAGTTCATAGAAATATTTATTGCTGGCGAGAATGATTTATTTTAATATTCATGATGGATTTCTACACTAAAGTAATTAATTTGTATTGAGAGTACAAGCTAATAAAAGAAGCATTTGTCATAATTTGTTATAAAATTTTGCTATGAATAGTCTTTATGTTGAATAGCTAATGAAGTTTTTCATAGTGAGTTTTTTTTTCTGCTCATTGACTTGTATTTGATTGATTTAGCTGGACCTTGATACTGTGGTTTTTTTAAGATATGAAAGAGCAATCCTCAATTCATTAACTCCATTTCACACAGTCACATTACAGTGCAATTAGGCAACCAAGAATTAATAAGTGAAGAATGTTGGTACCATGTTTGGGTCGGGTCAATTACTGTATACTGTATTAAATATAGAAATTGTATCTCGCTTATGAGTCTAAATTCTTTGTTTTACCAGCCTGAAATTGTTTACCAAATATTTTTAAAAGTTTGAGACTTTTCATGGGATTCAGTAGGTCAGAGATAAAGATTTTGGTTGCTATAAGTAGTAAACTGGTTTCCATCTTTTAGGCTGGCTACACCTGGCTGGCTGGTTGGGCTGGCTGTGATGCAACAACTTGAGGCTCTTGATAAGGCTATGTTAAAAATGTGAGGGGGAGTTATACTACCTGGTCTTGTCCCTGTTTTTGCAAAGGCAAGACATTGGTTTGATTCACAAATACTAGGTAATGATCAAGTGATGTGCTTAGGTATAAATTTTTCAGGTAATTTAGGTGTTATTTTGGGTGGTAAAAGTAGATAAGATAAATGTATAGGAAAGAGTGAGATGGTATTGTGTTTTTGAACCCCCTAGAAACTTTCAGAAATTTTTTCTCATTAAGGTTTGATCTTTTTGGAAGACAATATTATGCTGTGTATAATTAAAATTAGGTACAAACTCCATTCACTGTGTTGTTTATTATATTCTGTATTTTCTTATACTTACTTTCAGGACATTTCCACGATGATGATCTTGATATATGTACCTGCACGTCTCGCAAGATCTGGTCAGTCCGCGACACCGAGGCACTACTGAAAGTGTGGAGGGAAACGCTCACTCAGGTAAAAATTTGTATTAATAATTCATGAATTCATTGTGTGATTTTAAAAAATATCTTAAATAAAAGTAAGAAACTGGTTTTGCAATAAAATTGTGTAAAGGAAATCAATATACAGTATTAGAGTTTTCCCAAGTTTTTTTTAATATGTATTATAGTATTTCTTGTAGCATTTTCAACCCCAGTTAAGAGAATGAATTCATGTAATAGTCAACTGCTTACTTTTAACTTTTACTGATTTTTGTTTTCTTTTGTAATTAAATGTATCATTTGTTTCCCAGGTGCCACCTTCGTACTTCATCCGATCAATGGCATTGTGTAAACGGGTGGCTCGTAGACTGCAGGGTCGAGGTATCCAAAAGAGTTGGCGACAGTGTCAGGTTTGAATGATGGATTCATGTTCTATATTTGTTAAATATAGCTGTGCTTGGAATATTTTTACCTAATCTGTGTTTTGACATGGTATCTTCTCAAGTAGCAATTACAATTTTCTGGGCTTGGCCCCTAAGTAGCTCCATGGAGCTTACTCTACTGGCACCTCAGGGTCACCCCCCAATTGCTAAACTTTTGAGACTTTTTTTCACTCGCTGGGAATAATATCGTGCTCCTTTAACCCTTCAATTGCACATCGCATCATATGATGCTTTGACTGACTTGCAGTAAATTGCGCATTGCATCATGTGATGCTTTGGAGTACTACGCAAGATTTAAACGGCCCGCGGATACACGGGGTTCACCACACCTTCATCAGGGCTCTTGTAAATAGACGCCATTTTAAAAAAAAATCGTGGGCCAAACTCCCGGGTGTTATTGGCCTCATTATTGAGTGAGCAACCAAGCCTAACACACGCAGCATGAACTCACAGCACTGCTGTTCAGCTTGTGACCACAGCATCGCCTAAAAATGCCATTATATTCTTGTTCATGCTATTATGTAGCGATGATATTATTACAGAAGACCCCTGACTGTGATAAAACTGACCAGGGTTCTGATAATAGCAGGATTGTGGTGATATTTAGCGCTGTGCGCCATGGAGGGAGGAGTAATGCTGTGGGAGGGAGGGTAGTGGCATTATCTTCTGACTGTGTGTGGCCACCTTTTATTGACTGCACTCACCATACCAGCTTAGTGGTTCGCTATGGTGAACACAAATGTAGATACTTATATATAACGTGTGTATAGTGTGAGATAACAGCGAGAGTAGGAGGTTGGGAGCCGCCATTTTGGTGAGGGAGTAGCGTCGTCTGCAGGACTTACCATGTTGTTTACTGATGACCACGATGGTCTTTGGGCACCATACCAGTTTACTTGTACAAGTATGGTGTATAAAACAGGTAGATATTTATATATAATGTGTGTATATAGCGTAATAGCACCACAAACAGTATTGTTGTAGGAGAAATATTAGTGCGTCTGGCCTTGAGGGAGGCAGCCATCAGCTGACTATGTGAGGTCCTACGTCTTTGTGCCTTTACTCACCACACATGCTTAGATGTACAGTTATGGTGAACAAAACATGCAGATACTTATATATAACCTGTGTACGTAGTGTAATAACCGACAAAGTTCACTGTTTGATGAACATAATTGAATCAACAATATGCACACCATATTTTTGAGTACAGTGATGATTCACTCATTTTATTATATCACACTACACACTATTGAATAATATTACAGCAAAAAAACTACGAAAAATCAATCAGAGACATTGAAATAATTAGGTAATTATCTCTTTGTGGCAACTCCAGCCTGACAGCTGGCGATCAACAGACCGCCTGGAACGAATGCTGAGTCAGCGTCTATTTTTTGCCAGAATTCCCCGCCCTATAGCGGGCAATATATGCCACTTAGGATTTTTTATTATTTTTCCCGTGATCAGTGAACACAAATTAACAGGTTAGCACTTTCGCGCTTTAGATTAGAGATAACTCGTCGCCGTTTTCTCTTATGATTCCGCATAACAGCCTACTTTTCTCGTCCATCGAAAAAATATTTCTATAAATTCCATTTTTTAACCGAAATGGATGGGGATACTTTTGTTTTGTAGAGAATTTATTTGCGAATGTTTTAGTACCAGAATGAATATTATATCACATAAACTTCTATGAGTAAAAAAAAAAAAATACACAAAGTATGTTTGGGGGTGTGGCGAGCGTGTGACAGTGGGTTCCCTTTAGCCGTTGATATCCAACACGTGGGAAATATTTGTATGTGTTATGTATATGTCTGTGTAGGGAATTTTACTGCGATCACTGTCATACAAATTATAAAATGTTTCAACAAGTATAAACATGACAAACATCAAACGAACGAAAACAATGCGTTCGTTTCTGCCGCGAACGCATACTGAGCGACGTGGTTCTATATTTGGCGCTTCTCTTACACATGCTTTGTACAAATGTTATACAGTTCATCTTATAGAAAATTTTATTGCGAACACATTGGTATAAAAAAGAAATACGTACATAGAAAAGTAGGGTCGGGAAACGTATAAACTTTCCAAGCATGATTTCCCCCCTGTGTTTTCGCCAGTGCGCTCGCGGCTAACTACTCTCCACTTCACACACTCTTGCGGGTGGGCAATTACCTATATTTAACATTCATATGCATATGTCCGTGTAGAGAATTTTATTGCGATTCCAATGATACCAAAATTAGCGATGTAGGACAACTGTAGGCTTCGCAACCATTAAGAGAGTGGAAACATTTTGTTGCTGTTTGGCGCTCTTGGCGAGTGATCTGCATAGTTTTTTATTTGGTGTTGATACTCCTTATGCTTGGGCGGCATTTTATAGGTATGCTCTTATAGACAATTTCATTGCGAACACAGTGATAGCAAATTTAAATAGGTGCGCCTTCAATTATTGTCAGGACAGTCAAAAGAGTGTACACTTTTCGGTCTTACCGCATAGGCGCGCGAGGTGCCGAAAGCATCTGGTTTTTTTTTTTTTTTTTTGAGCGCCGAGAGCGCGAAAGTGTTAGGAAGAATTTTTTTTTTTTTTTTTTTTTTTTTTTTTTTTTTTATGCACCTGTGGGTGTCAAATGCTATATAGCTATGCGCCATTTAAGGGTTAAAAGATTGGTGGAGAATGTAGGTTCAATTTACTACCGGGGTGAATTGCTCGGAAAGCCAAAAACGTGTCGCAAAACTACGAACTTTCCCATGAGAGAAAATGGGAAATCCAAATGAGTTAAACAGGTAAATTATCCCTTCATGGATAAATATCTTAATGTGTATCAATGAGGTATAATTTAACACTGTCTCTCGTTAATGATGCAGTATGGCATCAAAAATTTAGTAGACGAATGTGCAGTAACGACGCAGTATGGTGTCAAAAATAAAAAAATTTGGCCTAATACCAAAATGAAAGACTTAGGACGAGAATTGACGTGGCAAAATTTAAAAAAAAAATGAAAACCAACATTAAAAAACTGCATGCTCCTGTGGAATGTGTGACGCACCTTGGGGTGGTCTGGTGCTCGATCTCCCAGCGAGCAAAAGTGTTAAATTAAATGCACCTTGATGGGTGGCATCTCATTAGTTTCCAGTTTCCATCCATACTTCTCTCTTTTCTTTTGTATAGAGTGGAGGAAGCTACAGCTTGAGAGTAAAGGGTGACCTGGGTTGCCACCTGGTGGCAACCCAGGTACTTAGCGTAAGTGTAGTTTGCCTGACCAACTCCCGGCCGGGAATTTGGTCTTCTCACCAGGATATCATGGTGAGGGAGTTTGCATCAGTTTGGTTGGAGCTTTATTGCATTCCTTTTTTGTTGGGGACTCTATGATCCTGCTTCACTCAGATTGCATGTTGGTGGCCCCCTCCCTCAGTAGAGGAGTTAGCAATGGCTATCTTTTCATGCGAAGGTGGACTCTCAGGATAGCCTCATTTCTGGCTTTGCTGGGGTTAGTTCTCAATGCTGTCCTTTTTATATTGCTCTATTTTCTGATCATAATTTGATATATAGTTTCTGCTTCGCCTATGAAGTACTTTTTGAGAGGTTTTACTTGGTTTTGGGTTGATCCAAGATTCCCTCATGCTTCTCTCACTATTGCAAATACTCCAAATTCTAGCCTTGGTGTTTTGTAGGTACCCTGTATGTGCAAGTCCAGAGACCTGGTAGTTTTGTACATGTCTCATTTGTAAGGCATGGATATCTAGCAGTGTGTAAACATTCCATCAATATACAGTGTGCAAACATTATGTATACAATGTTTTGTATATGCAGTGTCTGGAATGTTACTTTGAAATCAGTTGCATCAGCTATGCCCTTGTGTGTCAAGCTTCGTATGCACATGCGTGATGCACATATTGAGATCGGGTACCTTAGAAAATTACATGAACATCACCCTAATGTCATAAAAACTATGCAACAAATATTTAGTGCTTAAAAATAATATAATATTTTATTAATTATCACTATGAAATGTGAAAAGCCCTATGAACTAGTTAGGAAGTTTTTCTAGGTAAATAGTGAAAGACAGACGTGAGTACTAGAATCAGAATAGAGATTGAGAAGAGAGGCAGGTGGTGGTGATGAGACAACAAGGAAGGGAGGGCAATACTGGAAAAATGACGATATTATGTGCATCAGGTTCAGAATTCTCATCTTTCCTGTTCCATGGTCTGGACTGTTCATAAATTTCAAATTAGTGCTTCAAAGTTTGGACTGGTGTGCGTAAAGGACAGAGCATCATCTTGTATTTCCCAACACATGTTATCTAATTTTGGTCACTATGATGTCAAAGGTGTAGCATTTAATGTTTGTTGATATTAATGTATATTGCAGTGGAGATACAGTAGCAAAATGCCATACAAAGTATTTGTGATAACTTGTAGTATATTCTTCTCTGGGTGGAAAGAACATTTAGTATATCTCTGTTTTTGATAACCCAAGTATTCTTTTATTGTAAATTTTATCTACAAGTTTAAATTTTATTTAATTTATTTTTGTATTTTCTATCATGTCCATTAAAGAGAGGAAAACAATATTTTCTATTTTGGAAGCCAGTCAGTCATCTGGAAATAACTAGAGAATGAAAATTGATTTATATACTTGTGTAAACTTAAGTATATTTACAAATTAAAAATATAATTACAATCGTTATTCTTAACCTAGTGTCTTGCGTGTACTACTGTAATTACAATTCTCAAATTAAGTGTGCTAGTCTTCCTATTAAGATTCATACTTCAAGCTCTCTACTTTGGTAATGTATGTCATGTATATTACTACTTTTCTATAATTCAGATTTTGTGTCGGAGGCGTGTTGTGAATTTTTCTTTTCTCAAGTGCATCAACAATAGAGAACTCGGCTGACTCGCCAGGATTTAATTTTGTCCTAACAGGACCTAAAAACTTGTCGGACTATTGCAATGTGATGCCAGAATGAGTGCACTGTGGAACTACTGAGACTGCCTAGAAAAGGGCATTTCATTACATTTATTACTTTGTTTCAAGCCTGGCTCAATCCATTTAATATTTTAACCAAAACTTGACCTCTTCTGAATGGTATTTACTCCTATTGGTCTGTGAAAAGCTGTAATATTGTATGTATTTTGTGTATTTAGTTATATATTCCTTTAGTGTTGGTATGTAGATAAGATGTGATGATTTTTTTTATCCAAAACCCATGTCCACTTAGGTTGGTACTAAAATATCTGAAAACTGATGTTGGCCTGTACTGTATTTTGTAATGAAGGTCAAAACTCATACTTCATCAGGATTTTGCCATCAGGATTTTGAAAGATCCTGTTCCATTCAAACAGGAATACACTGTTTATTAGTTCATAATCCATTAAGTGCCAACTTGCCATGAGTTCCAGCTGTTCTCCCATTTCACTTTCCCAGTAATCCCTGATAAAATATCATCTTTGTACGAGAGGAGGTCTGTTGGTATTTTGTTAAGTACAGTAATTAAATACAGTGGTGTACCTTGATATTTGTTTGACTTGGGTTCTGTATTGTAGTGACTAATGCTAAAATTTAAACAGTGCATAACCTCGGTAAAAGAGGCCGGTATTGTTACTTTACACATCCGTGTGTGTAGAGGGTAATTTTTATTATAAATTATTGTCCAAAATTGAGGTATGCTTTGCCATAAGACTGGAGGTATCACAATTGATTGACCACCATCAAATGATTTCTTATTCTATTACACACAACAGGAAATGGAAGGATATGTGAAAAAAAGATGATATAAATTAAATTTTGCATAAGTTTAAAAGATTTAAATGAAAATAACAGGATGCCAGTTGTCTAGTTTTGCACTTCCAATAACACCCATCTGAAATTTATTCTTTACAGATGTAGATATTTTGTACATTATTTCTGATCAATTATTTGGCACTAATTATGGGTTTTGTGTATACCATAGGTGAAAATGAAAAATTTACGTCGGGAAGTGCGTCTGTATAAAGAATCTGTTGGACGAAGTAGCTCACGCAAGCCGTCCGAAGTTGCTACAGCTTGTGAAAAGCTTCTTCCAGATATTGAAGATATTTTCAATAAAGTAAGCATTTTACACGAAACTGAAATTTCTGACCATGTGGTTTGAATATTGGATAACTAAAGATATGTTAAGTGTTTGTTTATCTTTCATTGGCTAAATTTTTTCCCCTCAGAACATGGTAACACTTTCATATACTAAATGAGTTTTGCTTGCCAGTGGTAGTGCCCATCTTCTCCAAAGTTATCCACCCCATTTAGTCACTCACTTAGCATTACAAAGAAAAGGTTTATGCAGTTTTTGCAAACCAATTTATAGAGCTAAAACATTGATTTATGATAATCTTTGGGAATTAATGTTTTTAGTATAAGTACACATACAAAAATTGTAACCTATGTTGTATGTGGGACACTGCTAAATTTCCAGTGCAGTAGTTTATAAATATATATATTGATAGTTATTTATGGTAAAAAATGTTGATTGTATATGTAAATTTGGATCAGTTATTGATCTATATCACAATAGAAAGAATGGAAAATATTACAGTACTGTACAGTAATGCAGGGGGCCTGATAGCTGAGTGGACAGTGCTTCAGATTCATAGTCCTGAGGTTCCGGGTTCGATCCCCCCGGTGGTTGTGGAAACAAATGGGCAGAGTTTCTTTCACCTTGATGCCCCTGTTACCTAGCAGTAACTAGGTACCTGGGAGTTAGACAGCTGCTTCGGGCTGCTTCCTTGGGATGTGTAACAAAAAGGAGGCCTGGTCGAGGACCGGGCCGTGGAGACGCTAAGCCCCGAAATATAACTTCAAGATATTCATTTTCACTTGAGTTGAAGGTGGGTTATAGTTTAGTTTGGGATAAATGTGTAGAGGGGTTTGAAGAGTTGTGATGTAAGGGAGACGGGGTGTGTGCTGATAAGGATGGGGGAAAGCCATTGTAGGGTTTTGGGGGTAGAGAGAATGGGATACCCTGTATTTGGGGTAGGGTGGAAGGGTTAGGAGTAAACGATGGTCAGTGAGAGATGAGTGAGCACAAGTGGGGCAAGCAGCCTTGTAGTGTAGTGTAGAGGGAAGTTTTGGCATAGAGGGTGATGGAAACAAAGATGTCAAAGTTGTAGTTGGAGGGGAACTGGAAGGGATCAGTGTTGGGTGGATGTGGTGAGGTGGTGTGAGAGGGGAGGATGTGCATCATGGAAGATAGCAGTAGTGGGATTTGGGGAAGGGATGAGGTAGAGCTTCTTGGACGAGATGTGTGTGCTGGTGCAAGGGTTGAAGGGAAGATTCATTTGCCCATGGTTCTGGGTTACTGGGTTACAACATACTGGGTTCCTCTGAAGTATCTGTCCTGCCCCTGCAGGATATTTCCTGCAGCGAGTTGTTTTTCTTGTCTTTTTTGTACTTAAATGTTAGTAGTCTACATTGCCTCTGTTATTTTGTAGTCTGCATGCATGTCTAAACATGAGCCACCTAGCATCTTGGAAAATTCTTGGAGAATTTCCCTAGATGCCATAAAATCAACTGTGTGCATTTTGTACAGTATGTGTGTTTGAAATATTTACTTCTTTATTATTTTATGTAATCATCTAAATATTGTACTAAAAAGTACTGAATTAAGAAATGTTGGTATAACAATGTTTACTTATAGGAGGAGGAAATCCGTCGGGAGTGGTATCAGATGCGTGCAGAAGAAAGACTAAGAGCAGAAGGACGGTTGGTAGATGGTGAAGCGGCACCGGCAGATATACTAGCACAGGTAGTAATATGCAATGTAAATAATTGTAAAAAAGCTTTAATACCCAAATCCTTTATACAGTATTTAAAAAAACTGAGTGGTAGTTATATTTAGGATTTTTTTTTTTTTTTTTTTTTTTTTATAAATATTACATACTGGGCTAGTTCCTGAATGCTTGCTCACAAATAAATGGAAAATGGATTTTTGGTGGGTAACATTTATTCTTCCTGCTTATCTATGAGCACTTTCCCTCGGTGACTATAGGGGAGTTAGATCTAGCTGTTTGTACCTGTCGCACTAATTACCACTCGGTACTGTGTTAACATTTTTATTGTATTTCTTTTTAAAAGCTGTGGATGGAATTGGCTTCAATCTCTCTTTTTCAATGCATTCATATCTTCTGCCACTTATACAGGGAACAAAGCTTTCCTACATATTTTCTACTTAATTGCATACCCAGCTTCCACCAAAATCCCATTGTCTTACCTCCTTTTAATTTAAATATGGTTCCTTTATCCACTTTATCTATTCCCCTCAAGATCTTGTGTATAGTTATCCTCCCTCTGTTTCTTCTCTTCTCTAAGGTTGTGAGGCCAAGTTCTCTCAACTAGTCCTCACAGCTGAAGCCTCTCAATTCTGGTACTATTCTACTTGCAAACCTCTGAACTTTCTCAAGTTCCTGTTTATGCTTCACTAGATGTGGGTTTCTATGCTAGAACTGCATACTCAAATAATGGTCATACATGGGCATTGTGTATGGACTTGAAAACCTTCTTATTTAGATTCTTAAATGACTGTCTTATGTTTGCCACCTTCCTATATGCAGCTGATGTTATACCATTCTCATGAGCTTCTGGTGTTAGTGTTGGGATTCTCTCTTCCCAGGTATTTTTCTCTTGTCTCTTGTAATTGCCATTCCCTTATGGTATGCAATAATACAATATATATATATACAGGTATGTATATATATATATTATATATATATATTATATATATATGACAATGTCAGACCACGGAGGAAAAATGAAACAGGAAATTTCCTTAAGTACTTTCGTATAATAAATACATCTTCAGAAGGTCAATACACCTTCTGAAGATGTATTTAATATACGAAAGTACTTAAGGAAATTTCCTGTTTCATTTTTCCTCCGTGGTCTGACATTGTCACATTCTTAATCACGTGTTTATTTTCGTGATATACACACATTATATATATATATATAATATAATTTTTTATAAATTTCAGGTTGCTGTTTTGGCAGACTCGGATTTGTGCGATGAAGACACAGATGCCCAAGACTGTGTCCAGGCAGACGGCATGGAAACAGAAGGGGATGGGGGTGCATTCACAGAGGGGGAAGGATTCACAGAGGGTGAAGGGGGATTTGAAGGAGACGTTGACACACATGTAGTTCATGCCCAAGCTGAGACTGCAGTTCACCACATTGTTGAGGATGTAACCTTGCAGGTGGTCACCAAGCAAGAGCCTCAGTCTGGTGCAGAGATGTAAAACTGTCAGAATGTTTGTGTGAATATATTTAAGGTGTTATAATATTATACTAAGCCTTTGTTATAATCATTAATCTGCTTAAAAATTAAAAGGTTTCAAAAGTGTTGCGAGCTCTTTCAGTACCACTTAAGATCAGTGCTAAAACCTTTCGATCATATTATCATGTACCAGAACATTATGTAAAAGTTTCTTACTTTGTAGTCTTGAAATAATTCCGGGTCATACTTTAGATAAACACACAGATTTCATTATCAACTGAAAGGAGATTATTTCTGCCTTTGTTCTTAATACTGGTTGAATGAGAGAACTTTTACATAAAAAAAGACTCAAAAATACATTTTCATATTGCACATGATTAGATTTAGCCTGTTACTTTCTTGCAAAAACCCTAATTACCTTGGAGTTCCACAGATTACCGGTTAAGACACGCTGGTATGTACTATACATATATTTAGTAGAACCGTGATCAAGCACACCTAATTATAACAAAATCCTGCTTTGTCTTAAATGTGTTTGTGATTAGTTCAAATTAAAAATTATAACGGTTTGTGTGTGCATTTATAGGAAGTGTTTGAGTAAACTACCGCTGTGGGATGCATCTAGGTTATGTCAACCTACCTTGAGGTTACCTTGAGATGATTTTGGGGCTTAGCGTCCCCGTGGCCCGATCCTCGGTCTGTCCTCGTTACTGGACTGCTCAGCCAGGTCAATCACAACTGGTCAACTTATCGCCGTTTTCACTAATTGGCATATTTTCTGTATAAAGAGTCGTAATTTCAAACTCCAAATATGTGCAGTGAGCCAGAATTTGGCTAAAAATAATGCTCGAGTTAGATTTGCAATATTTCCAATATTTTGAAAACTGTAGGAGGGGGTGCAAAATGTGACCAATCACCGTCTTCACTAACTGGCATATGTATTTTCGGTATAAAAATTGGTAATTTCAAATTCCAAATATGTGCAGCTAGCCAGAATTCGGCTGAAAAATAACGCTATTGAGTCAGATTTCGATACTGAGTATTGTGAAAACTACAGAGGGGGCGGGAGGTTTGGGCAAAATATGACCTATTGCTATCTTCACTGATTGGCGTATGTATTTAACATGTAAAAATTCGTAATTCCAAACATCAAATATGTGCAGTGAGCCAGAATTTGGCTAAAAAATAGCACTCGAGTTAGATTTGCAATATTAACAATATTTTGAAAATTGTAGGGGGGGGGGCGGTTTGGGTAAAATTTGACTCATCGCCGTTTTCACTAATTGGCAAATTTTTGGTATAAGAAGTCGTAATTGCAAACTTCAAATGTGTGCAATGAGGCAGAATTCGGCTCTAAAATAACGCTCATGAGTCAGATTTCTGATATTTTGAAAACTGCCGGGAGGGTTTGGGCAAAATGTGACCCATCGCCGTTTTCAGTAATTGGCATATTATCGGTAATAAAGTCGTAATTTCAGACTCCAAATATGTGCAATGAGCCAGAATTCGGCTCGAAAATATCGCTTATGAGTCGGCTTTTTTTTATATTTCTGATATTTTGAAAACTGCAGGAGGGTTTGGGAAAAAATATGACCCATCGCCGTTTTCAGTAAATGGCATATTTTCGACATAAAAAGTCGTAACTTCAAACTCAAATGAGCACATATTTGGAATTTGAAATTACGACTTTTTATACAGAAATAATGCCAATTAGTGAAAACTGCGATTTATCACAGTTTACCCAAACCCCCCCACCCCTGCAGTTTTCAAAATATCAGAAATATCGAAATTTTGACTCACGAGCGTTATATTCGAGCCGAATTCTGGCTCACTGCACATATTTGGAACTGCAAATTACGACCTTTTATACCGAAAATATGCTAATTACTGAAAACGGCGATAGGTTATATTTTGTCCAATTCCCCCGGCAGTTTTCAAAATATCAGAAATGTCGGAAATTTGACTCCTGAGGGTGATTTTTGAGCCGAATTCTAACTCTGAACCTATTTTCATTTTCAAATTACGGTCTTTTATACCGAAAATATGCTAATTATTGTAAACAGCGATGGGTCATATTATGACCAAACCCCCCTGCAGCTTTCAAAATATCTGAAATGTCGGAAATTTAACTCCTGAGCGTGATTTTTGAGCCGAATTCTGACTCTGCACCTATTTTCACTTTCAAATTACAACATTTTATACCAAAGATATGCTAATTACTGAAAACGGCGATGGGTCATATGCTGCCCCCCCCCCTGCAGTTTTCAAAATATTTGAAATATCGGAAATTTGACTCCTGAGGGTGATTTTTGAGCCGAATTCTGACTCTCTGCACCCATTTTCATTTTAAAATTAGGACCTTTTATTCCGCAAATATGCTAATTACTGAAAACGGAGATGGGTCATATTTTCCCCAAACCCCCCCTGCAGTTTTCAAAGTATCTGAAATTTCCGAAATTTGACTCCTGAGCTTGATTTTTGAGCCGAATTCTGACTCTGCGCCTATTTTCATTTTCAAATTACGAACTTTTATACCGAAAATATGCTAATTACTGAAAACGGCGATGGGTCATATTTTGTCCCCCCCCCTGCAGTTTTCAAAATATCTGAAATTTGACTCCTGAGCGTGATTTTTGAGCCGAATTCTGACTCTCTGCACCTATTTTCATTTTCAAATTGCGACCTTTTAGACCGAAAATATGCTAATTACTGAAAACGGCGATGGGTCATATTTTGCCCAAACCCCCCTGCAGTTTTCAAAATATTTTAAATGTCGGAAATTTGACTCCTGAGCTTGATTTTTGAGCCGAAATCTGACTCTCTGCACCTATTTTCACTTTCAAATTACAACTTATACCAAAGATATGGTAATTACTGAAAACGGCGATGGGTCATATGCTGCCCAAACCCCCTTGCAGTTTTCAAAATATCTTATATGTCGGAAATTTGACTCCTGAGGGTGATTTTTTAGCCGAATTCTGACTCTGCACCTATTTTCATTTTCAAATTACGACCTTTTATACTGGAAACGGCGATGGGTCATATTTTGCCCAAACCCTCCTGCAGTTTTCAAAATATCTGAAATATTGCAAATCTTATGCCCGAGTATAAGCATTTTTAAGCCGAATTCTGGCTCTTTGCACATATTTGGAGTTTGAAATTACGACTTTTGCACAAATATGTGCAATGAATCAGGATTTGGCTCGAAAATAAAACTCATGAGTCAGATTTCTGATATTTTGAAAACTGCAGGGGGGTTTGGGCAAAATGTGACTCATCGCCGTTTTCAGTAATTGACGTATTTTCGGTATAAAAAGTCGTAATTTCAAACTCCAAATATGTGCAATGAGCCACAATTCGGCTCGAAAATAACGCTCATGAGGAAGATTCCGATTTTTCAGGTATTTTGAAAATTCCAGGGGGGCTTTTGGGCATATCGGAATGTATGGGCATATATCCAGTAGTGGGATATAACTCATAACGGATCCCTTTTGCTTTTTTCGAGGGACCCGTTCTGGCCTACTGTGTTTTCGTTACCTCCCAGCAAGCGATTGCTCGTCGCATTTCGCTCATTGGGATTAAAAAGCCGGTCTATGAGTCATGTTTTTGCGTTGGCCCAGTGACCCCGAAACCAAATTTGCAATAACGTCATCCCTGGTAAATTTTAAATATCCCATTTACTTCCAATCTATGTTAACCAGAACATCGAGTGTTGGTATTAGATAAACTTCAGTTGGTCTATTCCCAATCAATATCCCCTTTCTTCTCCATTTATACACATTAATGTTGTAACTCCATTAATATTCAGAAGGTCCTATTTATTCCTCTTACTTATCTAGAAGCTTAATATTTAACAAATTTAGTGTGCGGCCAAGGATCGTTTATTGAACGTAGGAATGAGTGAAACCCATCAGCCATTTGCATGTAGCAAAAGGAGGGAGCAACACATTGTGTGGACTAACATGTATCTCAGCGTTCGCCCCGTTACCGAATCAGTTTCCATACACAGCAATGTGCTGCTACCCTATTCTATATGAAAGATTACACAGTGCAGAAAAAAACTAGCTATAAGTTCACCTAATACTGTACTCCCATCTCACAGGATAGTCAGTCATACATGGAATCAGGGGAGAAAATACCAGCCTCAATACAAAAAACAAACCAACCCTGACTAAACAACTTCACGATTTTCGCTGAATCATATAGCATTATATTATAATTACTTTTACCAGTTTCTACAAGACTCCTCTCAATGTATTTTTTTAACAAGCTTCGGTATACACAGCAATGTGCTGCTTCCCTATTCTGTATGAAGGACCACGCAGTGTAGATCAAACACCAGCTACAAGCTCATCCAACATCCCCCCCATCTCACATGATGGCTAGTCATACATGGAATCAGGAGAGAACAAAAAATGTAAGGCTGATCTATTAGTCTACACTAGCAAAATCTGGGTACAGCAAAAGAATATCTTCCAATATTTTTGAGTGTATGAAGTAATTACAGAGCTCAAAGTACCTCACACCATTTGGTATGAAGTCACTGATAACAGGGCAATCACAGATATAGTGTCGGAGAGTATGTCTTCTCAATTAGGACCAAAAACAAGTTTTTTCATCCAGTGGGTTATAAACTCATGGAACCGCCTACCCGTTGAAGCCGTAAATGCCAAAATCCACTTGCTGACCACCTGTACAGGAAATATGAACTTTCTTAAATCTCCGACGCAATTATGTCCAGCTTCCACCGATGTCCCTGTCCTACCCCTCATATTAATTTAAATTGGCTTCTTTTATCCAGTTCATTCCCATCAAGATCTTATACATAATTATCATATCCCCCTCTATTTATTCTGTTCTAAGGTTTAGGGCAAGTTGTCTGTACCTGTCCTCATAGGCAAGATTCCTCAATTCTGGTACTTATCTAGTCCTCAGAACTTTCCCTTTTCTTTCAATGCAAAGCTCAAGGGAGTTACTGAATTATGTATATTGCACAAGTGGTTCAATTTGGATGTGTTAAGAGGAGGAAAGGAAGAGAGAAGGCATTTGTATTTTATATTTGATACATTGTAATGAACTGTGAGGTAAGATAGTATAAGAAACTGGATGCATTAAGGCCAATCTAGTAATTAAGTATGCTTTTAATATTAAACAAAATTGTTTATTTTAATAATATACAGATTTGATTTGCTGGAAGGGAATGAACACAGCTCCAGAGTAGTGTAGTCATCACAGATGCTGAGGCAGACTAACATTTTCTAAACCAAGATGAATCCTTCATCATACACCTCACTACTCTACACCAAATGATCATTGTGATAAATAGTTGAATGTTTCTTTGCTTACCATTTATTTTTGTTAACAGAAAAGATTTGACATTCCAAACTGAATTTGTTCACTTACATAAAAAAAAAGTTTTATAATTTCACACAATTCTAGCATTTCATTGAAGAAAATAAGTTAAAAGGATATTAAAACTTTAGCATCGGCTTTAGAAGACTTATTTCTATTAGCTTGTAAAATGTCTCATGATCACCATTCAAAATGGTAGTTTTAAAATATGAAATTATTACACATCTATCAATTACATCTTCACATGTAATAACTGCATTTTAGACTGATCTCAGGCAGTGCATCATAATATAATCCCTAAACCTTCTGGGTTATTGCTTGTACTTCATAAACTCAGGCACTTCAATGCATATACCTCAGTCACCAAGGTATGTTTGAAGTAGCTCACGTTTTTTCCTTTCCACTAAGGCAGCCTCAATATCTGCTTGCGTTGGGATATTGGGAACATGAGCCATAAACCGCTGGACCTCTGATCTTTCGTCTGTTTCGTCAAGAGATATCTGCAAGGAAGAAACGTTCTTAACATTTCTGTACATGAAGGAAACTACTTAAATAATTTTTTTATATGCAATAACTAAATTTCAACATTCATGAGAGCAATTAAACAAGAAAAAGTGTTATCTCTGCTCACACTCACGCATACTAAAGTAAATTTTAAATCTATAGCATATATTTTTATCTCACCTCTTCATCATCGCTGTCAATAGTGTCATTATCATCCTCTTGAATTCTATTCCCTTGGGACTCTTCACCCTCCTCTCCATCAGTCATAGCTGCAAGTTTTTTGTTTGTATACTGCTTTACTGCAGCTTTTATTGCTGTTTGGGAGAGAATGGCACCTGGTGAAGTTGGGCAAACCTTTCCATTTGGCTCTTTCTACAATACATAGTTTTAAGAGTTTATGCTCATTTTCTACTTGGCATAGCCATTTATAAGCTTAACATTCATTTTAGCATAATATTTCAGAAATGAGTTATCATACATTACTTAAAGTATTGATAACTAATGCTTGGTGAAGGAGGCACTGCCGAGTTTAGAAAAGTTGATACATATTTCTAAACTGCAATGTACTTATGGTTGTAACAATTTGACTACAGAACACAAATGTGCCCAACGAACTGATTTATATTGTTGTAGGAAAATATTAATAACATTTATTCAATTTTGAAGTAATTTGTGTTGGGCCTTTGACTGTAGGCAGGGTAAGATGTAAAAGTATATATATTACAACCCTCAAAATTTACTTAGATATCATTTTGGACCCAATCTGGATTTTTCAGATATACAAACTTTATTTTTTATCAATTTATTGGGGAGTATTCTTATTGCAAATAATGTAACACATCATTGCACATAGTTAAACTACTGTATATAAACAAATGATTGTTATGCGAGAATGTCGGAGTGGAGAGGCCTCAGCCTTATCACCAAACTGAAGGTCTACTGAGCAGTAGTACTCACCACCCTTCTCTATACCAGCATAACCTGGACTGTCTACAGCAGACACACCAAACCACTCAATCACTCACTTGAGCTGTATCCATAGACTCCTGCGCATCAGGTGGCAGAACAAAATCCCAGACACGGAGGTCCTGGAAAGGGCCAGTATTCCCAGCATCTACACCCTCCTACAGAAAATTCAAGCCAGATGTCAGAATGCCCGACAACCAATTGCCAAAACAGCTGCTGTATGGAGTTATGTTAGGGCACAGTCAGTTGGGGGCAAAGGAAACTATTCAAGGTCTGCCTCATGGTGACTCTCAAAGACCTGGACATCAACCCCACACTTGGGAGTCACTTGCTAGACTGTCAAACTTGGAGAAACAGTCACTACGGGGGCCCTGTATGGCAGAGAATAGATGGATTGCAGAGGCTCGGAGGAAACACACTGCATGCAAAGCTAGAGCAACCTCCACCTCTACAGTAGCACCCACCCACATGGGTCTCGTGTGGGCAAGCCTTCCGGACCCAGATTTTGGAGGTTATACTATACTATGCTCATTTTCCTTTTTGCTAAACTATTTATAGGATTAGAGCATTGGATTTATTTTCAAAATGTTCATACATGAAGGGTGGTGGGTATAATGTCAAGATAATCAGACTCATGTGATTAAAAGTTTGTGCAAGTTTGCAAGCATCAAAAGAAAGCTCCAAGTCCGAAGAGCTGTATAGCAGTGTCACAGAATATTCAAAAGATCCTAGATATTAGTCAGGATGCCAATACAAGATCGGACAGATATAAAATGAGTAATGTCGAAGAAATCAGATTGACCGAGGGCCATAAGAATCAAATGAAACACTGAAAGCAAATTTTTTATGCTGAAAATTAGGACATTCTATGAGCATACCTGTAGAGGGTTTTGCGAGTTCTTCTACTCCCCAAGGTCGTGCTCTAATGTTACCAGAACAAAGCAGTTTTGACAGTAAGGTGTAGGTCTGTTCTATTTTGACAGTAAGGTGTAGGTCTGTTCTATTTTGACAGTAAGGTGTAGGTCTGTTCTATTTTGACAGTAAGGTGTAGGTCTGTTCTATTTTGACAGTAAGGTGTAGGTCTGTTCTATTAAAGTGTCCACGAGTTAATAATGTGTAACCAATATGTAACCTTGTCAGACGTTTTGCAATTCCTATTTTGGTGACAAGAAGGCCAAGAGAATAGGTACACAATTCATAGCTTCTTAATAACTAAAACCATCTATCTCACCAACAGTCATAGACCGAATTATAACTGACAGTAGAAATCCGTGCAAGGAATTGACTAGTGGAAAACTGGACAGGTATGAATGACCTCTTTCTGCAGTGACATCTGAGGTAAGTAGAGACCACCAATATGGCTGGAAACCTAGTAAAACTTGACCATCTTAAATCTGCTAAAGATGAAATGCAGTTAATGTTGGTTCTTGATCAATACAGATTCCAGGGTCATTAGTGCACTGCGAGAGCATACTACAATAATAAATGATTGCTGACATATCCAAAGTATACATCTTGGAGTACATAAACATACATATAATTCTGCAGTATAAAATATTTGGGCCATGCTGAGAATACGAGGCTTGGGAATGGATAACCTCCAGCTTTGATCTAGTGCAGTTTTCCTGGGAACCTCATTGGTGTTGGGCCAAGGCATCTCCACTTGGGATCGAGTCAGCCTTTGCTTGGCGCAATTTAGTGCGATTTTGTATGGTGTTTTCTATACTGATGATTATCCCTGCAACATTTGGCATTCCTCCTGTCGAATGCAACCTTGCTTTCACTCTTCAGTGTGTGCTCTCTACATGGCAGGTTCGGGTGATAGACCTACCCGAGCCTCAGTCTTGTTGGCCATTTACAAAACTACTTCTTGGCTGTGTGTTCTTGCAAATTCAGCATCGGTGCTGGTAGTCTCAGTTCTCAAACAATATTGCAACTGTATGGAGTGGTAAACTAACAACTGTTTACACTTTAGATCACCATCATTGTAACCACCACATAAATATTTACTTTCTTTTAATGTCTAGAAAGACTTATTGTTTTATTTCTTAGAAATATATTATTTTTGGCATAAGGGGCCTGATAGCTGAGTGGACAGTACTTCGGATTCATATTCCTGAGGTTGCGGGTTCGATACCTGGTGGAGGCGAAAACAAATGGGCAGAGTTTCTTTCACCTTGATGCCCCTGTTACCTAGCAGTAAATAGGTACCTGGAAGTTAGACAGCTGCTACAGGTTGCTTCCTGGGGGTGTGTAACAAAAAGGAGGCCGGGCCGCGATTTCGCTAAGCCCCGAAATCATCTCAACATAACCACACCCAAGTCAGTTTCACCTACAATAAAACACATTACTTGCTGACCTGGGGAAGGTCAATAGGTTCACCTGGGGAGGGGGCATTGATACAAGTCTCAGGTATATATAAACACATAGGTTTCTTGCCCCCCCCCTGGCAAAATGAATGAATGAATTAAAATTAATATAACCATGCAACTGCATATTTAGAATGAATACAAACCAAGGGGTCTACTGTACACTAATTATATTAATTGATTAAAAATTCCATGATTTGAAGATTTTCACCACCATTTTTCCAAAACTAGCATTGTACAAAAACTACTTACAAAATATTCACATTTCTCACCTTTCCTCTCTGCTTTCCTTTCTAATGGTATCAACACACCATCATCATCATCTCTGTAGCCATAATAATCTGCATCAATGTCTTTCATCAACTCTCCACGTGTCTTGCGTGGAGGTGGCGGGGGCTCTTGCTCAAATAATTCCCGCACTCCTGGTAGGTCTTTGGCTGCTCCAAAGTACATATAACCTCTATAAAGAGAAAGAAATTGACTAATACCAAAAGAAATAATGTAAACAAACCTGTTTTACTTTTAAGTTAACTATTCTCAATCGATTGTTAAAGTCAGAACAAATCACTTTGAGGTAACTGTACAAGTATGGATTAAATATAAATTTAGACAATTCAAATTCATTATTTAATAAGCAGCTAGCCAGATGTGTTCCATTTTTTGTACTGTATGTCCATGTAACTTTAATTAGTTGCATATACAACCCAATTTTGATTTCAGATTAATGAAAGTTTAGTTTCAAGAAAACAACAAAGCATCAAAATCAAAGATTTTCATGCTAGATGCAAAAATGCCTAGTGCCTGAAAACAACATACAGTATCTGAACAGATGTTGACTACACATGACTTGGCACTGTGACCAAGATGACTTTTAACAGTAAAGTACTTGCTCTTTCTGCTGAGAAGACTCACATTATTGCAGCATATACAGTTTTCATACCTGTTGCCTGGAGCTTCCTGTCCATCCATATCGGTCATCTTCGGTCCGACACGAACATAATCGGGACCACCCAGTTCCTTAATTCGTACTTCCCAGTGACCCTTTTCTCGGAGGAGCTTATTGATTTCATCATTCAAATCCCTAATTCGGAACTCTCCTAAGCCAGCTGCAATTATTAAAGTAGATATTAGATGTTAGGTTAAAACTACAGTACTGTTCAGAAATAACAAAATATATCCACAGTATTTATGCACTTTATCTAATGGAATGTTTAAGGGAGAGGTGAATATGAAAAGCAGACGCAACCAACTTAAACCATGGATTTAACATCTTACATATTCCATAATACTGTACAATGACATACGTTTAATGATGCGGCTGCCTAAAAGTATATATTTTGAATCTGTACTATAGGCAGTGTTAGTGCTCACTGTGTTATCTTGCATATTTTATTATAACTATGCAACCATCTCAAGTTTATTCAAAGTATCCACAGCTTTAATGATAAAAATAGAGCATCTAGTGAAATGAAATGACCCCTTTCTGTGTAGTACTTTAGAGGCTACCCATAGTTTATGCCACCAGCATGAATATGACACTGTGAATATTGGCAGGATTCTGGTGAAATTCTTGGCTCACAAGAAACAAATACCTTTTACTGCTATCTTGTCTTTTCCAAGTGGCAGGAAGCTCATGGGCATCAGAGATCAACCCACTAGGTCCAAAAATTTACCAAAAGAACCATCGAAATGTCCAAGATCCTTTTGTAAATGTTTGCCAACATTAAATCACTAAACAAAGCCCAGAAGACACTACCACCCACATAAATTAGGCTAAAAAAAAAAAGAGGTAGAATGAGGGGACATCCGTGGAAGTTGGATACTCAGTTGAGTCACCAAGATGTAAAGAAGTTCTTGTTCTCTGTACAGGTGGTTAGTAAGTGAAGAAAGAGGTTGTTTAACCCAATTCCATCCACAACTTTTAAGAAAAATTATGATGAAAACTATGTTCAGAGAGGTAATTAGTGCATCAGGCAAAATTAGCTAAGAGGTGGGCATAAATCTCACTCTCTCAGTCACTGATAGGTAAGCACACCTGACCAACACCTGTTGGCAGCCTGATCAACCAGAAGGGGGGGGGGGGGGAGGGGGTAAGGAAGGCAAGCTGCTCATGAGCCCAAGTGGAGTGATGAGTGCTGACAAACCAATGCACACGTGTATGATAACCCTCCGACAAACCTGATGCCAGCCACAAGATACAGGGAGCGAGGAACTCCAGGATGCACAAAACATGCCACCAACACCAAAGAAAAACCAACAGAAGGCCAAAGGCCCAAACCAGGTAACACAGAAGGGAAGTTTGGTTGCTGAAGCAACCAAACTGATGGCCAGAAAACAGAATTCCTCAAGTAAAGATTGATATTAAGTAAAAGAAAAAACGTTGATTGTCTGGATGATGTGGATTCTCAGAAAGGACCTTGGACATGAGGGCAGCATAAAAAACTGGAAACCAGGGCTGAATCAGCTAGATAAAAAATGAGGCTTCCCACTCCAGAGACATCAAAACTGGTGTCACTAGAGCAGGTACACAGAGCTTCATAAAGGTTCCAAGGTCTAAATTTTAAAAGGGGTACCTGCTTCTGCACATAAGGTTTGCTTTTTGGAAACGGTTTCTGTGTCCATTAAGATTGATGAAGTAGATGCACCAGATATTCACACAAAAGGAGAGGCATTATAACTTGTGGTGGTATAAGACCAATTCCTACACTTGGAGGAGTGGTCTGTGCACACAGGAGAGGAATTGCTGCACATGACAAAACATAGATTTTCCCATGGTGTAGGGTATAGGTGATCACCTTGGTATTAGTCACCACAAAATGTATCATGTCAAAACCACAAAAATCATGTGCCCTGATAGTCAAGATTTGCTTCATATACTTGCATTATTTGAAATCTCTAGAGGACATAGCAAGCTTTCCTCAGCTAGCTACAAAAGCAACAGAATAGGTCAAAACAGTCTGATTCTTTATGCGATGGCTGTTTACAAGAGATGCAGATCCACTGCTGTTCTTTAGCTTTTTTAGGAGCATACACCATGATATCTCTTAATACTTAGACTGAGTTAGTCTTGCTGACTCCCAAGCTCTTCTTGAATTCCTGTGGAAGAGTAATGCATCATCTCACAGAATACTTTACTCCTGCACTGATTTAAGCATGACATGTGGATTACATGAAAAAGTGGACCCAGGAACATAGATTATTTTGTGGATTCTAGCACTCTTCTGCACAAGACCCCAATAAGGCAAGTACCATCCATTTTCTATGTGACTTTAGGCATCCACCTACAAGCCAGTCATATACTATACTCACAAATATTGAATGATCTGTTTGAGAACTAATTTTGAAATCAGAAACTGTATCACTAGGTATTTTTTATAAGATTTTAAAGTCATGGCATTGGTTTTCAACTTCTTGCCATTTTGGCAAGGGCCAGTCTGACATTGCAGTTACACAAAGTTAAACAAAGTTGAAGTTTACTTCAGACAAACCATACCATTCTGAATCTGTGAGACTTTCCTTGCAATTTCAGAGATGACCTGATTCCTCCACTTTTCAGCTTCTCTAAGATCTTCACACTCAGAAGCCAAATAAGGTCGACGGGTTTTCTGTTGTTGACTGCCTCCCTCTTGCGCAGCACGCCACCGTGCCAATGTGGTCCTGTGAAACACAATAAATACAATCTTACGCAATACAAAATACAATAATGCTGGATATATAAAAGGAATTTTGGTAATATGTAAAACACTGCTGTTAAGCTCTGACTAGTTATTTTTTCTATCAGAGAAGAACAACAAATTTTAAGTTAGGGTAAAGTCAACTTTAACCCCTGCACTGCACACCTGTTTTTGGCAAAAATTTCATGGTGCAGCTGTTAAGGACATAATTTTGTTGTTTTTATAAATGTTCTGCTAATGTTAATGTCAAAATGTTTCCAAACTCAACCATTTCCATTTCAAATCATAAAGAGGGATGAAAACATTAAAACACATTAAAATATGGCCTGATTAAAAAAAAGCAAACATCCCTTAAGGCGCTCTGAGGGGTTGTGCAATTTTTGGCATAGCGCCTAGACGCTCTGCACAATTGAGTTTAAAGGGCCAATTGCATGTGTCCAGCACCAATAAAACCTTATAATGTCAGCACAGTTGGATAAAATTTAATCACAAAAGTGCCAAGACCTTATCAAATATAGTGCTTTTGAACCATACTGAAACAAGAAACTATCGAATTAGTATGAGAATTAAGACAGTATATTTGGTTATCTATGACTGTACCCTTACAAAATTCATATTTTTGGGGGGATCAAATTTAAGGAGGTTATAATGTAATTGTATTTAGTTTGTTCTCTGTTTTCAGGCAGATGCATGGGCCTTAGCTCTCCATTAGTACCATTAAGTGTTCATACTTTGCTAGTAACCTGGGGTGAGGCCTATTTCTGTGGTTATTATTTGTACATTATCATTTTATAGACTGTCAACTTTTAATTCATAGCTTTAGTTTTGCAATGAACCTAATACAGTACAGTATACTGTAATTTTTGCCAATGATAATAACTATTGTATAAAATTTATGTGGATCCCATCCCATGTTGGAGTTGGAAAACATGACTTTGTAGATCGATTGGCCAATGAGGCTTGCAGGAAAGAAAACATTGATTATGACTTTGGACTATCTAATGCAATTATTAGAAACATACAAATTAAAGAAATTAATTCAGATTTAGAAGAACTAAGAAATGCCTAGAGACCTGAAAGTTGCAGTATTTAAAGCTATGACAACTTTTGTAATAATAGGTATTGTATGGTCAGCACAGTAACCGAACCAGGCAATGTGATGTAGTCATTGCGCGAATTCGCCTTGGCTATAGACACATCTGGCAGATTAGTGAGGCTGAGCCACTACCAGAATATTCAGATTGTAAACTCTGTGATAAACCTTTATTGCATTCACTAGAACACTATATTGTTGAATGTGAAACTGTAAAAGATTTTAGACCTCCTGGCCTAATGTACCCCCAACTGAGTAACTACAGTATTTCATTGACTAAGGTGTTCTGGACGACATCCTAACAATTTATCCAAAATTTGCTTGTCCATTTTAAAGAATGAAGAACAATTTTATTTATATTATTTCTAAACTGCATCACTTATGAACCCATCCCTGCCCTTGTGTGGTAGTGCACAATAGAAAGTTGTTTTTACATATTCATACATTAAAACATTGATTGTAACCATGATATATATGTACTTCCACCTACAGTTTAGACCTATTGTCTTGTGTATGACCCTCTGTCCTGCGTGACAGTGAATACCAGCATTATCCTCACTTTAATAAGACAATTGAAATCCTCAGATTAGGCGAAATTGTAATTAATTTTGTCAATAAAGATGTTATTATATTAATAATAATAAATAAAGTATACTGTAACTATTTTTCAGTTCATCGAAAACATTAGTAACCAAGTCTGGAGACAAGCAACATTACTCTATTTCCTCCATAAATTTTAATTTAGTTCAGTACTGCTAGTCAAACGTCCAATACATTGCAGTCAATGAAAGATAAAAACTGCTTTAGAAAACTAATTAAAATAATATGACTTGTGTACTACTTACATAGCTTTTTCTGCATTCCTTGCCTGTTGGAAAAAAAATAGTGAGCATTAGAAGAACAATTAAGTAATAAATTAACCACAAAACACAATAAAAACATATTATTATTATTTAATAATAATAATAATAATAATGTTTATTCAGGTAAAATTACATACATAGAAAATGAGTTACAAACATAATTTCATTGTCATTATCAGTTATTTTATATAATTACAGTGGTACCTCGGAATGCGATTGTCCCTGTATGCGAGGTTTTCGGAAGGCGAGCAGTATTTACTCCAAAAATTTGTCTCGGAAGGCGAGGGTTACTTCGGGACGCGAGTTTGTTGATACGCGTACAGGCCGACCTAGCGCGTGGTGGTTCGGCGATCGTCGCCCCTCTGCCCCGCCGCCCCTCAGTTTACCATTGTCTCGCGCTCAGTGACTACCCCCACATCAATTCTTCTCGCGGATTTTCAGTGTTTTGTTGGATTTTTGGTGATTTGTCTATACAATTTGTTATTATATATCTCACCATGGGTCCCAAGAAAGCCAGTGGTAAGGATAAAGGCCAGAAAGCTCATGTGAGGATGACAATAGAGGAGAAACAAGAGATCATTCGGAAGCATGAGAACGGTACACGTGTTGTTGAACTTTGTAGGCAGTACAACAAAGCCACATCAACAATATGCACTATACTTAAGAAGAAAAATAAGATTATGGGTGCTAAAGTGGCAAAAGGAGTAAGAACATTAACGGCACAAAGACCACAAATACTTGAAGATGTGGAAAAGTTGTTATTAATTTGGATACACGACAAGGAGTTGAGGGGTGATAGTGTTTCGGAGGCCGTTATTTGTGAGAAAGCCAGGGTGTTGCACAAAGACCTTCTAAAGAATACCCCTGCAATGAGTGATGCAGATAAGAAAGAGTTTAAGGCAAGCAGGGGCTGGTTTGAAAAATTTAGAAAGAGAAGTGGTATCCATAGTGTTACAAGGTGTTACTCCCCTTCCAAACAGTAACTCCTCTCCTCCTCCCCCCTCCTCACCATCTTCCATACGCCTACAGCACTCGACAGCAAGGTAAGTAATAACTGGAACATAGTTTTGTAGGTTTATTTAGATGAATTAGGTAAATTAGGTATAAAAATTTAGTTTGATGTGGGGTTTTTGGGGTAGTCAGGAACGGATTAATTCATTTCCCTTTATTTCTTATGGGGAAATTAACTTCGGAATGCGAGTTTTCGGAATGCGAGGCGTCTCCAGGAACGGATTAAACTCATATTCTGAGGTATGCCTGTAGTTTTACTTCTGAAATTTATTTTACTTTATGTACTGTAAACAGAGATCAATTAGATATTTGTATTGAAGGCAATTGAGGAAGGTAATAATAAGGTACTCTTGGTTCCCAGGCTATGTTAAGCATATCCCCACAACAAATTTTTATTTATTTATTGATTTATTTATTTATATACAAGAAGGCACATTGGGTTTATTATAGTACAGATACCTGAAGTTTTACATTCTAGTTAAGCTACTAGCACACATAACATTTCAGGCAGCCAATATTAAGAGGAATATATACATATTGTAGTGGAAGGGGCTGGAGTGGGTGATACAGTTGCAGGAGTGATTGTGTATACTGGTGGGATTGGGACATTGTTGGGTGGATTATGTACTGTATAATGTAAATCCTTCCCTGGCCGGGGGAAGGATTTACTGGGTGCAAATCCTTAACCCTTGGAAGGGACATATGAACAGACCAAGAGTTGGCCTTTGTTTAATTCAACAGTAAAATGGGTACTTGGTTGTAAAAATGATTCTTCGTGGGGGTCGTATTGCAGGGACCATAGAACTAAGGACTTGCCCAAAACGCTACGCGTACTAGTGGCTGTACAAGAATGTAACAACTCTTGTATATATAAATAAAAAAAATTAGGAATGTAGGTTGAGTGGGCATGTAGGCTGGGTATGGATATATAGGTGGGCATGTAGTCAGAGTTTTAGTTGGTGCGTGTATGGATGTGGTTAAGAGTTGTTTGGAGGGAACTAAGAGGTTTGTTCTTAAGTGACTAGCAAGATTATTAGCAGGAGAAACAGTTAATCCAGTCTGACTAACCTATATAGCCCTTGGAAGGGACATATGAACAGACCAAGAGTTGGCATCTGTGAGAAGAGTGAATAACGGAGTTATACATCAGACTGGCATTATATCTTGTGCTACCCATCTCTCCCAATATGTGATATACCACGAGCTTCCTGTCCCCGTTCAGGCCACTAGAGTAGCCCTCAGGTAAATTGGGGTAAAGCGTGTGTGGCATTTTGTATCCTGAGTAACATACCTGATATTATTCAGCTTCACTCACATACACAGAGTGATATCATGAGTGAAAGGTACTTAAGAGAGAGACGTTAATAAGACATCAACAAGGAGTGGTACTCACCATGTTCTCAAGACAATTGGGGAAATTACCAAGACAACTGGTGTACCTGCGAGCGTCTCAAGGGGTACTGGTCACTTGGTACACAACACAGCCCACGCATATATGTTTTGACTATTTAGCACACAAGTTTGTACGTTTCGTATATATATATATATATTTATTTATTTATTTATTAATATATATATATATATATATATATATATATATATATATATATATATATATATATATATATATATATATATATATATATATATATATATATATATATATATACATACATATATATACATATATATATATATATATATATATATATATATATATATATATATATATATATATATATATATATATATATATATATATATATACAAGAAGGTACATTGAGTTTATGAGAGTACATAGCATTGATAATTTTACATTCTTGTAAAACCACTAACAAGCATTGCGTTTCGGGCAATGTTTTTTTCTGTCTATATATACATATATGATTGGATGATTGGTCAATATTAAAAACCACAATATAATGATATTAACAGTTGAAATCTTCTATTTAACAGGCATAGAGTTACTAAATGAAGTTGAATGATGTGATAGACATATTTTGGGCTTCATAAGAGCGACGCCCACCAGCGTGTTCTAATCATATTCTTAACTTATTATCAACATCTGTTGCCACGTTTTTTGGTCATATTTATATTGTCTTGGAAGACGAAAACAGCAGCGAAGACAAGCCATTACATATGTATGTACGAAACGGTTTGAATGTACAAAATTATCAGCAGGGAATCAAAACGTTATCCCTAACTGTTATGTACGAATCGACCAGTTTCCCTTGTGGATATATCTATATAGTATCATTTAAAAACAATTGTTTAATTTAATAAATTGCATCAGTTATTAGCTGTTAATTAATCTATATAATAATACAATATATTATTCCTGTTTTCTATCACATTACACATTGCAACTTGAATGTGATGAAAATATTTCACATTTCCTAAGTGGTATTTCATTTTTAATAATTATGTTACATTTCTCAAATGAGGTAGAGCATCAATATACACCATGAACAACCCTAAAACGTTCATAATATTATGTAATTCAGGTGAGAGCGAGGTAACGTTGTGAGAAGCAGCGACCAAGAACAATTGATAAGATGTTCCCATTGTTTACTTTCGACCTTTACCTGGGCGCCTGCAGCCTGCTGATGTTGATGTAACGTTGGATTTTAACTTGTCGCCGCCTCAATATGGGAAAGGTAATCTCCACCATGTAGAGTTCCATCTGATCACTCATTACCGAGGTGTGAACGAAGGAAAATATTCGGAAAATGGGCTCAAAGTTTGGTTATACTTGAGCTTGTGACGGCTAGGTTCGAAGTCACAGCGTTGTTTGTTATATAGACTGATAATTCCGTGTTCATATTCACTCTTAACTACTTTATTATAAACAGTGTACGTTTACTATTTTGTTGACTTGAGTCTTTTGGCTATTGTTATGTATATAAGAAGTAAAAAAGCGTATGGCAACTCATGCCATAAGTCTCAAAGGTCTGCCTTGATCTACAAGCAAGTATGGGCTAAGACATAATTTTTTTGCCTGTCTATACCGTCTCTACTCATTTTAACAAATCTAAACTAACTAAATCTGTCATATCGTAGCCTAACTGAACCTAACCTAGGAAAAATGAGATAAAATATTGTGTTTTATGTATAATGTGCACAAGGTGTATGATGACTGGGATGTGTCTGACATAAGTTTAATACCAACACAATTTTTGGATGCTTCTGCTGCAGGCTGTCATGATCAGACTAATATGGTCACAAAGCTACTTTGTACCAAAGCTATAATAGAATAAATTAGAAATTGTTTTTTTATAAAAGTACATTGCACAAGAACTGTGATGGGAAAGCAAATTTAACAATACTGTACACCTTTTTTTATGTGCAAATAAATTGTTATTGATACCATACCCCAAAGTATTTTTTTTTTTTTTTTTTACACTATGTTGACATTTATATAAATCATTGTACATGAAAACTAACTGATCATACTTAAAAATATTTGAACATAAGAATTAAAGACACTGCAGAAAGCCTACTGGCTCATACAAAGCCGCTCCTATTTTGTATTTAACCAAAACACTTACATATGTCCAAACTATACATAAAGCGATGAAGTGTTCTCACATCTATTATGGTGCATGTTAATCTGTTCCATAGATCAACAACCTTGTTTCCAAACTACTATTTACCTAGGTTATTCTGAAATCTAGATTATTCAATTTACTGTATATGCATTGTTTTGTGTTTTCTTCTGGTTATCTTGAGGTGATATCAGGGCTTAGCATCCCTGCGGCCCAGTCCTCAACCAGACCTTCTTTTTGTTACACACCCCCAGGAAGCAGCCCATAGCAGCTGTCTAACACCCAGGTACAGTACCTATTTACTGCTAGGTAATAGGGGCATTAGGGTGAAAGAAACTTTTGCCCATTTGTCTCCGCCTCCACCTGGGATCGAACCCGGAACCTCAGGACTATGAATCCGAAGCACTGTCCACTCAGCTGTCAGCCGCCCGTATTTTCAGCTGTTTGTGTTGATATACAGTATTGAAATCTTTATTAATATTCCCTTTGTTATTTAGTACTCTTTCATCTACTTGTACAGTTCTATCATTTTAGTCCTTTACTCTTACTTAGTGGATGCTCTTTGTTTGCTCATAAGTATTTATATTGTACTGCTCTCCTATGCTATTATTTTTTCCTTTTGATCCAGGATAGTAGGCTTGTTCTTCAAGCTTTAGACTTGCATTTCTCTGCTGTCTGTGGATTGACAGGATTGGGCATATCTCATCAATATGGCCAAACAGAACTTTACAAGAGAATCTAACCACATCAGCATTTTTTGGTACATTCATCTGTTGGAGCTCTGGGTCCTCTGCCAGTCTCCTGCCAGTCTCCCCTTCACATAGAACATGTTTACTGCCAAAAGCACACATGAAAGTGATTTGTAATTTTCTGGAGAAAGCACAAATGATTTTGCAAGAGGCAAAAATTTCTTGAATTTCCTCAGTGATATACCTATCTGTCATCAGATATGCATGTATTTATAAAGTATAAAACCTGCGCTATATCCCACCTAACCCTATACCACGTGATGACTCGCAACTAGTTCCAGTCATTGGCATGGGCTAGACCATTAGCAAACCTTTTCCTTCAGTTTTGGGTGGGTGCTTTTGGATGATGCTGGCCTCCCTCCCAGTTGCAGACTACATTCACTTTGCACAAGCCCTTGATTTGCCAAGGGCTAGTGCAGATTTATTTTTGGGCAATGATTTTCCTCTCCCTTTTGTTTTTTCTGCTGTCAAGAGTGCTTGTTGCACTCCTCCCGAGATTCTTCATTTGAGGTGTCCTGCTTGGTTGCTTCTTCTCACCCCCCATTCTCCTGATGAACAGGGTTCTATTGCAAGTTCCTAAGAGCACATTCAGCCTAATATGGTATGCATTGCACTCACATCTTTTATATTGCATACATTCTTTCAGGACAATATGCATTTGTATATACAATTTTGTATTTTGATTAACAGCCATTATGCTTTATTTCCCTGAAAATTATTTGGCTTTCTAATTAGATCTTCTCAAGTAATAACTGCTTATATAAAGTAGCAGGAGAGGCAAACAATGTTAAAGGTTTGGCAGCTTCCATCTGCTGCAACACAGAAATCAGAGCAACTGTTTCTTTACTGGTTTCCCATGATTACTTAAAGTTGTAGGCAGCAGGCTATAACAAAATATATTTATTAATTATATTTCAATTGCTCAACAGGTCACTATTTTATTTTTAATATTTTTAGTTTCAAGTGTGTTTTTCTTTTAAGTATTTTAATAACATTATGAACTTGAGAGTATTTGGAGTTGGTTGTATTATTGGTTGACTGCACTAATACAGAGATGTTCTCTTTCAGAATAAGAAAGATTACCAAGTCGATGGGATGGAGTCCTATCGATACAGCAGTAACTCCAGTGATAGTTCTTCGAGTAGCAGCAGCAGTGTCTCTGGGTCGAGTGACAGTGAAGACAGTACCAACAGTGAAAGGGAAAGAAAAAGAAAGCGAGTGAAAAAGAAAAGCTCCAAACTTAAGAAAGAGAAAAGAATAAAAAAAACTACAAGTGGTGTAAGTGATGATGAGGAAACAGAATATGATGATAGAGAGAAAAGGAAGAGACTGAAACATTCAAAACACAAAGGTGAAACTGATGAAAAGTACACAGACAATTATGATACAAGAGATGATCGAAAGCACCGTAGCAGTCGTAAGCACAAACACCACCGCAAACACAAGCACAAGCATCGACACCATCGACATCATCGCAGTGAAGAACAGCAAGAGAGGAGAAGGGAAGGATCTGTAGATAAAACTGAAATAAGAAGAGGAAGAGATGGTGAAGAAAGAAAATATAAAGATAGACTTGAATATGAAAAATCAGATAGGGAGAGGAGAATGGAGAGAGATACTGATAGAAAGGATAAGAGAGAAGAAAGAAAGCAGAAAGAGAGATATGAAAGCAGGTTTGTCCTTGATGTAGTTCACCGAGTTCTTTTTTTTTTGTATTAAATTTTAATAGAATTATTTCATTATTCATATAGTCTACAGTACTGTAATGTGGCATTTGAAGAAATAGGTTTTCTGAGAGTCATTTTAATGGGCAACAAATAAAGACCATAATAAAATAACTTATTCTGGTGGGGCTAAAAGGTGAAATCACATCAGCCTGGATACCCTAAAGCTGATATGAATTATCTTTGTGGAGCTATCTCAGTGAGCTAGCTTTACGGAGTCAATGAGGCCTATCAGAAATAAACATTAATACAGCAGGGTTGGCAGTGTGAAAAAAAATTGCTTACAAGCTCAACAAAGAATGTCGTAACTTTGCTTCTAATTGCGGTAGAATATTCATATTAGCATTTGAAGCTAACGTCCCTAAGGAAGCCTTGTTTTCATTATAAATAGTTTTGCATTAAATATTGAATTTTTTAATTTCAAGTTCACATGTGATCTTTGACCTTGAATACAATGTATTAGAAAAAATCATTTTTATTTTTTATTTTTAAATACATTACTGTATAGTTAAATGCATTCTCTCTTTGGTATGAGTTTAATTTTGGGATGACTTTGGGATCAGGGATAAAAAAAAATCATGAAAGTAGCATACCTCATACTCAGTGAAATATCCTAGCACTTGTTTATGGAAATTACCACATCGGAGAATGATATGTAATGTCGTACACAATTTAGAGGAAAACTTGCACTCATAACACGTTCGTGCCTTCTCTGCAGCGCTTCCTCTGAACTTTGAGTTTGTGCAGCAGTTAATGTGTGTGTTCACCCAGCCACAGTACATGGATCAACTTTAATGAGAACTTGTTCAATACGTCGGGCTGGTGAGGATACACATATCATGGGGATGAGCCGTTGAGATTCAGGAAATTTATCAAAACCTCCTGCGATGCTGCATTCACATTCATGACACAACCTAACCACCGGACATCATTATAGATGCAAGTCATAAAACCTTTTATATCTTCCAAAGACAATGTTTCATGTGGGATAATTGTTTGCTGCACTTCACTAATTGTTTCTGTAGAAAATCTTTTATTATTAATTTACTCCTAGGTATGAAAACATGAAATGTTTGAGTTCCATATACTGGCCCAGCTTCTTGTTGTCTGTACAGCAACTTTTCATTCTCCATTATTTCTTGAGGAGCACACACATGCAAATTTTGTGTTCTTGCTATTATCTTTTACCCAACCGAAGAACTGCCTTGAAGTCATAATTAAATCAGTATAGATACTTTGTAAACTTGTCTTAGCTGCTTGCTTGTTCACAAACAACTAGAACTACATGTTCTGCTGGCTCGCCTTGTCAACAGCCCTTGGTCTTTCACTTGTCAGACAGTTGTGACTGCTTCATGAGTCGCCAGCTCGGGTACCAGATTTTCTAGATAAGTGTTGGCCATCATTTAGACTCTTGTCCTTTGGAGGTTATTTACTAGAGTATCATTTCACTCTTTTAATATTTGCTTCAGGTGCATGTATTTACAAGCCTCACTTATTGTGTGGAAACTGTTCATCTTGAGTTGTAGGTGCTTAGGACTAGGTGCTCACTGATATTGCCCCTACCCTGACAGTTACTTTCCTGGTGGGTTTGGGTGTTTGTCCCATATAGGCTAGCCTCTTGTAGAGAGTACCTTACCGTGAATAGTGCAAGGGTCTTTGATTTCTCTGTGATGCTCTAAGGTTTTGGGCATTTTGGGGTTATTGATTAACACTATCGCATGCCCGGCGCACAGCCCTTCCCCCCCCCCTCTCGCACCTTAGGGTAGGTTGAGCGTTGAGCGTAAACTCACCACTACATAAATATGATTATACTCTTTTCCACTTTGTGACCTTAATTTTTGTGCTACGTCATTCAATTTGGTATCAAATTGTTCCCAATATAATACTTTAAGGGAATATTTGCCTATAAAAACATAAAAGTCTCACTTTTCTATACTTTAGACCTGCTGCGCACCACTAGGTAGTCCGTGTGTTGGCCGTCAGCTTGCCACCACATTCAAGTGTTTATACAGTACTCTAATCAGCTGTCTGACGTCAATTTTCGTGTTATGTAGTTCAATTTGGTATCAAATTGTTCGCATTAGAATGCCCCAAAGGAATATTTTCCTTTGAACATTAGAACATTGAACAAATATTAGAACGTTACCAATAGTATAAGATAACGTTCATCGACTTGTGAACAACACTTGCTTTTCTTCGTTGTTTCCAGTCACTATTCATTCCCAACATTCTCGACTGCGGGGTGGGGATGCCACGTGGAATATACGGAGCATGGGAAGATGTTGACGTGCATTTAAAAAAAAAATCCTACAGTACTGTATTCGGACAATAAATGGAATTTTTTAAAATTTTTATATATTTGATGCTGTTTGCATCATTGGGCCTACTCCGTATTTTGGTTTTATGACGTCGACACCGTCATTGGGCTGCAAAAATGTTAAAATGTGCAGTAGGGTTCGCATACTTGTACATTGGAGGGGAGGGGGGGGTGACCTATCCCGCTAAACACACACCGAAACTACGACGTTGGTACAATGTTCGAACAAGTTTTAACACCACCTAACCAGTTATAACAACCAATATATCAAGTTGAAACAATGTTCTAATACGTCATAAACACGTTAAGCCAAGATGTAACAACTTTATTACAAGTTATAACAAGCGGAAAATAGAGACAGTTTCGGTTTGTTTCCAGGGATCTTGCTTTACAGCTGTGTTTTTCCTTTGTGATGCATTTGGTGTCAGTTCAATTAGGCAAGCATTCCTAGTGCCTGGGTGTCCTGCTTGGTCCTTACTTTCAGGCTCTAGCAAGCTCCACACTTGCTACTTGCGAATTTGAGAGATGTCCATCAATTTTGCCACATACTAATAATTGTTCATTCTATCTGCTATGTTCCATGTTGGGTGGGTGATACTTTCCACCCCACAGCCTGCAACATTTCTGTTCACTGGGTCTCATTTCTAGCTTAGCCTCCTCCTATCTGGGGGTTTGATTCTTCAGTGAGGGTGATCATGAATCTCTTGCTTCCTACATCTCTCTGAGCAGACCAGGATTTAGACTTTAATCTCTGGTAGGCTTTTAAGAATGTGCAAGGGCTAATGTAACTAATAGATATATAACTATCTCAGTGCATCTAGCTGCAGGGAGTCATCAGTGCCACAGGAAAAAAGAGGAATTTCAGTACTTTGTGTCGATTTTTGTTTTTTTTGTTACATAGGTGGGTACAGGAGACGTCTTCTCACTTCAGTAGTGAGTTTATCTCCAAGTTCCACATGCTCTTCTGCTTGAGGGAAGGCACAAGGTGATTGTAAAAAAAGTATCTTGTTGCCAGTGCAGTGAGAATGTCCTTAATTAATGTACTAGTGATGTAAGCCAAGGAGAGCTACTGAGGTGCATGCAGGACTGAAATGGGAATTTCATTACACTTCACATCCCATTTTTCAGCTGTGTAAGTTTTTTTTATCATTAAATTTGATTTTATCACAGGCAGATCAAAAGCAAATGGGATGAAGAAGAGGACACTCAGTATGATGCTAACAAGCGAATCAAAGTAGAATCAGATATGGATGAAGATAATGGAAGGGATCAGACTAGCAGGAGATCAGATGATGATCACAGACCACATAAAATTCGAAAAGACACCCAAAGAGATCGCCAAGAGACAGATGGAGATCAGATGTCTGAGAATGGCCGGTAAGTAAAGTCACGTTTCTTTAAAATTTTATTGCCAAAAACATTATTTGTCAGTTAAATTGTTGATAATACGAACTATTGGATAAACCGCATCCACTGTTAATGTGGCAAGTTTAGGTTAAGTTGGCCTGTGTGTCCTAAAATTGTCTAAATTTTGATTGGGCAATAGCTATCTCACTTTTTGCTGCACATTTTGTTTATTTTAACAAATTTCTTGTATCACTACTCATTTTTTTCAGTTCTTAATCTCATTAGCTTTGCATCATTTGTAAACATTAACGTATGAGTTCACTCCCTCTGCTAGTTGTTAATGTAAGTTAGAAATAGCTGTAGTCCTAGAGCATAGTCCTAGTCCTAAGAAACCCCACTGTCTTCTCCTCTCCAGCTTGACACATCTTCTCTGACTCTGACCCTGTATTTCCTGTCCATAAAGTACTCCTTTACCCAGTAATTACCTAAGTGTAGTTACAGGATGTGTATGGTATTTCCTGTTATCCCTGCTTGTCTCCATTTTATGTATTACTCGTTTGTGAAGAATTGCATCGAAAACGTTTTTGTCAGCTTAGGAAGATGCAGTCTACCCAACTTTCATACTCTTGTCTTATTTTGGTGATCCTGTCACATAATTTAATAAAGTTTGACAGGCATGATTTTCCCTCACTGAATCCGTGTTGTCGTCAATTGCAAAATTTACTCTTCCCAGATGTCAGGGATCACTTCAGTCTCTAGTTAAGTTGAAAGCTCTAGTTATTGGGTAGCAAAGGATCCCTGTAGCCTCCTTCAGTAACCATAGTGACATTGTCCACTTCTACCACTTTTGTTCCATCTAGCTCCTCTAGTTATCTTTTTTACATTTTCTATATTAACTTCTACTTTGTCTAGTGTTACTTTGGCCCGACTGCTGTTACTTCTCTTTTGTATACCTATCAGGTCCCAGTTCGTAGACCAGGAATCTCTTGTTCAATTCTTCACTCACTTCATTGTCATTCTACATTAGTATTCATTCCTTTCCTTGCAGCCTTGTAACATGCACTTAACTTGTTCCACACATCTATCACTGTTTGCAAAAGAGAACATTCTAATATTTTGTTGGCACTTTTGTTTCCTTAGTTGAATCTGTGACCTCTTGTTCTTAAAGTTGCAGATTTCAAGAATTCCTCTTTGTAAATTTTGTCAATTCATGTTACTATTTTGTATGTTGTGATCAAATCGCCTCCTTTTCTTCTATTTTCTATCTTTGGCATATTTAACACCTCTAGCCACTCCTTGTAGCTCTTGTTTTTCAGTTCCTGAAGCCATTTCGTAGCATGCTTTTGCACCCTCTAGTGTATTGATGTGCTTCTTGAGGTACGAGCACCATACAACTACTGCATATTCCAATTTTGGTCTTGGAAAAGTCACGAACAGTTTCTTTAATGATTCAACATTTATGTATTTAAGTGATTTTGAAGTTGGAAAATATAGCATGTGCTCCATGCACAATGTGTGAGGTGAGTGCTAATGAGCACACGTTGGCTTCAAGAGATTTGATCATTTGTTTTCTTGTTGGGAGTGTTCATTTCGCAGTTTTGAGGCTTTTGTGTCTTTGAACCTAGCAGTGGTCTGTATTGGTTTACCGACTTTCCAGACACTTTCCCGTTGGGTTGCCGAGCGCCATCTGCTCTCTGCTCCCCTGTGAGGGAGAGGTTCTGACTCTGGCCCTCGATAAGCCAAACAGAACTCCATGGCTGATGTAACCTAGTACAGTACTGTAGTTGGGTGCCATCTTGGTGAGATAGCTTCAGGGAGCTACAAGGAACTTCTCCAAAAAAATATATTTAATTTTTTTTTTTTTTTTATTCCTAATGCATTCTCTGATCATGAGAAAATCTAAGAAATTTTATGTCATTTACCATATTTGCTGGCATAAAAGATGCACCCTCTCATAGGACGCACCCTTATTTAACAAGGACATTTTGTGGAAAAAACTTTTTTTAGTATGTTTCATCATACATGTATTGAAAGATATTTTAAAGTGAATTTTGTAACCCAACTTTTAACTACTCTAAGATCAGATCAGCTGTATAGTTGTTTATATTTTGGGCAAGGGAATTGCTAAACAGGCTGTGAAACTTGTATTTCTGGATGTGATGTTTTGTGTTGCTGCATCAGGCCACCAGGGCGGCACTCTCGATGGCAGCACACCACACCATCACAGCGTTCTGGGTTTTGTTGTCATTCACTCATTGCAAATGACTGACAGGCAGATGAAAGTTTATTCCTTTCAAATTTCTAGCATTTTTCATTTTGATAATGAATAAATGTTTCTTAAAAGATAACAGTCATTAAATAATGTATGACATATCAGGTGTGGGTTATGTATTTGTGTATGCTGGATAAGGTGGTGAGATGATGTAAGCTTCCTTCATAACTGCCGACGTATCGTAACCAATTTTTCTTAAGTTTGTGATAACTCGGCTTGTTTTCAATATTTGATTATTAGTAACACAATTTACTGTAATAATTTGGCTCATCTTTAATATATCATTAGAAATGATTTTTGTTCCCAGCAAACTTAGCCAGTATGGTTGTCCGGCTCCCTAGCCTCCAGCACTCAGTCTCACATCTGTATTATGACCGCATTAGATGCAGGGCAATTTTTTGATACATTTAAAAATAAAAAAGAAAGTGCAACTTATACACCAGCAAATAGGGTACTTTGACTATGATGAAGAGAAGAATGCTTGCAATGATGTCATCATTCACTAGGGTTGATGGACGAGACACACCGAGGAGATTGCCCGGGCCAAGCAAATGGCAGGAGTTGCTGCGAATATATTTATATTGATTTATTTCAGTGTCACTGATTTGTTTTTTCACTTTTTTTCTTGGTTATATTATGCAATAGTGTATAAATTGAGAAATTTCTATAATGAAACCTAAGGAATATTGATACACAAAAATACATTCATGTCACTAATATGCACACAATATTTTATTCATTGGACAATAAAACACACTGTTTTTGCTGTTGTTACAGTGTATACACATGTTATATATAACTACTGTATATGTTTATGCACCATTATGAACCACTAAGCAGTTCTGGTGAATGTGATAATGTCACAATCAGTGATGTAAAATCAGCCTAGCCCTGCACATTTTGCACCAAGTTGTGTGTACACTCACTGAATATATTTAATTTTGTAACCATGTTTTTACCATGGTTTTTTAAAATGCATAATGCATTGGGCTGTCAATAACGTTATTTATATCGCATAATTTGTAGGACATCGATATGCCCAGATATATTTGTACAGTATAACTAATATGCGCACTACAATATAATATTAAAACAATAACATATTGTTTTTGCTGTTATTACACTGTATTCACATGTTATATATAAATACTTGTTTATGAACTGATGTGAATCACTCGGCAGTTGTAGTGAATGTGATGATCTTGTAACCATTGATCCAAGCACAGCATAGCCACACGCTCTTCAGTTATTGACAGCATCTGATGAAGCAAAGTGCCTCCCGGTATATTACGCACATTGCTAACTCTTATTGTTATTATTTATAACAGTGTTATTGACACTGTTATTATTTTCAGAATCCTGGTCACTAAATACTGAATATGAATCATTTTTCAGATTTTTTTTTTTTCCAAGGAACACAAGGTCCCATTGTATGATACGTAGATACACCAAACCACAGCTGCCTACCTCGTGATATGAACATTGTCACCAGCATTGGGAATATATGCATATAAAGGAATATATGGGAATATATATTCCCAGCATTGGGAATATTTGCATATATATTCCTAAAGGAATATATGCATATAAAGTCCAAAAGCCCGGCGTACCACCCGCAACAAACCGAGAAATTGGTTGCACATTACCCGTGAGCACACAAAAGCAAAAAAGTGTATACTCTTTTTCACTTTGGTCACCTCATAGAATTCACCATCGCAATAGAATTCCCTACAGGAGTATATGTATATAATGTCCAATATTATGGCACGCTCCATCTGCAGCCAAGCCAAAAGCAGGCCATGTGTTACCCGTGAGCGTACACCCATTGGCCCACCCGCTACACGCCCATATCCAGCTCTCAAATGCTGGATATGGGCGGTGACAGGTATCAAGCAGGTATGATGTGTGTGGATTGGTGCACATAAGAAATATTGGCATTATGCAATATATTTATATGATATATAATAAAATACAGCAGCATAACATACTCATTATTATTTGTGTGAAATGTTGCTCTCCAGGTGGCAATCAGCAGTCCTAGAAAGCACCAGCTGCATATCCACTTTGTGACCCTTCCTTACTACTACTATTCTTCTTTGTGTGTTGGTCAGATGCTTGTATCTCTTAATCACTGCATTATCCATGAGTTCCACTAAGGAAGAGGTGTTATTGTTATCATCAGTAGTGGTTGCACACGATTATTTTTTTTTTTAATTTGTATAAAATCCATTTCTTTACATATTGAGATGAAATTTTCACGATGCTGATGCCAAATAACTTGAGATTTGTTAAACAGTTTTCACTGTATTTCATATTTTGATGAAAATTTTTGAGCTCCCGATCCCTTAAAAGGAACATATAATTGATTTCATTTTAACTGTGCAGTTATTCTATTTTTCAGGCCAGCTTGGGGAACAAGAAATAATATAAAGAAAGAGAATTTAACATCGGAAGAGGAAAAGCAGAAGCCGAATTTGGGACTTTCTGGTAAGCTGGCTGAAGATGCTAACACTTTTAATGGTGTTGTCATAAAATACTCCCAACCACCTGAGGCCAGGAAGCCTAAACGACGATGGAGATGGTAAGATAGTTTTGACATTGTTTAATATTTGCCTTATCATTTTTATCTCCATTTACCCATGGACTGTGTTATTGTTCATTGTCTAACTGATTTTATTATTTTTCTTTATTCATTTCCTTTCTGTATTAGATGTAAATTCATTATACCTGCTTGATGGGGTTCTGGGAGCTTTTCTAATCCCCAAGTTCAGCCGAGTCCAGGCTTGACTTGTGAGAGCTTGGTAAAACAGGCTGTACAATTCAGTGTTATGTATTGTTGGCATGAAAGTATCTTAAACAGTTTAAAGTATACAGTACAGTTCCTGTACTGTATACTTTAAACATTACAAACAAACAGGAGTTGTACATTATACAGTACAGTTCCTGTACTGTATAATGTACAACTCCTGGAGTACATTTTAGTACTTGTATTTACACAGAAATATTTTCCCCAGCACTTTTTGTGGGTAGCCCCATCAGTTCCCTATAGCTATCTTACTGATCGACATACTGCTCGAGTGTCGTCAGTCGCAGAGTTCTTGTATTCCTACCGGGGACCACAAGCCAGAACTTGTCCCCTCTCAGAGAGGCACAGGAAGCAGTGGCCCATGAACACTTTACATTTAAAGTTTGTCATCTTGCTATCGACTAGGGAAGGCACCCAGAAAGGTAGGCGAATCAAAACAGACTACTGCCCGGTTGAAAAATGTGTCCTATGCACTCTAAGTAACAAAAAGAACTTCCCCACTAAGAAACAAGCAACCAAAACTTTGTCCAACTTACTTACTTGCTTGTTAGTTCCATTAGTGCAGGGAGAGCCAGCCCGGCCACCAGCTCAGTTCTTGAATGAGGGAAGGAGCCACCGACTGGAGGGAGGGTGTTGGGGAGCCTCTGGGGCTCGCCCAAAAACTGCCGTTTCATTACATTCGACGCTGGATTTCTGTTGGGAGCCCCATCGACTCTCTGAAGCTAACTACCCACAGAGAGTGAAAACAGGGATGTACGAGGGAGACGGCAGCACCGCAGACATCGACGTGAAGAAGAGCCCAAAATCCCCATGCCCAAAGATCGTCCCAAGACAAGTGACCAAACACAGCCGACAGAGTGGCATATGGCCGCACATCATGGGCAAGAGGATAGACCGCAGGCTTGCGAGACCAAAGGACATTGCTGATAACCGGAGACCCACACGCCCCAGAACAGGAATTCAGGGAAACCAGAGCAACCCACAATATGGTCATTGAAACAGAACCGATGGTCCACAATCCGCAGTGCAGAGCTACTATTGGACACCACGCATGATGCACCCGAGGCCAGAGCTACTATTGGACACCACGCATGATGCACCCGAGGCCAGAGCTACTATTGGACACCACGCATGATGCACCCGAGGCCAAACCAACCAACCAAACCACCACGACTAAAAAAACCCTCTGGAAGCCCCACCACCACATTCTTTGCCAGAAAAAAGGCGCAGGCTTCAACGGAACAAAACGGCCACCAGGCCCAAGAGAACAAAACCCCTGGTGCCGGATCAAAGTAGGAAATGCACCAACCCAACCACCAGAGGCAAATGCAAGCCAAACAAAGTCAACCAGAAACAAACATGGACTGAATGGTCCACCACGAACCTGGGAAACAAAAGAACCCAGTCCAAAGACCAAGCAAACTCAGGCAGGGCATGAACAGGCCAGAGGTGAAACAAAATAGCTTTTGTGTCCATATGAAAAAGCATTATGGAGAGAAGTATGTCCCACTCACTACAAAAATTCTACATGCTCAAAAAATATAATCCTGGTAACATGCATAATCAAAGTAGAGTACAATATACTAACTATGTGTTTTATTCATTTTTACAGGTATATTTTCAAAGGTGAAGAAGATCTCCCATTTCTTCCACTACACCGTCAGAGTGCGTACCTTATTGGCCGTGATCGCAAAGTAGCAGATATTCCAACAGACCACCCATCCTGCTCCAAACAACATGCCGTCCTGCAGTACCGACTTGTCTCGTATAACAGAGAAGATGGAACTAAAGGTGATGTTAACATTTGCTCAGTATGGCAATACATCTGTTAAATTTTGCAATGAAAATAAGTAGGCAGTAAACTGATTATTATGAATTTGGTGAATATAGTCATCGGTCACAACCAAATAGTTTAGCAGTTCTGGCTACAATTTTGATTTGGTAATAGTGTTGCAGATTTATATAAATAATAAAAATTAATTCATAAATTTGTTTTTACAGGTCGAACTGTCAAGCCATATATTTTAGACCTTGAATCGGCCAATGGGACATACGTCAATAATCGCAGAATTGACTCCCGTAGATTTGTGGAGTTGCTAGAAAAGGATGTTGTAAAATTTGGTTACAGCTCTAGAGAATATATTTTGCTGCATGAGGGATCAAGAGGAGATGATGAAAATGATCCAGATATGGGTGTGGAGCTTAGTCCTGTCTCCCTTCTCAGAAGCAAGTAGATGGACTAAAAAATTATAGTTTGATCCTGAAAGTTGAAGAACCATATGTATACAGTATATTGAAAATGCTTATATGTTTCATACAAAATTGTTTGTAATCTTGTTTTCTATCCTGTCAGTGTTATAATAATACAGTACTGTATATGTGAAACACTTAGCATTTTATCATTTATTACGAAGACAATTGTAGAAGGAAAAAACAGTTTTGCAAGAGATACATTAAAAAAAGCACTTCCAACTTTTACTCAGGTACACAAATGATAGGACCCACACCATTGAATGGTGGTAATGGATTTTCATGCAGTGACTTGCTTATTTAGGATGAGGATACAAATTTAGATAACAAATAGATACACATTTAAAAAATATGTATCTATTTTTTCATGCAATAGATACATGTGTGTGTGTGTCTGTGTCTATTTATATATATATATGTTTTTTGAATGTACAGTATATATATAATATGTAAGTCATACCTAATAGCTAAAAACCACACTACTTTGCCTAGTTAACAAGGCCTGGTTTGCCTAACAGCCAGAGTGATTTTGCTTATATTGAAATGTTTTTCTAAATTAGTTCACCCATAATATTATACAGTATAGGTAACATAACTGCTATTTTTATGTTTGCCTGTAATCAGAAATAATTGGCAAATTTAGTATTGGTCAGGGATTCTGTTAATTTTGACTCTAAAATAAAAATTCTAATGTATATGATACTGTACTTGAATCATTCCATATATTGAAGTTTTGGTAAATTAATATTTAACTCGTAGACGGTGGCTATAGAAAAATGGCCATACAAAAATGCATACTATGCACACACCAAAAAATACATTCATTATAGTATTATTAACTTGTATGCAAAATGTAAGAAAAACTAAAAAATTGGTGAATATTTATTGTTTCACTGGGTGGAGGTGCTCTGCAGGCCTGCATCTGGCACTTGTCAACGCTTGGTGCTCGACTTTGCTAATGCTTCCTGTTTTATTCTTGGATGTTTCACTGATTGTTTTATTACTTATTTTTATTTATTTACATCCACAGAGAGCTATTATATCAATATTTGAATCATTCATGTAAATCCCAGACAGTAATTGTTTAACTCTTCATATGAAAATGACCGCATTCCCCAAGTAATATTTATGATGATAACTGCATTCGTACCATGAATTGGCAGCAGGATTTTGTCATGGGTCAAGGTAAACTCCATTACATCCAAATAGACCTATTGTATTCATATTTGCATCAAACATGTAAAACCCAGACAATAATTGTTTAAATCATCACCATGATGATATCCTCATTACCCTGTGAATCGACAATTGACGATGACTGCTTCCTCAGGGTTAAGAAAGTTTGGCTTGTTAGATAATTGTGGCTATTAGGTATGTGACACAAAAAACATATACACTAAAAACCACACACGCACATACACAAACAAAACACATATATGTATACATGCTTATATACATATATAAATAAACACCTACATGAACAGGTAATCCATCAGGGGGCACGATTGGTACATGATACGCAACACTTGGATGTTGAAATTATGCTGGACACATTATCTGTAGGACACAGTTTGTTTATTGTGGTTTATTCAATCTTATTTCATTGTATATTTTTTCTCCCCTCCCCCCCCAAAAAAAATATATATATATATATATATATATATATATATATATATATATATATATATATATATATATATATATATATATATATATATATATATATATATATATATATATATATATATATATATATATATATATATATATATATATATATATATATATATATATATATATATATATATATATATATATATATATATAATTTTAAGGTGCAACTTCGAGTTAACCAGGCACATTTACTATAAATACAAAGGTCACTGAGCCAAATGTGTGCACTGAGGTGGAGTATATATGTTGCCAGTATGTGGTGTTTAATGATTATATATTATGTTGGGATAATACATGCAAACATTTCTACAGTGTTTTGTAGGTGTAGTCATGTGTTCACATCTTTCACATAATGCACTGACTCGTGTTATGTATGAAATTGTACAAATCTTTTCTTTCACTCTACCTGATCCACTGATACTTGTATATCCTTTACAAATATTTTATTATTATCATCATTATTATTAAGTATTCATGGTAGGGGTACCTTTTGGTTTTGACAATTTTTTTTCCCCCCTTACAAGATTTCTTCTCACTGTGTGATGTCTGGAGAACACCTTCACTTATCGGTTAGAAGCTTTCAAAATGTGTGTGGTGGTGCTGGAAAGGTCCCTATTATTATTTGGCCATATAGCTTCCCTGGTGGCAGAACTTTGAATTGCATGAATATATTGTTTGGACAGGTTGGGGAAATGGAGGAGGAATGCTTTAAGCAAAGCCTGGAAAAACAATTAAATGTAGTTGCACGATGACAGGGGGAAATACTCCTAGTAGCGTCAGTTTCAAATTCGATGGTAGAAAGTTTTACAATAAAGCTAGTGATGTATTTTGTATTACAAGAATGAGTAAAGATTTTTTATTCCTATTTGGAAAATGTCTTTGAATTATACAGTTTAATACATACATTTTTATTATTGTCACTGATAAAATTAATATCTATATTAAACTCCTGCAACCACAACCACACCATCCACCACTAGTGCAACTACCATCACCGTAACTATCACCGCACTCACCACTACAAGACACAACCACCAACACTCCATGCTTATTATACCAGCCTATACTCATTACACTTTCTGAACTCACTGTACTACACTATACTCATTAGAGCAATGTAATCCTTGCACATCCCTGTACTCATTACACCACTTTGTCCGTACCTTGAAATATGTTGGCCTAGGGATACCTTTCCAAATTACCCTCATGCACTCAAAAATAATATCTAATTATGCAGACAGTGAGTCACAATGATGTGGATGATTAGTTGATATCCAATCAACACATCTGAAATTGAAGAAAAGAAAACGTTTTGTTTCGTTGTGGACCATTATCAAGAATTGATAATGGCACAGGACAGGACAGACCAACGCATCATCGTTTATTCATTTTCAGATGTGTGGGTTAGATATCATTATTTAATTATTACTACTACTGTACTGTCACTATTATTGTTTCATTCATATTTATGTTGTATGATAACCATGAGTTAATAATAATTTTCATTAGTCTGCATCTCTGTAGTCATTCCATAAGGATTTACTCATGTCTTGCTAAATAATTTTGTGTAACACTTATGACTCCTTTGGGGTTCTTGACTTTTTTCGGTATTTCATTTGCTTATACGAGTCGTTTGTTTATTATAACATTTGTTAAGAAAAATTTGTCGGTCATTTCTGTCTTGCATTCCTTCCTGGTATATTTTATATAGTTTTTCACATTACGGAATAGGGGAATCCTGGTAGAATCTTCCTTAAATATATTCAACAATTTGGTTATTACTGTATATCTATATAAGCATTTGTTTATTGAGTATGTGGGGGTTATGTAAGTGTTATAACACATCTGTGCTTTGATCATCTTAAATATTCATTTATTCTTAAATATTTTAAGTCATCCACTTCAAGGGTAATAATAAACACTCGTTTTTCAGTCTGAATTTTTGTAATTTTCTCTTATTCAGTCTGATAAGTTTCCCATTTATAAGTATTGTATTATTATAAAAGTGTGTAATAAAGCAGTTACATTTAATTAGATTTTTTTGCAGTTCATTATCATGACAACATATGCAATGCTTTTATTACATCTGTATACCATGATATTTAAAGTTGAAAATAAAGCCATCACCTTGTTCATCTGCAAGTGTCTCTTTCCGTCCATGGTGATTTTTCATGAGCACCTTAGACATTATTTATCCAGGTGGACTTTAAAATTTCCTTACATGTTCCCTGGAAAGCATTATATATCCCCGAGGACATATATTTTATATATATATACTGTATGTATGTATGTGTATATATATTATAATATATATATATATATATATATATATATATATATATATATATATATATATATATATATATATATATATATATATATATATATATGTCGTACCTAGTAGCCAGAACGCACTTCTCAGCCTACTATGCAAGGCCCGATTTGCCTAATAAGCCAAGTTTTCCTGAATTAATATATTTTCTCTAATTTTTTTCTTATGAAATGATAAAGCTACCCATTTCATTATGTATGATGTTCATTTTTTTTTATTAGGGATAAAATTAACGTAGATATATGACCAAACCTAACCAACCCTACCTAACCTAAGCTAACCTATCTTTAAAGGTTAGGTTAGGTTAGGTAGCCGAGAAAGTTAGGTTAGGTTAGGTTAGGTAGGTTAGGTCGTCGAAAAAACATTAATTCATGAAAACTTGGCTTATTAGGCAAATCGGGCATTGCATAGTAGGCAGAGAAGTGCGTTCTGGCTACTAGGTACGACATATATATATATATATATATATATATATATTGTATATAATATTTTTTTGAAATATGCAGTGTATGGCTAAAGCATAGGAGATTTGTAATAATGCAAAAGGGTTTACAACTTGATTTCAGGAGACCTAAAATTTATACTAACAGCTCCTTTCATATGAGTTCTCCCTTCTTTTAACAGCTTAAGTAAAGTGTTTTGTATAAATGCAAGTAGTATAATGGTCCTGAATAATTACTATTTCAAGTTAGGAGAAAAAGTGTGTGTAAAAAGACAATGATTACCTTCAATTTTTATATTAATTTCTTATATATTGAGTTCTGTTGTTTAGTTATTGATTTCATCTTGTAGGATACATTAATCTTCATGGACATATATGTTTTATCTCTGCCTGTGTTACGAAAGTCCTGTCATAGAGCTGGATGGATAATGCTTCTCAATTATACACTGTATTTTGTGTATATTTGTGCACATTCATCTATGAAGACTGCTTTTTATGTCACTAATGAGACAAGAAAGCTGCTTTAAAAAATCTGCTAATTGCTATTGATTTGATTTAACTAAGAATCTGTAGTCCCTGTGAAATTCTTACATCATATCTACAGGTCAGTTGTTGTTCTGGTTAGTCTTTTATTTTCATAATTATTTTGGTGAAAGGAACTCAATTGTCTAAATAACAGGCTGAAGAAAAATTAAGAGGCAGAAGTTTGTGTGTGTGTGAGTGTGTGCTGTACTTGCAAGTTTTGGAATTTAGCATGATATTAGTGTAGTAAAAGAAATAAGCATTTGTATCGAGGGTAAAAAATGTTGTAGCATTTGTGTTTTTGAAGGCTGTATGGATACATTCAATAATATTTGAGATCAGTGCAATATACAGTACTATTTATCAATGGAGATGTGCAATCATGATACTATTATTATGTTGCCTGTCATAAAACTTTCTTTAATATAATAAAAATCATTCAAGTTTGTAAAATAAAAGAATTTTCCTAGGCATTTGTTCCTATCTTACCTTGTCTTCTCATACGCTTTTTTTTTTTTTTTTTTTGAGAACTCCCATTCCTTGAATAGATGGCATCATGTATTCTTTTATTTGGGTATTTCAACCTACTGCGGTTATTGAAGGTGTTTTGGAGGTGAACTTTATATATTAACAGAAAATTCTTCATGCTTATTTCACAATTGCATAGTGGGAAAGGAAGTGTTAAAAATTTTGCCATGAAGCGTATATAAGTGAAAAGGTGTATA